TGATCCTTTATTTTGCTTCTGTATAAAAAGCAGAGACATCACCTTGCCAACAAAGGTCCGTATAGTTAAAGCCATGGTTTTCCCAGTAGTGATGTATGGAAGTGAGAGCTGGACCATAAAGAAGGCTGATCGCCGAAGAATGGATGCTTTTGAATTCTGGTGCTGGAGGAGACTCTTGAGAGTCCCATGGACTGCAAGAAGATCCAACCTCTCCATTCTGAAGGAAATCAGCCCTGAGTGCTCACTGGAAGGACAGATCGTGAAGCTGAGGCTCCAAGACTTTGGCCACCTCATGAGAAGAGAAGACTCCTTGGAAAAGACCCTGATGTTGGGAAAGATGGAGGGCACAAGGAGAAGGGGACGAGAGAGGACGAGATGGTTAGACAGTGTTCTCGAAGCTACAAACATGACTTTGACCAAACTGTGGGAGGCAGTGGAAGACAGGAGTGCCTGGCGTGCTCTGGTCCAGGGGGTCACGAAGAGTCGGACACGACTAAACAACAAATAAAAAGCCATGTAAACACCAGGAGGACATTAGGGGAAAATCCTTATAGGATTTGGAGGAGTAGCCGTGTGGAGGAAGCCTATAAACAAAAGGAAAATAAACAAATGTACAGTATTGGCACCAGAGCCACCTGCTTTCCCTTAATCCCAAAATCAAACAGGCTAATTCCTCGCAGCAGGGGAATTAGTTGTGGACAAGGGCTGATACTTTGATGGAAGGGGAAGGGGAAGGGCAAGCCGCTCTTTGGCCAGATCCTGCCTCTCTTTCAGCTTTGAATGGGTGTCCTGAGAAGGCAGTCTGCACTCGATGGAGGGAATAATAATAATAAATTTTATTTATACCCGGTCCTCCCCAGCCAAGACCTGGCTCAGGGCGGCTAACACCAGGTATAAAAACAATTGATTAAGATTCAACTTAAAAAACAAGATTAAAATACAACATTAAAATGCAGCCTCATTTCAGCAGAAACTCAAATAAAAAACTTTTGGGGGGATGAAAACGTCAAGTCTTCAACAAGGCTAACTATCCAGACTGGTCCTACATGGGCCAGAAAAAAGCCAGGGAAGTCCCCAAATAGGAGTTCCATCACAGAAGGAGAAAGGAAAGAAGAAAGAGGGGAAGGGGATCAAGTTGATTCCAAGCCAAAGGCCAGGCGGAACAACTCTGTCTTACAGGCCCTGCGGAAAGAAATCAGATCCCGCAGGGCCCTGGTCTCAAGAGACAGAGCGTTCCACCAAGTCGGGGCCAGTGTTGAAAAGGCCCTGGCTCTGGTTGAGGCTAATCTAACTTCCTTAGGGCCTGGGACCACTAGGGTGTTGCTATTTATGGACCTTAAGGTCCTCTGTGGGGCACACCGGGAGAGGCAGTCCCATAGGTACGAGGGTCCTAGGCCGTGAAAAACCAGCACCTTAAATCCGACCCTGTACTTCACCGGGAGCCAGAGCTGAGCACAGTGATAGGAAGCACTTAGCCTCAGACTGTGCACACAACACGCATTTGAAGCACATGACACCCCCCAAAGAGTCCTGGGAACTGTAGTTCGCCAAGGTGGTTGGGAATTATAGTTTTGTGAAGACTAGACTGCAGCTCCCAGGCTTGTATGGAGGAAGACATGCCCTTTAAATGTATGGCGTGCCCACAACCTAACACTTCTGAAGTCGAAATCTATAGAAAAAAGGAAAGAACTTTGGGTACGCTTGACGCATTTAAAGTAGCTGTTGGTCTGACAAGCCAGCGGCTGTTTCCATTAATCTGTCATATAACTGACAGTGGAAGACATTCCCCTCCAGACCTGTGCTTGACCTTCCAGAATCAGGTTCTCTTTGGTCCTGATCCAATGGCTCTCCCCATCTTCTCAACTCATCAAGTGTCTTGGCACAGTGGTTGCTTTTGTTAACCTTCCCTTTGCTTGCCCGTGTTTCTTTCGAGAAACAGCAAAAACCAAACCCAGGCATTTTCCTACTGGAACTTTGCATTTCCAGGTACCGTATTTTTCACTCTATAAGAAGCACCAGACCACAAGACGCACCTAGTTTTTGGAGGAGGAAAACAAGAAAAAAAATATTCTGAATCTCAGAAGCCAGAACAGCAAGAGGGATCACTGTGCAGTGAAAGCAGCAATCCCTCTTGCTGTTCTGGCTTCTAGGATAGCTGCACAGCCTGCATTCACTCTATAAGACGCACACACATTTCCCCTTACTTTTTGGGAGGGAAAAAGTGAGTCGTATAGAGCAAAAAATACTGTATTTCCTCTGTCCTCGCTCAAGCTGTTGACGTATCATAGGTAGCAACCTGGAATACGCAGCAGAAAATGGAGGGTTGCAGTAAACATACTTAAAAGGCTAAAAGTGCAAAAGACTAAAAACTTGCTGCGTAATCCTGAATCACAAACAAAAAGGAGACGTTTAAAAAAATTCAAAACTTCTTGTGGATGAATTCAAAGTACACTAGCATACAAACTTGGGTTGTGTCTTTACATGTAAACATGGGACAGAGCTGGGATGTTAAAGGGAAGAAGGCAAAACATAGTGGCCAGAAGCCAGCACAGACTCCACAGAGTTTAATGGGACGAGGGCATGTCACTGCACACTGGATTGTGGGAAGCCCAGCCTGGGTGTGCTCACAAGGAAGTCGCAATGAACATGCTGTCCTCTTTCTACCTGTGCCTGGACTGGAAAACATTTGTACATTATATTTTGCTTATTCCTTGGTAACGATTTAACAAAAGAAATGGGTTCGTCTGCAGGTTTCTGGCTGCACAGCCTTCAACTGTATGTCTCCTTCACAAAGGAAACGTTTTGGACTGGAATATCAAATAGCACCATTTGAATGCGCACACCCATACACATATTTAGCTGTCCGCAGTACGTTAGTTCAAGAGTAGCTGACCAGCATCAGCAAGCAACCTGAACTTCCCGGAAGCTACACAGCACAGCCACTATGGAGAGTCAGGTGTGGTCGAAAGGGTGGATAAAATGGTGAATACACACCTGCCACCCCACTTCCAAACCAACAGTGTACCGTATTTTTTGCTCTATAAGACTCACTTTTTCCCTCCTAAAAAGTAAGGGGAAATGTGTGTGCGTCTTATGGAGCGAATGCAGGCTGCGCAGCTATCCCAGAAGCCAGAACAGCAAGAGGGATTGCTGCTTTCACTGTGCAGCGATCCCTCTTGCTGTTCTGGCTTCTGGGATTCAGAAATTTTTTCCCCCTTGTTTTCCTCCTCCAAAAACTAGGTACGTCTTGTGGTCTGGTGCGTCTTACAGAGCGAAAAATACGGTACATCCTTGCAGAAAGGGAGGAGGACAGAAGGCTAGCCCACGCCTTCCCTCTCTATCAACCCCCAGCTTCCTAGTCTTCCTGAGCCAAGTTTTATCAGTACAGCACAGCTATGGATAGCTGCTGCCCTGGGGCCCCATCAGCCAGGTCTACAAAGCCATACTGGTGTAAGGGAAGGCAACGCCTCTGCTTTGGCGGGCTGTGTGAGCCTCTGGAAGTACTGAGACACGCCTGCAGGCATCATTAGATTTCCAGATTGGCACCGTTCCTTGCCCCTCACCTCGTCTGCCTACATGGCACATTCCCACCAGGACGCCGAAACTCAGGCAGGTGGCAAATCCTTCTTTGCTGCGGATAAGGTTTCAGGTCTGGACCTGTTTAGGCAGCAATACCAACCCAGCTGGCAAATAATTTTATATATATGAGAGGGATGCGGGCGGCACTGTGGGTTAAACCACAGAGCTTAGGACTTGCCGATCAGAAGGTCGGCAGTTCGAATCCCCGCAACGGGGTGAGCTCCTGTTGCTCGGTCGCTGCTCCTGCCAACCTAGCAGTTCGAAAGCACTTCAAAGTGCAAGTAGATAAATAGGTACCACTCCGGCGGGAAGGTGAACGGCGTTTCCGTGCGCTGCTCTGGTTCGCCAGAAGTGGCTTAGTCATGCTGGCCACATGACCTGGAAGCTGTACGCCGGCTCCCTCGGCCAATAAAGCGAGATGAGCGTCACAACCCCAGAGTCGGCCACGACTGGACCTAATGGTCAGGGGTCCCTTTACCTTTATATAAACTCAAACTGCACCTGAGCCTGTCAGGATGCCACCTGAGCCAGCGTACACTCTACTTCACAGCCCACTCTACAGAAATTGTTGCCCGTTTCTTCCTGATCTTATGTATAAATTTGCTTTCCAGCAGATCTATTCCTCGACTACTCCGTCACGCAGGTCCTAGGCGTCTTAACAGCTTCCCTTCACCAAGCAAATCACACAAAACGTTGCACTATCCGGTGCAGCACGTAAGTCCGGGATTCTTAGAATCATAAAAGATGCTAGATGTATACCCTCGCAGCTAACCGGGATCCTGCATGGAAATGACACTCTGCCCCAGAATCCCCTGGGCTGTCACAAAAGGATTATGGGGCACACTCTGGAAGCTGGCCATGCTTGATGCAGAGGCGCTGGACTTCTGCACTGCTTAAAGGATGGTCCCACCCACCCCTTCCCCAGGCAAATTCTCAGCCTGCCTTTACGCTCAGGCCAAACTTGCCTAGTGTGTGGCGTATTGAGCCTGTAAACGCCCCGGGTCCTGAAAGGCCCCTGCATCGCAGCTGCGGCTTGATTTGCACAACCAAATTTCACGCTTGCGGTGCAGCTTTCACAAGGGAAAGCAGGGGCCCTGGAGACGGGGGCGGCCCCTAGCGCAAAGCCCACCCCATCAGACACGATCAGGAGGCGGCACGGAAGGTTCTGCGAGTCACTTCCTGCAACAATGAAGAACAGACTGCGGTGCTGCGGTAGACATCTCAAAGCAGCGTTTACTTCCTTCTGGTCGTTGGAAGCCAGAGCTGCTTCAGTCCACCTGCAACAGTGATTATGGCAAAGAAAGAAACCTGAGTGAATTGTGCTCGGGTTCGCGTGGCCCCCGCAAAAGTCTCCTTCCCCTGTGACGGGGCTCCGGGTCTCACCGCGAACACTGGGGCGGCCTTCTCCCACTGCTGCGTCCCTATTTCCTCTTCTTCCCTTTCTTTTTCGGAGAGCCTGGCCACGGGAAGCCGCGGAACTCCAAGCAGGCAGCGGCGTTGTGGGCGATGTAGTAGAGGTTCAGCATGGCCGCCGGGCTCATGATGTCCACATCGACGGCGCCCTTCTTCCCTTTCTTCCCTTTCCCTTTCCCCTTTCCTTTCCCCTTTCCTTTGCCTTTGCCTCCACCACCCTGCCAGGAAAAGCGGAGAAGGAGAGTCAGCGGGAGGCTGGGAAACAAGAACCATCTCAAACTGAAGAGTCTTTAAGTTCTAGAATTAGATCACTACAGCCAGCAAAACACATAATAAATTGTGCATTCAGAACAAGGGGAAATACCGTATTTTTCGCTCTATAAGATGCGCTTTCCCCCTCCTAAAAAGTAAGGGGAAATGTGTGTGCGTCTTATGGAGCGAATGCAGGCTCCATGGGCTTCAGCGAAAGAAACGCGAAGCTAGGAGAGCAAGAGGGATGGGTGCGCACCGATCCCTCTTGCTCTCCTGGCTTCGCTTCGCTTGAGAGGTGCTGCGTAGCTTTCCCTCTCTGCACAGCGCCCCCTCAGCGAAGCGGGAGGAGAAATGGAAGGGGCTCCGTTTCTCCTGCTGGTTCGCTGAAGGGGCGCTGCGCAGAGAGGGAGAGAATATTTTTTTCTCTTGTTCTCCCTCTCTCAAACTAGGTGCGTCTTATGGTCAGGCGTGTCCTATAGAGCGAAAAATACGGCAAGTCTCTTAATATTTCTTGCAACAGGAACCTGCAGCCTTCTGCAATGGCCTTTGTTCACATCATTAATATACTGAGACAAATGCCTCTTCTTACAATGGTGTGTGTGTGTGCAGGAAGAGTCTGCAGGTTGGAGGAACCAGCTGAAGAGAGCATTGAGTCTTTCTGGGCTACGGAAACAAAATCATACTGGGTTTCTGTTGGGCTCCAGAAACTAAGCTGCCCGCTGTCAGGGGAGGTTTCTCAGAAGGCTCACATCCACCATAAAAGGTTCCCAGGGGCGGGGAAGGGAGGGGAAGGATGTTGCGAGATATGTTCCCCACACCACACCTTTATGGTAATGACTATTGATTTAAATCCTAGAATCGCTGAGTTGGAAGGGATCCTGAGAGTCTTCCAGTTCAACCCCCTGCAATGCAGGAATCTTCTGCTCAACAAGAGGCTCGAACCCACAAGCCTGAGATCAAGAGTCTCAATGCTCTGCCAAAACTTGTTCACCTGCTGTTTGGGGCAATGAGGCTTCAACAACAGCTTGGCCTCGGTCCAGTATACCTGAAGGAGCGTCTCCACCCCCATTATTCTGCCCGGACACTGAGGTCCAGCGCCGAGGGCCTTCTGGTGGTTCCCTCACTGTGAGAAGTGAGGTTACAGGGAACCAGGCAGAGGGCCTTCTCGGTGGTGGCACCCGCCCTGTGGAACGCCCTCCCACCAGATGTCAAAGAGAAGAACAACTACCAGACTTTTAGAAGACATCTGAAGGCAGCCCTGTTCAGGGAAGCTTTTAATGTTTAATAGACTATTGTATTTTAGTGTTCTGTTGGAAGCCACCCAGAGTGGCTGGGGAAGCCCAGCCAGATGGGCGGGGTATAAATAATAAATTTATTATTATTATTATTATTATTATTATTATTATTATTATTAGTTAAGCAAACGAACAATGAAATCAAAGAACAATTAAAGCAACAAGCTGGATAAATTGGAGTTTTAAAGCTGGGGGCGTGATCTCTACCTGAAACCAAACAAATTGAAAAAAACAAAATGACTCCCCATGGAGGGAATTCCAAAGACGAGAAGCCCCCATCTTCAGTGCCCCATCTGACTTACTTCTGGTTGCAGGGGCGGGGGGCGGTTTGGAGGGCAGCCTCAATATTTGGAAGAGTTCAGGTGGGAAGTGACAGCCCTTTAGGAAACTCAGATCCAAAGTTATTTATGGTTCTACAGCAGTGGCCAGGAACCTGTTGCTCTCCTGTATACCTGAAGGAGCGTCTCCACCCCCATCGTTCAGCCCGGACACTGAGATCCAGCACCGAGGGCCTTCTGGCGGTTCCCTCATTGCGAGGGCTACAGGGAACCAGACAGAGGGCCTTCTCGGTAGTGGCACCCACCCTGTGGAACACCCTCCCTTCAGATGTCAAGGAAATAAGCAGTTATCCTATTTTTAAAAGACATCTAAAGGCAGCCCTGTTTAGGGAAGTTTTTAATATATAATGCTGTATTGTTTTTAACATGTGATTGGGAGCCGCCCAGAGTGGCTGGGGAGACTCAGCCAGATGGGCGGGTTATAAATAATAAATTATTATTATTATTATATTATTACTCCTAACTGGAAGCTGCTGAAGTAAGTCTTCAAAGGCAGCCCCATAGGGGAAAGGGATGGAAGGAGAACAGCAACCCATAGCATCAAGTAAGGCCTTCAGGGGTTGCTGGACTCTGATTCCCATCACCTTTTACCATTGGCCACGGGCTCATTGGAGCTGGGAGTCCCATAACAGCTTGAGGGCCATAAATCCCCCGTTAAATGTAATGTTGGATCCCTGGGAAACAAGAAGTCCATCCTGACAACAGTGGGCTAGAATGCAGCCAAAACGTTTCTTTCTTTCTTTGCAAAATTAAAGGTGTTATACAGTACAGTGCTGCTTTGGGGGGGCGGGAGTATGTATACAGTCATACCTCGGGTTACAGCCGCTTCAGGTTGCGTTTTTTCGGGTTATGCACCCACCAAAACCCGGAAGTACCAGAACTGGTTACTTCCGAGTTTCAGCGGTTGCGCATGCGCAGAAGCGCTAAATCGTGCTTTGCACATGCGCAGAAGCCCCGAATCGCAACCCGCATGTGCGCAGGCGCGCCTCTGCGGGTTGCGAACGCTGCGGGTTGTGAACGTGCATCCCGCACGGATCACGTTCCCAACCCGAGCGTCCACTGCACTCCTAAACATTTTGTGAATCTTTGTACTTTTTCCATTTCCTATTTTTAGTTTCCCCGATTTGAACTATACAATGGTGATTTTTCTCGAGTCAAAATGAAAGTACCCCTAAACATTTTTTTAAAGAAAAAAAAGCACCGGCGTTATATACGTTATTTTAATGAAATAGAACAATTGAATGCAGGCTACTGTCGCTGTGGGAGAATAATGAAGCACCACCCAGAATGCGTAAAGAGAAAGCCAAAGGGGTCTGGAAAAGAAACAGCTTTTCCTGCTGCCCCTGAAGCAACGAATGGTGCCTCGTTAGCACTGGGATCTGTGAAACTATACATTACCATAGTGATGTCCTTTCACTGGACTGAGCTAGTGACCATTGTGTCTAGTCCCAATGCAAGGCAATTAATTTTTGTTAATACTTCCAAAGGCAATGCCTACAATGTAAAAAGAAAGTACAGTAAAGTAATGCTATAAGTTGTTATAAGATAACACTGTTGTGATGACACAATATCTGGCTTTACTGAACATTTTTGAGGATGGGAATCAGGGCATATTCTATAAAGAAAGGCCTGATTACCTGCATTATGGGCCTTTACCTTGTCATACCATAAATATGCATGCCAATCAAACACATTGTCGAATCCCTCCAAATCTAATAGATCTGTGTCTTCTAATTGCATCCATTCTTTAATCCAGCAAAGTGCAGCAGCTTCAAAATAAATTTTTAAATCTGGCAGGGAAAATCCCCCTCTTTTTTAGAATCCGTCAGTAATTTATATTTAATTCTGGGTTTCTTCCCCTGCCAGATAAATCTGGATAGTGCTTTCTGCCATTCTTTAAAACATTTCACATGATCTATAATTGGGAGGGCTTGAAACAAAAAAAGCATCTTTGGCAGCACATTCATCTTAATCACAGAAATCCGGCCCATTAATGACAGTTTTAGGTTTGACCATATCTCCAAATCTCTTTTAATTTCATTCCATAATTTACCAATTGGGTGGCTTTTAAAGGAGATTAGACAAATCCATTGAGGAGAAGCTGATAGATGGAGCAAGCAGGAAGTATTTCACTGAACAGAGTATGGAAAGTTTCATTTTCTGAAAAATGAGGCTCAAGGAAAGTCAGAAAAGGATAATTTCCTTACTGACCAGTTTCCCTTTGTTCAATATCTTAATAGCACCCTCTCTGGGTATAGGGCAGGTATATAACTCCAGCTGCTGTTAAAAGGTTGGGGCACTTCTCTTCGCCCCCTACTCCCCCCCGCTTCCTTCACTAACAGGCAACGCATTTCCCTAGCCGACACGCGTCCTGCTCCTTAACACGCGAGTCCGCGTTCCCACGTGCCGCCCGGGCTACACGCGTCCCGCGCGGACTCACCAGCCAAGCCAGCTCCTCCTCTCCCGACCCGTCCAAAGCGGAGCTCGCGCGCCCCCGCGCCTGCGTGCGCGGGACCAGACGGAGGAGCCGCCGCCTCGCGCTGCCAGTTGGCCGGGCGGAGCTTGGCCGTTCGGGGGCGGGGCTTGCCGCCTTCTGTTTACCTCGCCGCCCCGTTCGGTTGCCATGGTTCGAAAAAGGGGGAAAAAAGGAGGAGGGGGAGGGTCGATGAGGTCATTCCTTCGTAACCGGGCAACGAGCGGAACCCAGAGAGACCCGAGCCCGCGCGTGCGCACTCCGGCGGCAGTTTCGGGAGGACGTGTTACGCCGTTGGGAGGAGGGAGGAGAAAAGGCGGGAAAAAGAGGCGCCTGCGCGCGCCGCTCCCCCATCTGTTCGAATAAGCGCTTTGCCTCCAACAGGCGACTGTGAGGGAAAAGGGCGGGAAAATCTCCCCCATTCTCTCTTAAATAGAAGAATCAGATAAATATAGTATAATAATTTAATAATAATTTATTATTTATACCCCGCCCATCTGGCTGGGCTTCCCCGCCACTCTGGGCAGCTTCCAAAAGAATATTAAAATACTATAATACATCAAACATTAAAAGCTTCCCGAAACAGGGCTGCCTTCAGATGTCTTCTAAAAGCCTGGTAGTTGTTGTTCTCATTGACATCTGGTGGGAGGGTGTTCCACAGGGCGGGAGCCACCACTGAGAAGGCCCTCTGCCTATTAGATAGATAGATAGATAGCATATGCTATTGTATATTGTCTCCCTGCTTATTTAACTTATATGCAGAATTCATCATGCGAAAGGCTGGGCTGGATGGATCCGAAGCCGGAATTAAGATCATAGAATCATAGAGTTGGAAGAGACCACAAGGGCCATCGAGTCCAACCCCCTGCCAAGCAGGAAACACCATCAGAGCACTCCTGACATATGGTTGTCAAGCCTCTGCTTAAAGACCTCCAAAGAAGGAGACTCCACCACACTCCTGGGCAGCAAATTCCACTGTCGAACAGCTCTTACTGTCAGGAAGTTCTTCCTAATGTTTAGGTGGAATCTTCTTTCTTGTAGTTTGGATCCATTGCTCCGTGTCCGCTTCTCTGGAGCAGCAGAAAACAACCTTTCTCCCTCCTCTATATGACATCCTTTTATATATTTGAACATGGCTATCATATCAGCCCTTAACCTCCTCTTCTCTCGCTCTTTTTTTTAAAACGATATTTATTAAGGTTTCCAATAAAAAGAACACATCAATAAAAAATTAAAAAGAAAAAAGAAAAATACACAATTCAAACATACACAATACATAATCCAAAAACAAAAAACAAAAAACAGAAGACAAAAAAGAAAACAGTTAAAAACAATACCACCTTTTCATCACCATTTTTAAATTTACTTATTTTCTGGACCTCCTCATACCTCCCTCTTTTGTATTCCAGTTCAATTGGTTTGTCCAGCAATTTCTTTCCCTCTTTTTTAATCCCAATCCTTAATCTTGATATAATATAACATTAAATTTTTACCTCTTAAAAACCAAATTTCCATTTCCTTTAACTTTTTTACTCCTAATCCTTAATCTTGATCTATATATAACTTTAAAGCCTGTATAGCTAGAAGCCACTTATTTTCAATCCAACATCACTCTAACATTCTTCTTAACCTCCTCTTCTCCAGGCTAAACATGCCCAGCTCCCTTAGCCATTCCTCATAAGGCATCGTTTCCAGGCCTTTGACCATTTTGGTTGCCCTCCTCTGGACGCGTTCCAGTTTGTCAGTGGCCTTCTTGAACTGTGGTGCCCAGAACTGGACACAGTACTCCAGGTGAGGTCTGACCAGAGCAGAATACAGTGGCACTATTACTTCCCTTGATCTAGATGCTATACTCCTATTGATGCAGCCCAGAATTGCATTGGCTTTTTTAGCTGCCGCATCACACTGTTGGCTCATGTCAAGTTTGTGGTCAACCAAGACTCCAAGATCCTTTTCACATGTACTGCTCTCAAGCCAGGTGTCACCCATCTTGTATTTGTGCCGGAAGAAATATCAACAACCTCAGAGATGCAGATGACACAACCTTGATGGCAGAAAGCGAGGAGGAATTGAAGAACCATTTATTGAGGGTGAAAGAGGAGAGTGCAAAATATGGGCTGAAGCTCAACATCAAAAAAACGAAGATCATGGCCACTGGTCCCATCACCCCCTGGCAAACAGAAGGGGAAGAAATGGAGGCAGTGAGAGATTTTACTTTCTTGGGCTCCATGATCACTGCAGATGGTGACAGCAGTCACAAAATTAAGAGACGCCTGCTCCTTGGGAGAAAGGCAATGGCAAACCTAGACAACATCTTAAAAAGCAGAGACATCACCTTGCCAACAAAGGTCCGTATAGTTAAAGCTATGGTTTTCCCAGGAGTGACGTATGGAAGTGAGAGCTGGACCATAAAGAAGGCTGATCGCCGAAGAATGGATGCTTTTGAATTATGATGCTGGAGGAGACTCTTGAGAGTCCCATGGACTGCAAAATGACCAAACCTCTCCATTCTGAAGGAAATCAGCCCTGAGGGCTCACTGGAAGGACAGATCCTGTAGCTGAGGCTCCAATACTTTGGCCACCTCATGAGAAGAGAAGACTCCCTGGAAAGGACACTGATGTTGGGAAAGATGGAGGGCACAAGGAGAAGGGGACGACAGAGGACGAGATGGTTGGACAGTGTTCTCGAAGCCACTAATATGAGTTTGACCAAACTGCGGGAGGCAGTGGAAGACAGGAGTGCCTGGCGTGCTCTGGTCCAGGGGGTCACGAAGAGTCGGACACGACTAAACAGCAACAACAATTTGAAATATACTCGGAGTCGAGTGTGGATTTCATGCTGTTTATTCAGCTCATAGTAGAGGAATGGAAGTTCCCCCAAACTGTATGCTTTATATACATTATTTACACAACAGGCCACACATGATTAGCTAATTCTGGGATTCTTCTGTAAGCCAATCAGGTTGCAGATTCACTTCCACCTGGAGTTGGGTTGGGTGGCTCCTGCGGACCAATTGGACTCCTGCATTCTGGATCCTATTGTTGTAGGACCAATCAAACTGCTGCATCCTGGATCCTATTGTTCTAGGACCAATCAGACTGCTGCATTCTGAATCCTATTGTTCTAGGACCAATCAGACGTTTGCATTCTGGATCCTATTGTTCTAGGACCAATCAGACGGCTGCATTCCAGATCCTATTGTTCTAGGACCGATCTGACTGCTGCATTCTGGATCCTATTGTTCTAGGACCAATCAGACGGCTGCATTCCGGATCCTATTGTTCTAGACCAATCAGACTGCTGCAGTCTGGATCCTATTGTTCTAGGACCAATCAGACTGCTGCATCCTGGATCCTATTGTTCTAGGACCAATCAGATGGCTGCATTCCGGATCCTATTGTTCTAGACCAATCAGACTGCTGCAGTCTGGATCCTATTGTTCTAGGACCAATCAGACGGCTGCATTCTGGATCCTATTGTTCTAGACCAATCAGACTGCTGCAGTCTGGATCCTATTGTTCTAGGACCGATCTGACTGCTGCATTCTGGATCCTATTGTTCTAGGACCAATCAGACGGCTGCATTCCGGATCCTATTGTTCTAGGACCAATCAGACTGCTGCAGACTGGATCCTATTGTTCTGGGACCAATCAGACTGCTGCATCCTGGATCCTATTGTTCCAGGACCAATCAGACTGCTGCATTCTGGATCCTATTCAACTCAGTACATAACACTATTATATATTGTATAACGTATACTGTATATTCAGTTTGTCATTGGATTTTAGCGGTACAAAAGCTGCCTATAAAATACACACACCCGCTCACGCACCCACAGTTTTTATTCATTCCCTTTTTGCGTGAAACATTTCCACACCACCTCTCACCCGAGTCTCACTGATTAAGATATAACAGTATATGGCGATGTAATTGTTATGTACTGAAGTTCTCACCCTGGGCCAGCAGGGGGAATACTGTAGATAGTTTTCACTCAGGTCCGCATATGCAAATAAGGAATTGAAAGTGACATTCAGTGATTGGATAGTTACAGAAAGTTGTTACTGTTGCGTTGTAGTGGAGCTCTATATAAGCAGGCTGACTGAACCCTTCAGTTCAGCTCTGTTCTGGCCTGTGAATAAACAAGAGCTGTCTGAAGAATTGCTGTGTTGTCTGATATCTTCACCCACAACTTAACAGTAATCACGCCTCTTTAGGTGTATGTTGTGTTAAGTTGTGGATGAACATATCAGACGACACAGCGATTCTTCAAACAGCTCTTGTTTATTCCGAGGCCAGAACAGAACTAAACAGAAGGGCTCAGTCAGCCTGCTTATGTAGAGCTCCAGTACAACGTTACTGTAGCAACTTTCTAAAGCTATCCAATCACTGAACGTCACTTTCGATCCTTCATTTGCATAACTATCTACAGTATCCCCCTGCTGGCCCAGGGTGAGAACTTCAGTACATAACATTGAGGGCTTGCCTTGTGTCGCCTTTTCTCCCCTCAGAAATTACTTTTCCTATTCACTTGGAGGAATCCTTGACGTCTGCGGATATTGGCACACAGTTAAATTTGTATTCGCCACACTGTGGCGTGTGGGGATTATTGTAGGTGGGCCCAGGGCAAGTGGACCCTGCAAACAGTTATGGTGGCAAGGATGGGAGAGAAAACATGCTCCATCTACTACTACTACTTGGTGGTCTTAAGATCCCGCAGCTGGGATCTTGAACATACAGCTTATAATCATCAATCTCATTAGGACACCAATTCGGTCTGCTTATATTAATATCAATTTCAAAAACGATATACTGCTTGACTGTAAAAAAAAAAACCAACCCAACCCAAACCCTCCAAACGGTTTACAGAAAGAATAAAACAATTAAATTATCCGCTTTTTAAAAAGTTTAAGAACATTTTCAATTGTACAGGTGTTTTTTTTATTGTAAGTGTGAGCTGACTGTTTCTTTGTGAGGGTGTTATTTGCAAATCTTACTTTTCTCAAAAATAAATAAATTAAAAAATAATAATATGGCAATACACACACAATGCAGCTGCACCAGCCCAGCATGACCACAACTGTAACTGAAATTATATTATCTGAAAAAGGCCAACTTTGAGCTGTATGGCTTAAGGAAGCCCCAAAATGCAATCAGAGATGGTGCCAGCCTAAGGCTGGAATTTACCTGAGATTAAGCTCTACTGAATTCGATATGGCTTACTTCTGAGGAGGGCAAAGGGTAGGATTGCACTGTAAATTCATTATCTGTGCTTCTTTGACAGGAATGGTGGGGTGAAAAATCCTAATAATAATACAGTGGTGCCTCGCAAGACGAAAAGAATCCGTTCTGTGAGTCTCTTCGTCTAGCAGTTTTTTCGTCTTGCAAAGCAAGCCCATAGACGGATTAGCGCTATTAGCGGCTTTTAGCGGCTTAGCGGCTTAGAAAAAGGGGGGGGGAGGAAAAAAACCCGCAGGAACTCGCAAGACATTTTCGTCTTGCGAAGCAAGCCCATAGGAGATTCGTTTTGCGAAGCACCTCCAAAACAGAAAACTCTTTCGTCTAGCGAGTTTTCCGTCTTGCGAGGCATTCGTCTTGCGGGGCACCACTGTAATAATACTAATGGCACATGCATACTAGCATTTATTGTTGGACTTGCTGCTGGAACTAACTGCACATGTCTAATATCTTGTTAGTCCCTGGAGCATTTTAAAACTCGTATTGGAAATTATACAGTGGCTTAAAACTTCCTTCCTGAGTTCATGTGAATGCATCTGTGGTGATCTTTTTACAAATCATTAAAATGAACAACGTGAAAGAACACACACACAAACATCCTTGAAGAGTAGCTTTTATTCTTGGTTACAACTTGTGCTTAAAAACTGGACTGACTTCATATGGCCATTTCCTTGAAAAATGCTTTGTCTCGATGCACACTAGGAAACAAACGTTCTCACTCCACAGCAACAGAGAGAATACATGTATTCTGGGAACTTGTGTTTACAGTTTTCTCACATTAAATAGGAAGCTTAAAGTTGCAAGGGGATTTAAAGAGTGCGGGTGCTTCACCAAGAGAGATATCTGGCTCCCACTCATACCAATGAACTATGGAACAATCTCTGGCATTCGTACATCTAGCAGGGAGTGAAATATATGTGCTACCCCTTTATATAAAATGTTTGCATGTTTCCACAGACGTTGATTGGAGTAATTTGTGGGTGTCCTTTTGTGCGTTTAAGAGGTAGCATGGAAGAACATTGGCCAATGCATATAGGAGTACAGAGAATAAAAATCCTCTTACTTGCATTTTACAGAGAAAAAGGCTTTGCTGTGTTATACATTATACCTGTTAAAATGTCTTTTTGCACACACAAAGTACACACAGCTTTACCATAAACCTCAGTGTTTCCAGGCTGGGTCTAGGGTTTGGTTTTGGCCTCATTTCTGGCACAACAATCTCTCCAATCTCTCACTCACACCCACAGAAGGTCCACTTGGGGGCAGGTTTAGTGATGTACAAAGACATCCTTAAAACGTGAACAAGCAGAACATTTCTCACAACGTGAATAAGTAGAGCTCATGGAAGCAACGTAAGGAAAATTGAACAAATAATTTTTCATTCTAGACGTGGATGGAGAAACTTGCTTAATTTGCAATTGGATCCCCCCAAACTGGTTCTGTATGCACTGTTTTCTATTAAAAGAATCGCTCCCATTCATAGTTTTCATGCCTAGATGCTCTTTGGAATATAGCTGGGTGCCAGACTGACACTTACAGCTTGCTTTTTATGAACCGTGGAGTTTGCAGTTTCTAGGGAAGCAAGCTGCATGGAGTGCTGCAAGTTTTTTTAAAAGGTACACATTTGCTGAGATATTTAGAAACATGAATTGTGCATGGTAGTGACTCAAGTCTTGGACAACCTGGCACACACAACAACCATCGCATGAAAGCAAGCAGGGAAGGAAAGCTCATCCACGTCAGATATTTAAATATATAATATTCAAGATAGATCAGTGTAAATGGATCAGAACCAGGACTTCTGTTGCTACCTGTAGGCCCATGTACAGTAGATTGAAGCAGTCAGGGAGAAAAGGGAAGATTCTTGCAAAGTTGAGGGCATTTTTAAGGTGTTTAACATTTCAATTCACCCTAAAAAGTTTTCTGCCAGACACAAGTACCCCCAGACACAGATGGATCAGCCCTTTCTCCCAGGACACAGCACCTATTATCTGGAGAGACCAAGATGGCATTTGGTTCAGGTTAAGCTTCCCAGCGCCATCACGGATAGCGTAATAGTTCTTCCCAGCGGATGGGCTGTGAGAACACTTCTCTCTCCAGCCATAGTTCGTAAGAGTAATGGAAATCTTCAGGAAGGTCCAGGGGCTGGCCCAACACACTCTGCAAGCAGTTGTCCACTGGAGCAAATTCAGAGTCCTGGGATTTATCATACCTCCGGCTGTTAAAGGCTTCAATATTGGCTCGTAAAGTGCATTCTTCAGCTTGGAAGTCCCAGGGCCGAGCATCGATATCTACGTGTCAACAAGACAAGAGAGAGCCAAGATGAAAACTGGAAGGTGCTCTTTCTGGTAAAACAGAACAACCTCTTTGGGGTTGGGTCTGAGCCCACAGCTCTGTCAGCGTTGAGACTCATAGTGTCAATAATGGTCTTTGGAGTGACATCCTTGGATTCCTAGTGGCCCCAAGAATGAGTCATTTCATCATTACTGGAGATAATACCATATTTTTCGCTCCATAAGACGCACCTGACCATAAGACACACCTAGTTTTTAGAGGAAAACAAGAAAAAAAAATTCTGAACAAAACAATGGATGTATGATTTTTGTGGTTCATGCTGTGGCCACAGACATGATATGTGATTTGACGGTGAGTTTGGGGTAGCCCAGTGCAAAAATCCCAAGGATCCATGTGGATCCATGCTTTGTAACCACATTTTTGCGCCATTGCGGCCCCACGAAACAGTAGATGCATGATTTTTTTTGGTGCAGGCTGTAGCCATGGACATGCTATGTGATCTGATGGTGAATTTGGGGTGACCCAATGCAAAAATCCTGAGGATCCATGTGCTTTTACCTCCCCCCTCCCAGGTAGCCTCCTTTATCGCTAGAGTCCCTTATCTCCCTCCCATCACTTGCCGATCAGCTGCTCAGCAGCTTTGTTTCAACACCCCATCCCCTCTTTCTAAAAATAAAAAAGCACGATCTGCTTTTCGCCCCTGGGGCAATTCGGCTCCAGGGACCACGCATTTGCTCCATAAGATGCACAGACAATTCCCCTTACCTTTTAGGAGGAAAAAGGTGTGTCTTATGGAGCGAAAAATACGGTGTATGCATTTCATGCCAATGGTCCGAGTCCCAATCCCTAGATTCTCCAGCTAAGACATCTCAGGTAGTTGGTACTGAGAATGCTCTCTGATCTCTAAAGTCCTGGAGACCACTGCCAGTCAGAGGCTAAATGGAAGAGCAAACTAACTCTGTATATGGCAGCTTCAGGGGGTCACAATGGAAAGTACCCCAAATGGGACACTGCATAGGCAAAGGGAACACCGCGTCTTAAAATCTGCAGTTAAGGAGCCCAGCTAAGTCAATACACCTGAACGGTGCTAAACCACATTGACCTGATGGGGTTTATGACACAATAACACCTGGAGGGACAGCGTGGTTGGTGCCCTGTGCAAGCAAAAGAGACAGATCAAATGTTCAGTGGGTGATAGAGAGATGGGGAATGCCCGCAGAACGCTCAGCCAAGACCAGCATCACCCTTCCAGGCAAGGAAGGCATCTGCAACACCCACCGTTGCCGTAAGCCCAATCGTCGTTCATGCGATGGCGCACTTTCTGGTAGATGGCGGACATTGTCTTCATGTTGCTCTTCCTCCACTGGCGCCCGAGATACTTGGTCTGGATCTTCAGCAGCTTCAGGACGTAGAGCTGCATCATGGCTTGCTTGACTTTCAGAGCCCGTTTCAGGATAGGTGCAGACTTGAAGACCACCAACATCTACCGATATACCAAACAGCAAGCAACAGAACAAGATATATTTCTTTTAGGAGTACAGTCTTAATGATTGCAGGAACAGGCAAACAATACATTTAAGGCTTTCAATATGAGTGGAAAAGGGATGCGGGTGGCACTGTGGGGTAAACCACAGAGCCTAGGGCTTGGCGATCAGAAGGTCAGCGGTTCGAATCCCCGTGACGGGGTGAGCTCCCGTTGCTCGGTCCCTGCTCCTGCCAACCTAGCAGTTCGAAAGCACATCAAAGTGGAAGTAGATAAATAGGTACCACTCCAGCGGGAAGGTAAACGGCGTTTCTGTGCGCTGCTCTGGTTCGCCAGAAGCGGCTTAGTCATGCTGGCCACATGACCCGGAAGCTGTATGCCGGCTCCCTCGGCCAATAAAGCGAGATGAGCGCCGCAACCCCAGAGTCAGCCACGACTGGACCAAATGGTCAGGGGTTCCTTCACCTTTACAAGTGGAAAAAGCAACCCAGCAAGATATGGTAGAACATCTGCTTTGCAAGCTGAAGATGCCAGCCCTGGTTTCTCCAGGTGGCACTGGGGATGCTGGAAATCCTGGAGAGCCTCTACCAGTTAGCACAGACCAGGAGCAGGAACAGGAAACCTCCATCCCGGTATCTTGACCTACCTGGGGAGGCCAAGTTAATCTCTGCGGCTGTGTTACCCAAACCATGCCCACCTATGCACCAGCTGACATCACTCCTCATGGGTCCAAGGGCATGATTGCATCCTGCACTGGCTACGTGCCCTGTTCCCAGTAGGGAACAGGACCCCACAGCAAAGGCAGCAGGAGTTGATCTCCATTCATCAGCTGATGAGCAGGGATTAAATAAGAGGGAATCAGGAAAAGTGCGCTAAGTGGGAGAGGGAAACAGCAGATCTTCAGGACCCTATTCCTATTTCCTGGTGTCTGAACAACTCATTTATCACTCACAGCTCTGACTTCACTCATTGGCCAGGCTGGTTCATTTCACAGGAATTGCTTAGAAGGGTACCTGCACATTTTACTTCACAACCTGTTTCCTGGGAGGGCTAGAGACCTTTTTTAAAAAGTGAAAGCTCAGAGTCTGGGGACCCTGGCTAGTGACACCAATGAAGGCCTGTGTTGGCAATCCCCTGGTTCGGATCAACAGAAGAATGTCCTATTTTGTTAAGCTTGCAAATCTTTAGTTTCCAGAACAGTACAGGTTCATTAATAGGACGCGGGTGGCGCTGTGGGTTAAACCACAGAGCCTAGCACTTGCCGATCAGAAGGTTGGCGGTTTGAATCCCTGCGAAGGGCTGAGCTCCTGTTGTTCAGTCCCTGCTCCTGCCAACCTAGCAGTTCGAAAGCACAAAGTGCAAGTAGATAAATAGGTACCGCTCCAGCAGGAAGGTAAACGGTGTTTCCGTGCACTGCTCTGGTTCGCCAGAAGCGGCTTAGTCATGCTGGCCACATGACGCCAAGAAAGCGAGATGAGCGCCGCAACCCCAGAGTCGGCCACGACTGGACCTAATGGTCAGGGGTCCCTTTACCTTTACAGGTTCATTAAAATACACACACACACACACACACACACACACACACACATACTACATTTAAAGCCCAGGAAATAAATCTCTAAAATTCAAAAAAACCAGAAGCATTTTTACTTGGTATTATAGGTGAGGATATTAATAGAGAAGATGTTAAATTGTTCTTATATGCAACAAAAGCGGCAAGAGTATTGTTAGCCCAGAAATGGAAGCAAGACGAAATTCCGATGAAAAAAGAATGGCAGACAAAATTAACGGACTACGCAGAATTAGATAAAATGACAGGAAGGATTCGAAACCTGCGGGACCAGAGATTCACAGAAGATTGGAAGAAATATACAAAACTATTTGAAGAGCAACTGTAATCAACAAATTACGCTAGTAGGACTACAAGAAGTTTTGTAAGGAGAAATATATGAAACATTGCAAAGTAGAGACAGAATAGAGAGATTAGTTGTGAGATTTAAATGTAATAGTGAAATTAAGCAATGTATATTAAGTGAATTGATTGGAAAATTTTCAGCTGTGATTGATGGAAGTAAAAAAAACCTATAAGATGTAAAAGTATGTTTAATTACTGTTGAAAATGATATGTTAAAAAAACTAATAAAATTTATATAGATATAAAAAAGAAATCTCTAAAATTAGGGGGGAAAGCCATCTGAAAAATGTGTTTCTGTTGTTGGCATCCGTCTGCCTCGAGAGACAAAGGAGGAGTACACCTTTGGAGGTGAAGTCAAACTGTTGGGAAGTTATGGCGTCTGCTGTGGCTGTAGAGACCGATACAGGAGAGCCATCTGAAACATGGGTTTCTAAAACCCACATGAAATTTGGAAAGTTGACGCCATCTGCATTGCTGGGGGTGGCGTCACACAATTTGCCAGCTCACGCTCTGTTCTCTAGATACACCAGAGTAGATGAATCATTCTTTCATTACATATTTGGTCTCACGACACAAACTGCGGGAACATGTCAGCTCAGTGTGTAACATCTACATCAGGCTAGTTCAGCCAGCTGGCATCTCACCATTGTCCTGGAATGCTTCCATTTGGTCAGTTTGTTGAGGATCCTCAGAAGGTTGATGCAGGAGAAGAGATTCCTCCAACAGAACTGGTTGTTGTCCCCCACTTCCTGCAATCGAGGAGGAAGGAAGCCATCATAACATGAATAGGCTAGTAAGGACTGATAAAGCTTTAAACAGCCTGGGCCCGGCACAGCTACGATATGATACAATACCATACGATATCTTTATTGTCATTGTCCCATACAGAACAATGAAACTGAAAAATCTACGTAAGACATTCAAAAACCCCTAAAGACTCTGAAACCCCATTTTAAAATACAATATACTATAAAAGGTAAAGGGACCCCTGACCATTAGGTCCAGTCGTGACCGACTCTGGGGTTGCGGCGCTCATCTCGCTTTACTGGCCGAGGGAGCCGGCGTACAGCTTCCGGATCATGTGGTGCTGTGGGTTAAACCACTGAGCCTAGGGCTTGCCGATCAGAAGGTCGGCAGTTCGAATCCCCGCCACGGGGTGAGCTCCCGTTGCTCGGTCCCTGCTCCTGCCAACCTAGCAGTTTGAAAGCACATCAAAGTCAAGTAGATAAATAGGCACCACTCCGGCGGGAAGGTAAACTGCGTTTCTGTGCGCTGCTCTGGTTTGCCAGAAGCGGCTTAGTCATGCTGGCCACATGACCCGGAAGCTGTACGCCGGCTCCCTCGGCCAGTAAAGCGAGATGAGCGCTGCAACCCCAGAGTTGGTCACGACTGGACCTAACGGTCAGGGGTCCCTTTACCTTTTACTTGGCCCCGAGAAAACCTGCCGCATAGCAAAGGAATCATTAACCACCGTCAGTTCACTTAGTAAACCACTAGAGGCCACTGTTGCTTCAGAGTACAGCACTTTGATGGAAGTAGGGAAGAGTAGCTCTCAAATTAGAGCAATCTATACCCCAGCAACAAACCCACTTAAAATAGGCAGCCCATTCATTTCAGTGCGCAGGAGAAATCCTCTGCTCATGGAGCCCTTTTAAATTGCCAGTCACTGCTCAGTTTGCACTTTAGCAAGTATAGATTCCAGGGGGTGGAGACACACAAACAAGTCTAATTTTTTTCAAGAGGTAGAGGCATAAATCATCTTGCTTGCTTACTACAGTAAGACTGCAACTGACACAGGGGTTAGGCTCTGGGGATTGCACCCAAAATCACGTATAGTCAAAACCCATTTGGGAACAGTGGCAGGAGGGATTGCCAAAGTCGTTTTTCCCAGAACGCCACACCCTTTCCTCCCCCCATTCTTCTTTTTTTTAAGGCGTGTTCCGTGCCTGAAATCCTGGAGAGTCAGTATTGGTAATATGGCTTTCTGATTAAGATTTCTGGGAAACTTGAAATCTTGCACACTATTTTATGACAGTTTGGTAGGTTTAATATGGGCTTTGGAATCAGGAGGATGAAATTGATGGACTATGCAGAACTAGATAAACTAATGGGAAGAATTCGAAACTGGCAGGACCAGAGATTCACGGAAGATTGGCATAAATTTACGGACTATATGAAAAGTAATTGTGATGATCAGATTACATTGGTAGGTTTGCAGGAAGTTTTGTAAGGGGAATAATTTGTATGATTGCATTATTGAACGAAAAGGATAATATTAGTCATGATAATTAAAGGCAATATGAATTTAAGAAATGAAGAAGAAATTATAAAAATGGGAGATCTGCAGAGGCGCTGATAGAAGTCCAAAAAGATTGTATAAGAGGTGAAATTTTGTGGAATGTTTGTTTAAGAATATGTTTTAAAATGAATAAAAATTATTTAAAAATAAATAAATATGGGCTTTGGAATCGACCAGCAAGTGCGTTATTAATCCCATTTTACAGAGAGCAAATGGAGGCCCCTGACACTGTATCTTGCCTAGCCCACAGGCAACGTGGATGTGAAGAGTAATCGTCGTTCTCCTTACCAAGCTTTCAGCGTTGAGTTCTGGTAACTCATGGACCGTGCAGGAGGGATAATCCAGGACAGAGATGCTTCCGGGGAAATCAAAGGAGAGACACACACATGCATCAGTTCACTGCCATTACAGACGGATGTCAACGCATCAGGTTTAAAATTGCCTTTGTGTTCCCAGAAGGGACGGGAGATTAACTTTCATGCAGGCATTACCTGTTTTTGGCAGTGATGTAGGACATGATATTCTGGTTGAAGAACTTCAGGATCAATGGGATGCAGTTGGCAAACACCAGGTGCTGAGAGACATACTCAAACTGGAGAGACAAGGGAGTCCAGAACATGAAACAGGAAAGAGCGTTAACTAGCACACACACAAACACTACGGCTACTTCCAATATTTGCTTCTGGGCATGTCTCTTCAGACAGTCAAAAGTTTCACATGGGACCACTTGATGGCATAGCTGTCAACTTACAGATTTGAAAATAAGGGACCAGCAGCCAAGGAAATAAGGGATCAGCAGCCAAAATTAGGGATTTTCCAAGCACAGGTATGTTCGACTTCTGAGCCCCTCCGAGCGAAAAGCAGAAAGCCCAGCCAGCAGCCAAACGAATCCTCAAGCGGTGGTTCCCACAGCACAGCAACCCGGCAAAGGGGATGCAGCAAGGGAAACCACCGTCACCTCTCCGCTGGGAAGCGCTGAGCAAAGGCGAGTCCCCAGGCAGCGCGGCCAAATTGATCGGCACAAGGCATGCAAACTCCACCCCCCAGTCGTTCTTAGGCTCCTTATTGGGTGAGCAACGCAGCCAAGCAACACAGTTGGAGCCTCCCTCCTCCCTGGCCGGCAGGGAGGGAGGGAGAGGAGCGGCTTCCTTTGAAACCCGGGAAATTTACGGGACATCATCAGTAAGGGACAGCAGTGGGACACGGCGCTGGGCTAAGGGACTTTCCCGCCCAATAAGGGACGGTTGACAGCTATGCTTGATGGGCTCCAGTTTCCAATTTCTCTCCTTCCCCACATTTCAGGCTTAGCACAGTCCTCTTGGCAGCTGCAACACGTCTTTAAAGCTCTTTTTGGTCTGACAGTCTAACCCTTTTATGGAAGTAAAATGCCTTCCTAAACTACATCCCAAGGACTGACTGCTGGCCATTGCTGCTAGCTCCTAAAAGCTCACCTGGTAGCCCCAAAAGCTGATATTACAACACCAGAAATACCATCCCACTCAGCCTTTGTTCTGTACACCAGTGGAGAGTGGTTATACATAATCCTGCTTTCAATACTATTTATGGCTGCGGACATGGGATGTGTGTGTCATACTGCATTGTTTCCACTCGGTTCATGTCCCATAGCTTCCCCCTGAAATCATGTAACTTCTTCTGTTCCCCATTCATCTTGCAGCTCTTGATACCACAGATGTGACTGTTGGGGGGCGTTCCTGCTTTTGTTGTGCAATAGCACAAGAGAGCCCCTCCAGACAGCAATAATGTGATAACATTGGGTGTGGGAGGTCAAGTACCATATATTTTGCTCTATAAGACTCACTTTTTCCCTCCTAAAAAGTAAGTGGAAATGTGTGTCCATCTTATGGAGCGAATGCAGGCTGCGCAGCTATCCCAGAAGCCAGAACAGCAAGAGGGATTGCTGCTTTCACTGCGAAGCGATCCCTCTTGCTGTTCTGGCTTCTGAGATTCCGAATATTTTTTTTCTTGTTTTCCTCCTCCAAAAACTAGGAGTGTCTTATGGTCTGGTGCGTCTTATGGAGCGAAAAATACGGTATATATCCACCTCTACTGCAGTATTATTGCACCAATGACAGGTTGCGGAATGCACCTGCAAAACGAAACACCAGTCTGAAGAACCGCTCTTAAGAGAACCACAGATAACAGAGAACCAATCCAAGAAACGTGGGAGGGAAAGGGACAAAAGTCTGCCTTATTACTGCTCCGAAGACGCACCTGATAGATGTGGTTCAGCTTGAAATGTTTCAGGAGCAGCAGAAGCAAGGCCGAGATGCTCTTCACAATGATCTCTTTGTGCCTGTTCACGTCGATCCCCAGTTTCATGCTCTGAAGGACTGTGATGCTAACCCAGAAAGGGGTGGGGGAAAGGAGGAAGAACTTAAAAGCAGCTCAGCGTCGACCCAGTTCGAAATCCAGGCAAAAAAACAACACCACGGGGAGGGTGTGAAGCAGCTCCAGCAAAAGCTGAGGGCTGGGGAAAGTTTCAAAGACCAATCAGAGATAATAATAATAATAAATTTTATTTATACCCCACCCTCCCCAGCCAAGACTGGGCTCAGGGCGGCTAACACCAGATATAAAACAATTGATTAAGATACAACTTAAAAACAATATTACAGTGGTACCTCAGGTTAAGTACTTAATTCGTTCCGGAGGTCCGTTCTTAACCTGAAACTGTTCTTAACCCGAAGCACCACTTTAGCTAATGGGGCCTCCCACTGCTGCCGCGCCACTGGAGCACAATTTCTGTTCTCATCCTGAAGAAAAGTTTTTAACCTGAGGTAATATTTCTGGGTTAGCGGAGTCTGTAACCTGAAGCGTATGTAACCTGAGGTACCACTGTAAAATACAACATTAAAAAGCAGCCTCATTTCAATAGGAACTCAAATCAAACCTAGACGGCTGATTTGGCCCCTGAGCCTGAGGTCCCCCATCTCTGACACACCAGAAGTCAGAGAATGAGAAAAACGATGAAAAAGATGAATAATCAAGCGGAGGACCAGGTACTTCTTTTCTTTGATGGGATTCCTACTTCAGGCTAGCAGTTCACCGCCAACGCTTCCTGCTAAGACGTCTGACATTCTTATTTAAAAGCAAACGGTTGCATTTCACCATCTTTCTTTGTAACAACAATTAAGGAGGCCGTGGGGTTGTGAGGAAGCAAGGGCACCCAAGTGAGGCTGATTTGTGGAAGGAAAAAAAGGTCATCCACCAAAACCCCACGGAAAGGAAGGTTAGAGCAACTGGCAAACCTCAGCCATGAGAATTCCCCTCCATTTTGCTCATTTTAAATGTAATTTATTTTCTCATTAACCGATAGAGAATTGTGAACTGCCCTGAGACCTGCGGGTATAAGGTGGTACACAGATTTTAAGAGTACTAAAGCTAAAGGGACCCCTGAAAATTAGGTCCAGTCGTGGCTGACTCTGGGGTTGCGGCACTCATCTCGCTCTACTGGCCAAGGGAGCCGGCGTACAGCTTCCAGGTAATGTGGCCAGCATGACTAAGTCGCTTCTGGCGAACCAGAGCAGCACACGAAACGTCGTTTACCTTCCCGCCGGAGTGGTACCTATTTATCTACTTGCACTTTGACGTGCTTTCAAACTGCTAGGTTGGCAGGAGAAGGGACCGAGCAACGGGAGCTCACCCTGTCGCGGGGATTCGAACTGCCGACCTTCTGATCGGCAAGTCCTAGGCTCTGTGGTTTAACCCACAGCACCACCCGCGTCCCTTTAAGAGTACTAGCAGAGCCTAAATGCAATCAGAAGGCCCACTGCAGCCATATTCTAACATGCCAACCACTGCTACAGCTTCTATTGCTGTCTGCAAATCCTAATGAATTTGGTATTATTGCTGCTCTGTAGGGGGCATATATATCACCGTATTTTTCACTCTATAAGACGCACCAGACCACAAGACGCACCTTGTTTTTGGAGGAGGAAAACAAGAAAAAAAATATTCTGAATCTCAGAAGCCAGAACAGCAAGAGGGATCGCTGCGCAGTGAAAGCAGGAATCCCTCTTGCTGTTCTGGCTTCTGGGATAGCTGCGCAGCCTGCATTCGCGCCATAAGACGCACACACATTTCCCCTTACTTTTTAGGAGGGAAAAAGTGAGTCTTATCGAGCAAAAAATACGGTAAACCCTGCCACAGCCTTCTGAGGATTCAGCACCGCAACGAAGGAACGTGAGGAAAAAGACACTCACGTATACATCCAAAAAGACCATGTCTCGAATGGGTAAGCCTGACTCCCAAGAGAAAGGTGTGGGAGACCACAATTTTTAGGAGTGAAGGTGCAAAGTTGATCTGCAACAAGTGTGCAACATCCATCACACAGAAACCTGACGGACCTTCGCCCATTGCCCAGGTCAAGCTCGCTGAGAGATTACACAGATGTCACCCACCAGGTGATTTATCAGTCAAGCACTTACGGCATCTCCTCAGGTAACACGTCGGCCAGGATGTTGATGGAGTCCGTCTTGGCTTTGGAAGTTGGCGCTGCAGCTAACAGGATCTTCAGCAAAGCTATCTGTAGCAGGGGGGAACACCCGCCCCAGACCCCAAATCAGGCATTGTGACGTTAACGTATGAGAGTGCTGGAGGTGAATTAGTTAAACAAGTTACCCAATCAGAACCCAGGGGGTGGAGTCAGAGGGACTATAAAACCAGCTCTGGGAGGAGTTCGCTGGGAGTTGGGTGGTTGGTTGGAGTGGGACCTCAGTGTCTGGGCAGAATGATGGGGGTGGAGACGCTCCTTCAGATATACTGGACTGAGGCCGTTTAGGGCTTTAAGGCACCAACACTTTGAATTGTGCTCAGAAACATACTGGGAGCCAATGTAGGTCTTTCAAGACCGGTGTTATATGGTCTTGGCAGCCGCTCCCAGTGATCAGTCTGGCTGCCACGTTCTGGATTAGTTGTAGTTTCCGGGTCACCTTCAAAGGTAGCCCCACATAGAACGCAGACAGATGATACCCACCATGTACTGTGGCAAGTTGTACAGCATCACCCGGTAGAGTATTTCGCAGGGGGTCTCCTGCACGTCCTCTTCCCCCTGAAGCACGACAGGACAGATACAGGAGGGAGAGATGGGAAGGGAAGGCTGTGAAGCGCATCAGTCACACCATTTTCCAAACCAAGCAGGAAACAAAAGGAGGTACGGGGCGGGAAAGGGGGCAGCTCCACTTGCAGCCCAGTACTCCTACTTTTCTAAAGATGCTCTAGCACTTTCCTGCAGATCCCCACCCCCGATGTGGAATTTGCAAACTCAAATTCTGGGCACATCACCCAAGAACTGTGATCTCCACACTTCCAGCCCCAAGAAAAGGAGTCCCATAAGCATAAGGATTTCCACTTTCACAACAGCACTCCCTCCCCATGCAAGCCCCCTAAATCTGTTCTAAGGGGTTCCCCGAACCCACCAGAGCAGAGTTAGGGAAGGCGCATGGCACACAGAGTGGGGAGGACGGGAGGAAGTCCCATTGCACAAGCAGAAATCCTGGCACTAATGGAACGCGTTAGCTGGATACAGCCCAGGGTTATCCAACGGGGGAAATCCATTCACTGACTCTCTCTAAACATCCCCTCTCTTGCTAAGACAGCTCTACACTAACCCCAAAGTGAGAACCTCTAAGTTCCTGGACAGCTCAGTAGCCACAGCATCAGACCTTCAGTCTGACAGTCCAGGACTTAAATCCCTGCTGGGACGTACAAGGAAAGAACAGTTTAGGGGCAGAGGTTGCAGGCAGTTAAACAATCCAATGAAACAATCTGTTGAAGATGGGCCAGGAGTGACCATCCTCCGCTTTGAGAGCACAGAGAGATGCTGCCAGTCAGAGTGGAGCAGACTAGGCAGACCAGTCTCTCTAGAACAGTTTCACATACTTGCATTTCTGCTGAGGGAGTGTCCCTTTTAAAATTATTATTATTATTATTATTATTAATACCCCACCCATCTGGCTGGCTTTCCCCAGCCACTCTGGGCGGCTTCCAACAAAATATTAAAATACAATAGCCTATGAAACATTCAAAGCTTCCCTAAACAGGGCTGCCTTCAGATGTCTTCTAAAAGTCTGGTAGCTGTTTTTCTCTTTGACATCTGGTGGGAGGGCGTTCCACAAGGCAGGTGCCACTACCGAGAAGGCCCTCTGCCTGGTTCCCTGTAACCTCACTTCTCACAGGGAGGGAACCGCCAGAAGGCCCTCGGCGCTGGACCTCAGTGTCTGGGTAGAATGATGATGGTGGAGACGCTCCTTCAGGTATACTGGGCTGAGGCCGTTTAGGGCTTTAAAGATCAGCACCAACACTTTGAATTGTGCTCGGAAACGTACTGGGAGCCAGTGTAGGTCTTTCAAGACCGGTGTTATGTGGTCTCGGCGGATGCTCCCAGTCACCAGTCTAGCTGCCACATTCTGGATTAATTGCAGTTTCCGGGTCACCTTCAAAGGTAGCCCCATGTAGAGCGCATTGCAGTAGTCCAATTGAGAGATAACTAGAGCATGCACCACTCTGGGGAGACAGGCTGCTGGCAGGGAGGGTCTCATCCTGCGTACCAGATGGAGCTGATAAACAGCTGCCCTGGACACAGAATTGACCTGTGCCTCCATGGACAGCTGTGAGTCCAATAAATGCCCCATACATCCTTCTAGATCTGGGAACTTTCCTCTTGTACTTTTTCACATCAATTAGAACGAGATTTAGGAGCAGGTTTACGCTGCTGTTCTGAAAAAGTGGGATGCAGCCCAAGAGACGGACTCAGAAGGAAGCTTACCAAAGACATGGGACACTTCTCCAGCTCCTCTTCATTCCTGATTTGCACTTCGGAGATCGAGACATATTTATGCTGAGGGACAAGATGCAAACGGGAGGCTTCGGTCAAAAGATCACGGCAACTTGAGCAGCAAACCAATGGGAAGCCCCAACGTGATTATCAGACACCCCCCGAGTGGAGGCATCCTCTGGTTCCTTTCTCATTGCACCAGCATGGCAGGTGGTCAGAGGAAGAACTACTGTAGAGGCATCTCAGACCAGCTAGCAGGAACTTCTAGGCAAAGTCTTCCAAGACCAGGAGCTATGGGAAGGACAGGAAGGCATAATCCCTTGGCTCCAATGGCTTTGCTGAGAGTCTCTCTGTAAACTGGCCCAAGATATCTTCATTCACGGTGGCAGCAATGACTGAGGGACTAGTGTACAACTGACAAGTCCCTGTTAGGATTTCATGCCCCCCAGTGCTGATTTTATGCTTGGTATATTTCACACGCCTGTCTGAATGGAGCCTGAGAAAGGACGACTCTCTTATTTATCTCTCTTCCGGTGTGAGAGTCTGTGAAGCTGTACCGTATTTTTCGCTCCATAAGACGCACTTTTTTCCTCCTAAAAAGTAAGGGGAAATGCCTGTGCGTCTTATGGAGCGAATGTGTGGTCAACTGCTGGCTCCCTTTCCGGCCCCTTGCCCAGGTCTCCATTGCTGAGTGTTCTGCAGACGGAGGCTGTTTGTTTCCCCAGCGACATGGGACTGGCTGATTTGATTATCTGTCTGGAAACTGTAGAAACGGCTCCCTTTCCTTTCCTAAAGAAGCCGCACAACTTTGAGCTGATCCTCGAAAAAATGGGACTTTTCCCCTTTGCAAAAGAAGCTGCACAGCTTTGAGCTAAGCCTCAAGAAAATGGGGCTTTCCTCCTCTAAAAACTAGGTGCATCTTATGGAGCAAAAAATATGGCACTTTCGCTTTTGCGCTGTTCTGTTTGTTCTCAGAGCTGGGGAGAACAGACGCCATAATGCTGTTGTCTGTAAATATTCTGTAAATAAATAGTAGTTTAGAACTACGACGCCTCTTTCTTTTGCTGTGTCAAGAGAGAAGGCTAGTGTGCATAAATCAAGTTGGTTTATGTCGCTGGAGCGCCCTGATGCCTTTTCCAGAGCTATGCTCACCGGAGGACACTCAGAGGTCTGGGGTGGGGGCTGCCGATAGCTCGGAGCGCTCTCCCAAGAGTCCCCACCCCACAAAACCCACCATCAGAAAGAGAGGCGCCATCATGTAAGCGCCTAAGTTAGAATTTACCTGTTTTAAGGTCTTTTAAGGTGGAGGGAGACCTTTACCACATGTGGTGGACCTGTGGTAAAGTGAAGGGCTTCTGGGAATTAATTTACAATGAACTCAAAAAAATCTTTAAATATACTTTTCTTAAAAAGCCCGAAGCCTTTCTACTGGGATTGACAGGAAAGGAAATTTAAAATAAAACAAAAGCCTCTTTCTATATGCCACGACGGCAGCAAGAACTATGTTGGCCAAGAACTGGAAAACGGATGTAATACCTACTATTATGGAATGGCAGGTTAAAATGATGAATTATGCAGAGCTGGCCAGAATATCAGGAAAATTAAGAGACCAGGATGAACAGAAGTTTCAAGAAAGTTAGAGTAAATACTTGACGTATATAAGAGACAACTGTAAAACTTTAAAGACACTGGTAGGGTTAAAATAACTCTAACAGCGTATGGTAGATAAAGTAAATCACACAAAATGCGCGATGTTAGAATTTATATGATACTTACCGAAGGAATGGAGGGAAGTCCAAAGCTCGGCAGAGCTTAGATAAATATGTGATTTATTTGTATAAGGTATGTATGTATGTATGTATGTTCAATGGAAAATCAATAAAAAATTAATAAAAAAAAGAATTTACCTGTTTTAGGGTCTTCACACTTTCATGAATGGGGCGTGGTAACCCCACTAAGGTATCTGTGTCCCTGAAAGAAGGAGGGGGGGAGATAGGGGGCAGGAATGAGAGGCTTAGTGTCAAACCATCATCTAATTATTCATAGTGCAGTTGATCTCTCTATCAAATAACAATTTTTCCACCTTGCATCACCTTCTTTTTTTAAGCTGTGGACCATGCAACAACAAACACGCAAGCCATCGTTTGTTTCTGTACCTGTCAGCCATTTGCATTGTTAAAATATAAATATACACAGACTCAGAAAGCCTACTAACTCACTGACAGATTCGCCTAATTTGACAGCTGCAATTTGTTTTCTGCAATTGCCTTTAAACTCAAATGAACAGGGATTGCAATAGATTCTCTCCTCTTACTGGATGAGTTACATATTTTCTCTCTCATCAAGCAGAGGCTGTTAGATCATGAATTTCTAAAACGTTATCCTATTCAGCCCTCTGTATGCGCATCTGTTTACTGACGTTTGCGGCCTCATCAGGGAATGATGCCCACCTATTTTTATAATTTAGATACCCCTTTGTATCGTAGAGTTTTTTTAATTAGCCCGTTTAAATGAATTCCCCTTATTTGTAATGTCTGGAAGGTTCCAAAAAAATACCTTCCAGAATAGACTTTGCTCTCATGGTATAATAATAATAATAATAATAATAATAATAATAATAATAATTGTTGTTGTTGTTGTTATCTATACCCCACCCATCTGGCTGTGCTTCCCTAGCCACTCTGGGCGGCTTCCAACAAAATATTAAAATACAGTGGTACCTCGGGTTAAGTACTTAATTCGTTCCGGAGGTCCGTTCTTAACCTGAAACTGTTCCTAACCTGAAGCACCACTTTAGCTAATGGGGCCTCCCGCTGCTGCTGCGCGATTTCTGTTCTCATCCTGAAGCAAAGTTCTTAACCCGAGGTACTATTTCTGGGTTAGCGGAGTTTGTAACCTGAAGCGTCTGTAACCTGAAGCGTCTGTAATCCGAGGTACCACTGTACAGTAATGCATCGAGCTTTAAAAGCTTCTCTAAACAGGGCTGCCTTCAGATGAATACACCAGATACAATATACCATATACCATATACAGTAATACCTCTGGATACGAACGGTCCTTCTTGCGAACGCTTCGGGTTACGAGGTCCGCTAACCGGAAGTAGCTGCTCCCGGTAGCAAACTTTGCCCTGGGATGCGGGCGAAAGTCGCACTCCGGAGTAGGAGGCACCATTAACGAAAGTGTGCCTCAGGATAAGAACGGCTTCCGGTTACGAACGGACCTCCGGAACGAATTAAGTTCATAACTGGAGGTACCACTGTAATTTTGAACCCGGACCCTGCAGTCATCATCACAGGCCCTTCTTTGTGTGCCTCCTCCATGAGGTCCAGAGGGTGGCAAGGCAAGACACTTTTCTGAAGTGTCTGCACGCACGACATGACGACATTGCGTGGCCCCAGCCCCCCTCAATCACGGAGGCGCAAGCGCTCCGGGAAGAGCGCAGAGAGGAAAAAATGCCATGGTAATCCGTAACAGCAAAACCAGATGCCTCAGCAGCCCCAGCTGCAACAAAACATGTCTCTCCTGTATCGGTTTCTACAGCCACATCAGGACTTGTAGCTCCCAATGGTTTGACTTCACCCCCAAAGGCACCGTCTTCCGTAAATGGTTGAATTAGCCAAAGGCCTGTTTTTGTTAGAATTCCTGCTCCGTGATTGCAGTCATGGGACTGTTGTCTATCACATGACGGTGTATGTTTTGACTCCACAGAGTGGGAAGTGACGGAGACAGGATGTTTGTGTTACCGTGTTCCGTAAAGTGGGACTATTGTCCTTTTTCTCTTTGCTGTCTGATGCTAGAGAGAGAGGGAGCCATGTTGAAGTGCTCTGTGTGTGTTTACATGTAAATAAAGTAGATTAGCCAAAATGCTGAGTTGCTGAGTTCTGTTACGCAAGCTGCGAAGACTCTGCGGATCCCTAAGTGTGCCGATGTCTGTTGGCATCGGTCGCTGTGATGTTCGGGCAGAAGAAAGCTTTTGAAGCTCCTGAACGATCGACCAGGAGGGAGGGAACATGCCGGTCGGGCACGTGTCTCTGCCAGGGTCCTACTCGAGAGTAGGACGAGCTCCTGACAGTTTTTGCCTGGCACCTAAAGATATGTAACGAAGGCGCCAGGCGAGCCTCCCTGGAGAGAACATCCCACAATCAGGGAGCCACTGCAGAGAAGGCCCTGTTCTTGCGTTGCCACCCTCTGGACCTCTCGAGAAGGAGGCACACAAAGAAGGGCCTATGATGATGACTGCAGGGGCCAGGTGAGTTCACATGGGGAAAGGCAGTTTTGCGCTCCTGAGCCGTTTCAGGCTTTATAGGTCAAAACCAGCACTATGAATTGGGCCCGGAAACTAACTGGCAGCCAGTGCAGTCAGACCAGAATTATCATTGTACAGTGGTACCTCGGGTTAAGTACTTAATTTGTTCCAGAGGCCTGTTCTTAACCTGAAACTGTTCTTAACCTGAAGCACCACTTTAGCTAATGGGGCCTCCTGCTGCCGCTGCGCCGCCAGAGCACGATTTGTATTCTCATCCTGAAGCAAAGTTCTTAACCTGAGGTACTATTTCTGGGTTAGCGGAGTCTGTAACCTGAAGCGTCTGTAACCCGAAGCATATGTAACCCGAGGTACCACCGTATGCTCAAACCGTTTTGCTCCAGTGAGCAACCTGGATGCCTAGTTATGCACGAGGCTGAAGCCCTATGTATAACGTGTTGGAGCAATATAATAATAATAATAATAATAATAATAATAATAATAATTTGTATTTATACCCTGCCCTCCCTGGCCAGAGCCGGGCTCAGGGCGGCTAACACCAATAAAATCACAGTAAAAACAGAATGGTGGGGGAACCAATTTAAAATACAGGTTAAAATGCAATTTAAAATGCAGCCTCATTTTCGGAGTAGCCGATGGATCAAGACCATAAGGGGAGGGCAACATAAGGGTCAGGCTGAGTCCAAACCAAAGGCCAAGCGGAACAGCTCTGTCTTGCAGGCCCTGCTAGATGCTCTGCTGAAAGGAATGATTTTCGTTGGGAAAACCACATGGGGCAAAAGGGTCAGTATTCTGATAATCAAGCCGCGACACCCCTATGATTAGAGCGCTGACATGCACGGTTGCAAACCCACTGTTATTCTGCAACATGCAAGCCAGCTCCTAGGAGACAAGAGTCTTTCCTCGATTCAGCCGGCAGCCCAATCGGTGATCAACGTCGAGCAGAAACCTTCATCTCAAGAAGTCGAAAACAGCCGCAAAGTGCAACCCTTCTCTCCCCAGACGCATAATGATAACTCACCGCCCAAGCGTGAATCCAATGAACTTATTTCTGCTCGCCTCCAGGAAATGTTCTATGTCTTTCTGTCTGGAAGAGAAGCAGTATGTTGCAGCGGCGGCGGGGTGCGGGCAGAGGTGGAATATATAACAAAAGCACACCACACATTAGGGGGCAGGACGGGGGGGGGCCCTCTCCAATATCTAGGCAGCTTGAGAGAAAACATTCTGCCTCCAGCCGATCTGTGTTCAGATGGTATCACACAGAGGTGAAAAGGATTTATTCTGAATATGGGTTTGTAGGCCATGCGCAATAAGCACGCACGCCTCTGTACATCACAGCTCTCGCATAGAAGCAAATTAAGTGCTCATCGCATTCCAAATAGCCCCGGGGACTTCAGATTCAACCATGTTCCCTGACTGTTTTATTTCTTCTCTTTGAAAAATCCAGTTCTTTTTTCTTTTGGGCGGTGGAATGCAACAATTTGGATATGGGCACACAGTTCGAAGGACGCCCCTCTCCCAGGGCTGGTTTAGCCACACAGCAGAATTTAGGAATTTCTCAAGCAGAAAACCACCACCATCTCAGGGACAAATACACTAGTCCTGCCTTGTGCAAGGTGCCCCGACTATAGAATTGGAGAAATCGAGAGAAATATAGCCACACTGGCAGTATATCTCTTCTTTCTCATATCTAGGGATGCAAGAAGGGCCTTTACACTCGCCAGAAGCTCGGCTCTTCCCTCGCCGGTCCTGGATGGAGCCTTCAGAAGGGTCCCGTATGCTCAGAGACTTTGCACCTGTCCATTGGGAGAGATAGGAAGCCCAGAACACTTGTTCTTTAGATGTCCCTTTTATGAAGAGGCACGTAGTAAGATCTTGGATCCCCTACTGGTGAGGCTCGCTGACCTCCCAGAAAAGCAAAAGTTTGACCTTTTGCTGTTAGGCAAAGATCAGAAGATGACCCGGATGGTCGCCAGACTCTGTGTACAGATCTGTAGGCGCAGACCATCGCCCAACTCAAAATAGTCCGGCATGAAAAGCCCCAAACACGGCTCTATGGGTGATTCTGAGTCAACTCCCTGGGACAGTTTATTGTTGTACACTGTTGCTAAATTTCGTGTTGTACATTGTTTTAATTGTCTGTTTTAACCATATCTGCACAGCAGTTTCTAATGTTGTGAGTGTCCTCTATTTAAGAGGCTTCTACTCGGCAGCCTCTTACAGTTGTTTTAACTGCGAGTCTTTTAGTTCTTATGCTCTTACAGTTGTTTTAACTGTGTGTCCTTGTTTGTTTTTAGTTCTTATCTGTTTTAATTATTCGTTTTTTATCCATCCATTATCCGTGTTTAATCTTGTATTTTATCCAGATGTTTTATCCTATGCCTGTTTCCTTGTCCTCATTTGCACTAACAATTATTGGTTAAAAAAAATCCAAACTGCTATTTTATCTATATGCTTTTTAATCCTGGTCTGAGACCGTAATAAAGTTCATTCCTTCATTCATTCACTAGTCCTGCCTGCTCTCCCTTGCTGTGCTAGCTTTCTCCTTGCAGGGAGATTCCAAAGCTGCGGCCTGAGTTGCTGCAGCTGTTCCACTACCAGGCACTTGCACGGATCAGGCCCCAGGATCTCGCTCCGAAGGGAAGGAGCCAGGGGTAGGAATACCTGACTTTGGGGGCCCAGGGAAGCCCCTTTGGGAAGGAGACCCTCTCGACGGGCGGGCGTGGGGCCGACACGGTCTGGATGACCGTGTCCCGCTCCAAGAGGTCCAGCTCCCCCTCGATGCCGTTGTCGATGTCATCGGGCTCCTCCTCATCCACCAGCACCTCGTCGTTCTTGAAGGGGTCCCTCTCGTTGTAGATGTCAAGGCTGTCCTGTTTCATCAGAGGCTGAAGGCGAAAGGAGGAGGAGAATGACTGTTCGGGTAGAGAGGAGTTGAGTAGCCCATCCACAGCTGCCTCCAGAGCCGGTCCACCCATGAGGCGGGATGGATGGCGGCTAACAGACTGAGGTTGAATCCTGACAAGACAGAAGTACTGTTTTGGGGGGACGGGGGCAGGCAGGTGTGGAGGACTCCCTGGTCCTGAATGGGGCAACTGTGCCCCTGAAGGACCAGGTGCGCAGCCTGGGGGTCATTTTGGACTCAGAGCTGTTCATAGAGGCGCAGGTCAACTCCGTGTCCAGGGCAATCATCTACCAGCTCCATCTGGTATGCAGGATGAGACCCTTCCTGCTCGCGGACTGTCTCGCCAGAGTGGTGCATGCTCTGGTTATCTCTCGCTTGGACTACTGCAATGCGCTCTACGTGGGGCTACCTTTGAAGGTGATCCGGAAACTACAACTAATCCAGAATGCGGCAGCTGGACTGGGGACTGGGAGCGGCCGCCGAGACCACATAACACCGGTCTTGAAAGACCTACACTGGCTCCCAGTACGTTTCCGAGCACAATTCAAAATGTTGGTGCTGACCTTTAATGCCCTAAATGGCCGCGGTCCAGTATACCTGAAGGAGCGTCTCCACCCCCATCGTTCTGCCCGGACACTGAGGTCCAGCGCCGAGGGCCTTCTGGCGGTTCCCTCCCTGTGAGAAGTGAGGTTACAGGGAACCAGGCAGAGGGCCTTCTCGGTGGTGGCACCCACCCTGTGGAATGCCCTCCCACCAGATGTCAAAGAGAACTACCAGACTTTTAGCAGACATCTGAAGGCAGCCCTGTTTAGGGAAGCTTTTAATGTTTGATGTATTACTGTATTTTATTATTTTATTGGAAGCCGCCCAGAGTGGCTGGGGAAGCCCAGCCAGATGGGTGGGGTATAAATAATAAATGATGATGATGATGATGATGATGAAGAAGCTGCCTCGGGTGGCAGGAACGCAAGATGTGGCACTCCACCCCTTCTGCTGGAACGTCCCGCTCTGGGTTTTGGCAGAAGGGAAGCATTTCAGCGCAGGGTCCTGCTGCCCATCTTCCCTGCCCCTGGGGATCCAGCAGATCCTTCTGGTGTTCTTACGATCACACAGGGGCCCCACAAGCTGCCACCACGAGCATGCAAAGTCAATATCCAATACTGCAAGCTTGGCGTGGCGGCAGACGTTGGTGGTCCTATCGCACGTCCCTGGCTGCAAAACTGATAGCGGACTCCTAGATATGTATTCTCCCTGGCTGCCCCACAGCTAGATTCACATTCCCCCCCTCAAAAAAACCCCCAGTCTAATCTTAATTAGGATTGTATTTGGTTGGGAGGAAACAGCAACTCCCTCCCCCCAAAAAAATGTTTTTGGGTTGTTTTAGTAGCTCTAATCCAGCCCTTGAGATGTAGAAGGTTAGCAAAAATGTATCATACTCATGATAATAAATGCTGGAAATGTAAGGAAAAAGAAGGAACCTTTCACCACATGTGGTGGACGTGCCCCAAGGTAAAAGACTTATGGGAAAGGATTTATAATGAACTGAAAATAGTGTTGAAAACCACATTTATTAAGAAACCAGAAGCCTTTTTACTTGGTATAGTGGGGGGTGAAATCCCCAAAAAGGATGTTACTTTTTTCTGTATGCTACAACAGCTATGAGAATATTATTAGCGAAGAATTGGAAGAAACAAGATTTACCAACTATCGAAGAATGGCAGATGAAGATGATGGACTATATGGAACTGACTGGGAGACTCCGAGACCAGAGAGAAGAGACGGTGAAAGAAGATTGGAAGAAGTTTAAGGAATATTTGAAAAAATATGTTAATATTTAAGCAGAACAGCTTTGGAAGTGGATATAGGCTGTAGGATTAGAAGTAGAAGATAGTGTATTTTAAAACAGTATTATTTGTAAGTGATAAAATGTGAAGATTTTTATGGTAAAAGTAAGCGTGATAAAAAAAATGGTTAGAAATTATGATATATGTAAACTGCTAAAGATGAGGTAAAATGAAAATCGGATAGGGGGGACTTGGGGAAGCCCACCTAACAATGTTTAGAGAAAATAAGGATAAGACAAGAATTTGTTTGTATTGTTTGTTTTTCTGTTTGTGTTGTTTAGTTGTGTTGTAAAGTGAATAACAAAATTTTTTGGGGGGAAAGAGATGTAGGCTAGAACTTTACCTTTTTTTGGATATAAAATTTTTCGCTATAGGAAAAATCAACATTTTAAGCAGGGGTGAGGAGAGTCATTTGGGCTTTTTCATAAGCCTACTCTAAAAATATCACTTTAACAAAAGACCATTAAAAACGGCCTTCCTTTCTACCAATGAACACAACTTTGCAGCCGTGTCTTACGCGTGTTTATTCGGAAGTCCCACTGAGTTAAATGGGTTTTACTTCCAGGAAAGTGGCTATACATTTGTAGCCTTTCCTTGACAAAGGCTGCAATTTCCTACCACTTACCTGGGAGAAGGCCACACAGAGCTCAAAGGGACTTCTTTCTCGTTTATTCATTCCAGGTTATTTCTAGAAGGCTAATTGTTCAAACCATAACTTCTGAGTTGGCACGCAATAGGTTTGCACTGCAGAAATCTCAACCCTTCTTGAAACAGCTACAAAACACCCACATTCGCTGAGGTTTTGAGTTTTGCTGAAAGGTAATCGCTTTTAATCATGCATTTAATTCAAATGAGGGGAGGGAGTGGATGCAAACACATTTTTTTAAAGGGAGGCAATGTGTCTGGTATGCCTGAGTTGGCTTCAAAATGAAGTCCATATCATGGTATCAGTTTCATAGTTTCTGACCTGGCAATATATCACGAATCATGATTTGTGTATTTTGTGTGCTATGCAAAAATCAAAAACCAGGAAAGAAATGGTCGTGTGGAAGAGGTGGATGAATTTGGGTATATTAATGTTAGACCTTCAGACCATATGGTTTGAAGCTCAACATCAAAAAAACGAAGATCATGGTCACTGGGCCGATCACCTCCTGGCAAATAGAAGGGGAAGAAATGGAGGCAGTGAGAGATTTTACTTTCTTGGGCTCCATGATCACTGCAGATGGTGACAGCAGCCACAAAATTAAAAGACGCCTGCTTCTTGGGAGAAAAGCAATGACAAACCTAGACAGCATCTTCAAAGCAGAGACATCACCTTGCCAACAAAGTTCCGTATAGGTAAAGTTATGGTTTTCCCAGTATTGATGTATGGAAGTGAGAGCCAGACCATAAAGAAGGCTGATCGCTGAATAATTGATGCTTTTGAATTCTGGTGCTGGAGGAGACTCTTGAGAGTCCCATGGACTGCAAGAAGATCAAACCTATCCATTCTTCAGGAAATCAGCCCTGAGTGCTCACTGGAAGGACAGATCCTGAAGCTGAGGCTCCAGTACTTTGGCCACCTCATGAGAAGAGAAGACTCCCTGGAAAAGACCCTGATGTTGGGAAAGATGGAGGGCACAAGGAGAAGGGGACAACAGAGGACGAGATGGTGGGACAGTGTTCTTGAAGCTACGAACATGAGTTTGACCAAACTGCGGGAGGCAGTGGAAGACAGGAGGGCCTGACGTGCTCTGGTCCAGGGGGTCACGAAGAGGCGGACATGACTAAACGACTAAACAACAACAACAAGGTATCTAACTGTTGAAGATGCAATAGAGATAATGCTTCTCTAAAACATGCTTTTTCATTGTCCTATATTGAAAGATTTTTGGCAGAAGGTAACTGAAACCATCAACAGAACTGCATGGAACAACCTTTACAGAGCAAAATATCCTCTTGAGTTATATACCCAGAACATGGAACATTACAAAAGGACGATATGAGTGGACTTTCTGCACCCTGACCACAGCAAAAAGACTGATACTGATGAACTGGAAAAATAAAAATGTGGCTCCCTTCTAAGATTGGATTGAAGACTTAAACAAACTTGCAACGTATGAACAACTTGCATCTAAACACAGACTTGCCAGGGACAAATTCCACGATATTTGGAATCCATTCTTACAAATACTGTATTAGGTTCAGATCTGGTGAAGTGGAATAACACATTGTAAAGTATACAGATTTGGGTCTCCCCCCCCCTTTATTTTCCCTTCTACACAGATTTTTCTCTCTTTTATGTTTCTCACCATGTTTAGTGCATGTATAATCACGGACTTTTTGAACTTTCAATAGAAATGTTGTTTTTTTAAAAAGTGGGGGAAACCGTGAAGCCAGCCAATGCTTCTACATAGCTCCATCCTGATTCCAGACTTTGTGATATATCAGTACGCGAACGGGATCCGTTCTGGAGGTCTGGCCGCATCCCCAGGAATTTGCAACCAGAGGACCGCGTTTAGTGCTTCTGCGCATGCGCACGTGGCGTAAACCGGAAAAATACTTCCGGGTTTGCTGCATTCATATCCCAAAGATTACGTATCCAGAGGGATACGTAAGCGGAGGTACGACTATATTTTGCAATGTTTAGCTGGTGATATACCGTATTTTTCGCTCCATAAGACACACTTTTTTCTTCCTAAAAAGTAGGGGGAAATGTCTGTGCCTCTTATGGAGCGAATGCGTGGTCCCTGGAGCAAAATTGCCTAGGGGCAAAAAGCAGATCATTATTTTTTTTTTTGAAAGAGGGAAGTGGGTGTTGAAACAAAGCTGCTGATCGGCAAGCAATCGGGAGGGAGATAAGGGACGCTAGTGATAAAGGAAGCTGCCTGGGAGTGGGGAGGTAAAGACCGCAAACTTGCAAAGGGAGGAAACAGGAAGACTAAAGCAATAAGGAGAGAAATTAGAAGAAAAGGAGGAGCAAAAAACTGCTCCAGCTAAGGAAAAGACACTAAGGCAAACAAGAGGGAAGGGAGTGTTGAAAGGAAACAGCTGATCGGTGGGATCGGAAGAGAGATAAGGGACGCTAGCGGAGGCTGCCTGGGAGGGGGGAGGTAAAGCCCATGGATCCTCAGGATTTTTACATTGGGTCACCCCAAATTCACCATCAGATCACATAGCATGTCCATGGCTACAGCCTGCACCCAAAAAATCACGCAACCACTGTTGTGTGGGGCCGCAATGGCGCAAAAACGTGGTTACAAAGCACGGATCCACATGGATCCTCAGGATTTTTGCATTGGGTCACCCCAAATTCACCATCAGGTCGCATGTCTGTGGCCACAGCATGAACCGCAAAAATCACACACCCACTGTTTCGTTCAGAACATTCTTTTTCTTGTTTTCCTCCTCTAAAAACTAGGTGCGTCTTATGGAGCGAAAAATACGGGTATCACCTGGGTTTTGCCCAGTCCTGGTTGGCCTTAGAGAGGTGAGGGCCCCCCCCCAAATCTCCTACCCTCCTGCTCCGGTGCCCCCGCTTCTGCTGCTGCTGCTCCACCAGCTCGATGGCGTAGGCAGGGGGAGAAGCTGCCCTCATGCTGCGCATGATTTGGATGCTGTCCTCTGGCAGGGGGGGCAAGCCCAGTTCCTGGCGCTTCGTCACCTTCATGGCCTGCAGAGCGTCAAAGCCTCCCAGGGTGAACTGCAGAGGCAAGAGAAAGAAAGAGAGAGAGAAAAAGTTGGTCCCAGGCATAGCTGTCAACTTACAGATTTGAAAATAAGGGACCAGCAGCCTCGGAAAGAAGGGATCAGCAGCCAAAATAAGGGATTTTAGTCAACCAGCAGCCAAACGAAGCCTCAAGAGGTGGTTCCCACAGCGCAGCAACCCGGCAAAGGGGATGCAGCAAGGAAAACCACTGTCACCTCTCCGCTGGGAAGCGCTGAGCAAAGGCGAATCCCCAGGCAATGCGGCTGATTTGATCAGCACAAGGCATGCAAGCTCCACCCCCCCAGTTGTTCTTAGGCTCCTTATTGGGTGAGCAACACAGCCAAGCAACCCAGTTGGAGCCTCCCTCCTCCCTGGCCGGCAGGGAGGGAGGGAGAGGAGCTGCTTCCTTTGAAACCCGGGAAATTTAAGGGACATCATCAATAAGGGACAGCAGCGGGACACGGCGCTGGGATAAGGGACTTTCCCGCCAAATAAGGGACGGTTGACAGCTATGGTCCCAGGTGGGTCCTCAACAACGCAGCCTGAGCTGAGAAGCTGGAGGCGGTGGGGTCATCAGAACATCAGAAGGGTCTGGATCAGGCCAGAGCGGACCCGTTCCACCCAGCATCTTGTTCCCACAGTGGCCCCACTCAGCCAGAAGCCCACTGTGCTTGTCCTCAAGCACCGTTTGTTGGAAAGACATGGCAAATTTAACAAACAAATAAACGAACAAATACATATTTAACAGAAAATCCGGCAGGACTGAACTGATGTGCTTCTGCAAAGCAATTCCTGCGCTCTTGTCATGTCCAGCTGTTGCTGATGATGTGAGAGATATTTTTTTGCTCCATCTGGGGAAAGTACAAAGTTCTAAACACAGCTCCAATACACACCATTCCCTTAGCCGCCTCCCCCCAGCCACAAAATTAAGCCTGCAAAAATCATGCAAGCTTTTTAATGTGCAATGCTTTATTATGTTTTTATATGTTTAATATATGTTGGAAGCCACCCAGAGTGGCTGGGGCAAGCCAAATGGGAGAGATACTAGCTGCTTTGCTTCTCAATATAATCCAGTTGGACGCAGGTGGCGCTGTGAGTTAAACCACAGAGCCTAGGACTTGCCGATCAGAAGGTCAGCGGTTCAAATCCCCACGACGGGGTGAGCTCCCGTTGCTGGATAATTGCTCCTGCCAAGCTAGCAGTTCGAAAGCACGTCAAAGGTGCCAGAGGAGGGCAACCAAAATGGTCAAAGGTCTGGAAACGATGCCTTATGAGGAACGGCTAAGGGAGCTGGGCATGTTTAGCCTGGAGAAGAGGAGGTTAAGGGGTGATATGATAGCCATGTTCAAATATATAAAAGAATGTCACATAGAGGAGGGAGAAAGGTTGTTTTCTGCTGCTCCAGAGAAGCGGACATGGAGCAATGGATCCAAACTACAAGAAAGAAGATTCCACCTAAACATTAGGAAGAACTTCCTGACAGTAAGAGCTGTTCAACAGTGGAATCTGCTGCCAAGGAGTGTGGTGGAGTCTCCTTCTTTGGAGGTCTTTAAGCAGAGGCTTGACAACCATATGTCAGGAGTGCTCTGATGGTGTTTCCTGCTTGGCAGGGGGTTGGACTCGATGGCCCTTGTGGTCTATTCCAATTCTATGATTCTATGATTCTAAGTGCAAGTAGATAAATAGGTACCGCTCCAGGGGGAAGGTAAACAGCGTTTCCGTGCGCTGCTCTGGTTCGCCAGAAGCGGCTTAGTCATGCTGGCCACATGACCTGGAAGCTGTATGCTGGCTCCCTCGGCCAATAAAGCGAGATGAGCGCCGCAACCCCAGAGTCGGTCACGACTGGACCTAATGGTCAGGGGTCCCTTTACCTTTATAATCTAGTTGGCCTCTGTTATTTTCTCCTACCAATAGGTAAAGGGAAAGGGATCCCTGACCATTGGCCAGCATGACTAAGCCGCTTCTGGCGAACCAGAGCAGCGCACGGAAACGCTGTTTACCTTCCCACCGGAGAGGTACCTATTTATCTACTTGCACTTTGACGTGCTTTCGAACTGCTAGGTTGGCAGGAACCCATTAAGGACTCTATATGTGCTCTTGGGTACCCCAGAAGGGAAAGAGAGCAGTTTTTTTTTCTTATCACATAAGGAAACTGAGCTCTGAGTAAGCGCCTGGAACCCCCGACATCTCTCGCTGCTCGGAGACCCGGGTGGCACGTAACGGAGCGCTTTTTCTTTGAGACCTACGGCAGGCGTGATTTGCCACACGCCACAAACACGCGTCGCTTGAGCCAGAGTTGCTCCTGTTGAAAGGCAAGCTCAGAACCTCACTCACCACGAGGACCTTCCAGAGCAAAAGCAAGACTTTCTTCATGGGGAAGTGGGGAGCGTGTCCGCTGCAGAACTTGGTCACCATGGTGAAAAGAAGGAGTGCAAAAGGCTCCTCACCGTGCAGAGGAAAACCTAGGAGGGTGAGGTGGGGAGACACAAGTCAAAAGGGGGGGGTGTTCGGAGGGCTATGGATGCAATACAAATGCAATAGGAAGGAAGAAGGAAGTCAGATTAGCCTCAGCCAGAGGCAGGGCCTTTTCAGCACTGGCCCCAACTTGGTGGACCGCTCTGTCTCATGAGACCAGGGCCCTGCAGGATCTGATTTCTTTCCGCAGGGCCTGTAAGACAGAGTTGTTCCGCTTGGTCTTTGGCTTGGAATCAACTTGATCCCCTTCCCCTCTTTCTTCTTTCCTTTCTCTTTCTGTGATGGAACTCCTATTTGGGGACTTCCCTGGCTTTTTTCTGGCCCACGTAGGACCAGTCTGGATAGTTGGGCTTGGTGAACACTTGACGTTTTCATCCCCCTAAAAGTTTTTGATTTGAGTTTCTACTGAAATGAGGCTGCATTTTAATGTTGCATTTTAATCTTGTTTTTAAGTTGTATTTTAATCAACTGTTTTATACCTGGTGTTAGCTGGCCTGAGCCCCGTCTTGGCTGGGGAGGGCCGGGTATAAATGAAATTTTTTATTATTATTATTATTTATTAATAGTGGTAGAGACATGTACTGGACCGTCCACAAGTCGTTCTCTTTATATGTTCTTCCCAATCCTTCCCCAGTGTTGTTGTTATCCTATTTTCCTATTCGCTTGCGAATGAGGTCTCCAAATGACTTCCATTTAAATGCAAGGGTCTTTTTAGTGAAACTTCCGGGTTAGCGCCTCCGGTAATGGCTGAATTCCTCTGACCGGGAGGAATTCGCTTCGTGGAAATTAGGGTCCGACCGCCACGGCGAAGGCGGGGACCCACAAAAAACCACAGGTGGGAGAAGCCTGTGAACGTGGGATTCGGCTGGCACCTTTTGCGCCTCCCCTACTCGCGGGGAAACCCGGTTTCGGGGATCCGGAGCGACGTGGGGTGAGTGGCGCGGTGCTGAGAATTGACTGCTTCTTTCACGGAGTGAAGCCGCATTGCTGTTGCCGGAGAGCGCTGACTTTTTCCTGTGGACAATTCGATTTTAAAACAACTACCCGTGAGTAGAACGGAAAATTTGATTTTTAAACGTCTTAATTTGGTACCGAAATGGGGAGGTTTCAAACAGGAAGTCCGCCTTCCCCTTTTGTAAATAGACTGGAGCAAAAAAGCTGCAAGCTAAAGTCTTGGAAAGCTTTCCATAAAGGATTAAACTTCCATCGGCTAAAATCATCAAACCCCCCTTGGAAGCAGGAGGAGAGGGGGGAATTTTTAGACCACGCAAGCCTGCAGGAGAGAGTGAAGAAAGTCAAATTACCACCGCTCTGAACCTGGAAACGGGCTGCTAGTAGGACTGAAGTTCTGGATATGTTCATTGACTGTGAATAGATCATTTATTGACAGTAAGTTAAAGAAGAGAAATACATTGTTTCCATTGTCTCCTTCTGCGTTTAAAAAGGAGTAAATGTAATTGAAAATTGAAACTAACTTTATTGTTTGAATTGTGCTTAAAAGGATTGATACAAATAGAAATTGTTTCCCCCTAGAGGAAGCCTTTGAAATTGTTACATGAGCTGAGTGGGGAATTTCCAGCTGTAAGACACGACCGTGAGAATCTGGGATTGACCTTGGACTGTTAAGCATGTTGACAGAAGAAGCCTTAGTGGTTGCATTATGTAAGATTAATGACTCACTGGAACAGCTCCGTATGAAGACAGATGTGACGATTATAAAAATTGATAACTTGGAACAAAAAGTGACTAATTTTGGACAAAAAGTGAATATTAATACAGAAGCTATTCAGGAATCGATACAGGGATCTACCTTGACATGGCAAATTGAGGAGAAGGCGGGGGAGAAAGTTGTTAGAGCCCCAGCCTCACAGATGCAATTTGATGACTATAAGTGGATGCCTTTTATGACGGAATCTAGAGAAAGCCAGACTTTGAGGATTGGAGCCCCGCTTGGACTGGAGAAGGAAAGTTGGATAGATCCCTTCATGCAGGGATTCATTGACTTTTGGGACTTGGACTTGGGTCAGGAGGAGACTGGAGTTGTGGGGACTGCTAGACTTGGAGGAACTTTGAAATACGACTGGAAATACCTTGTGAATTTTTAACTATGGAGATCTGGCTGATTTGTTGAGAAGGAATAAAAACATTGCTAGGTGGGAATTTCCTCGAGATTTACTTTTCAGCATCAGAGGAAGGAAAATAAGAACAAGATCAGGAGAAGACAAAGTAAAGTGCATGTATAAACATGAAGAAGACTCGCAGAAGGGACTTGGAAAAGAGTTAAGAGCCTCGGACAGAAGATCACCAGGTTGATGGACTATATGGAATTGACAGAAATGACTGGCAGAATCCGAGACCAGGGAGAAGAGACGGTGGAAGAATATTGGAAAAAGTTTAAAATCTATATATGGAAATAATGTAAAATTAATGAATGTTAGAAAAATGTTGGAAGGAAATTATATGGCTTTAGTAGAAATGCTTTAAGGAATTAAGCATAAATAAGTATTATAATTTTAATGGAAAATAAGGTTAAAATATGTTAAGATAATCATATGACAGAAAACAGAGAAAGATGGAAAGGATTTGCTGAAACAATTAATAGAAATGGAATACAAAAAGGGAGGTGAGAGGAGGTCGATGAAACAAGGGAATGAAAGAGAGGATATTGAGATGGTATGATGTGTGTTTTTTGAACTGTTTTTGCTTTTGCTTTGTTTAATGTGTTAATGTTGTGTTGTGTATTGTTTATATATTGTATTGTATGTTTTTTTCTTCTTTTTTCTTCTTTCTTTTTTTGTAAGGTTTAAAAATAATAACTATTATTTTAAAAGAAAAAAAGCAAGGGTCTTTTTAGTGGTGGCTCCCCGTTCGTGGAATGCTCTCCCCAGGGAGGCTCACCTGACACCATCATTATATATCTTTAGTCGCCAGGCAAAAGCTTTCCTCTGTAACCAGGCCCTTGGCCTTTAACTGTCTGTGGCCTTGGTAATGCTTCTAGTAATCGCATTTAAATAAAAATTATAAAATTGCATTTTAACCTGTATTTTAAATTGGTTCCCCCCCTCCATTATGTTTTTACTGTGATTTTTTTGGTGTTAGCCGCCCTGAGCCCAGCTCTGGCCGGGGAGGGCAGTGTATAAATAATTTTATTATTATTATTATTATTATTATTATTATTATTAGACTACAGCTGCACAGATGTTATTGGCCCAGAGGTGGAAAGAAGCTAAACTCCCGATCAAAGAAGAATGGCAGATCAAGTTGATGGATTATGCTGAAATGGCTAAAATGTCCGGAAGAATCAGAAATCAGGAAGACCAAAATTTTAATAAGGAATGGGGGGAATTGATAACTTATCTCAAAAACCATTACAAACAGTTAAAATTGTTAGTAGGATTTGAATAACACTTGTAGTTTAATGGTGAATTTTGGATACAACGGAGAGGTAAAATATTTGGATTATTATAAAAGATGCAGGAGGAAATGATTAACAATAGGACCCACAAACAGTTCGCCGTGTTCATTCCGGATCTTCCCCATCAACTTTGCCAACTCTACGTATTCCACCATCTTGACCTGCCATTCTTCCAATGTTGGAATTTCCATTTCTGAGCCAGATGTATCCTTGCAGCCGTCGTGGCGTACATAAACAAATTTACATCTTTTTAATAAAAATTTCCTCTCGGACTGGAGCAAATTTGTATTTTATGTGGAAGAACATTGTAAACATCCGAAAACGTTTGTAGGCTTGAGTTGAAATGTTTTGTAATGTGAAAATAAGGAACCGATTGACATATAAAGAGGTGAAATATAAAAAGAAGATAGAAGGTAAAAAAGTGGCTATAGAAATGCTAAGAATTTAGCAAAGATGTTTGGAAGTCAGAAAGAGGGAGGGAAGGAGGTTGATGCTCAGTTTGAGCAATGCTTTAAGTTACAGAATTATGTAACAGAATGTGAATATGATAAATATGGAAAACTCAATAAAAATTACTATAAAAATAAAAAATAAATAAAACGAAAATCAATAGGACCCACAAAAGGGAGGAGGGAAGTCCAGGAGATTATCTGGAATCTTGTTTCTATGTTGTATATGCAACTGTAAAATTTTAATATGAAAAACCGAATAAATAAATTTATTTAAGGCCAAAAATTTGAAATTACAAGAAGTGCCAACAGTGGAGGAATGGCAGATGAAGATGATGGACTTTTGGGAGCTAGCTGATCTGACCAGAAGAGTCCGCGACCAGAAGGAGGAGGAGTACCAGGAGGAATGGAGGAAATTCAAAGACTATTTAGCTAAATATGCTAAGATAATTTAAATAGAATTACTTGCGAGCATCAGATTGGCCTAGGATTAAAATAAGCGATGTTGTAGAATATTATGGTTTAAAAAAAAATGAAAAGAAAGAAAGATGTTAATTGACTAAGTAAATTTTATGTGAAAATAGTTTTGGAAAACTGCTACAATGATTTATATGGAAACTCAGTGAGGGGGACTTGACACCTAACAATGTGAACAAAAGTGGAATTATTACAGGTAGGATAAACGTTTGCTTGTTTTCTTTTTGATGTTTTCTTTTTATTTGTTTGTTATAAATTTGGAAAACTAATAATTTTTTTTTTGGACACAATATTGACTTTGAGAGATGGGAAGTAACGTGAAGAGAATTTAATGAAAATGATGTACCATTGGTACATTACCCAGAGTAAGCTGGCCAAAATGTATAGGTGCCAGGACAAATTATGTTGGAAATGTAAGGTGAAGGAAGGGAACTTCCTACATATGTGGTGGTCCTGTGCTAAGGTCAAGGCTTTCTGGGACATCATTTACAATGAATTAAAAAAAAATATTAAAATATAACTTCAGCAAAAAACCAGAGGCATTCTTATTAGGGCTAATTGATGAAGAAATTAATAAAAAAGATGTAAATTTATTTATGTATGCCACAACGGCAATGAGAATCCTCTTGGCTCAAAGGTGGAAGCAGCAAGAGATCCCTACATTGGAAGACTGGAGAATATAAATGGTAGAATTTGTGGAGTTGGCGAAGCTGACAGGGAGAATCAGGAATCAGGAAGAAAAATATCAAAAGGACTGGAGCAAATTTATTTATTATTTGAAAGTGAAGGAATGGGTTTCTGTGCAGTCAGTTTGAAACGGGACCCAAAACCCCCCTTTTCTTCTCTCTCGAAGGGAGCATTTCTAAAATGCATTAACTTGAGCTGGTGAGCAAATGCATAACAAGGACACAGCTGTATAAACAAAGCTCTCTCCTTTATCAGTCACGGCAAAGGATGATCTTGGCTGTTCCAGTGGAGTAGGGATGACGTGTCTGGGTCTTATCTTACAGACCTTATCGCACAGACCTAGTCCAGGAACAGCGCCACAGTGTGTTCTTGGAGTTGGTGACCTCTTGCTCCAAGATAAGAGCATAGGAATAGGAATACCCTTTTATGGTCAGGAGTACAGGAAGGAATACCCTTTTATGGTCAGGAGTACAGGAAGGAATACCCTTTTATGGTCAGGAGTACAGGAAGAGGCACAACCTTATATGGTTAAGAGTACCGGAGCAGGAACATCTGTGATGTCAACCTGCGTGTACAAGCTGATGTGGCTGGATTCCTGGGGAAGGGGGAGAGGGTGCCTGGAGGATATATATACTGCATGAAATTTCTCATTTCTTTGGACTTGCTGTGGACTGACCACGCAAGTGCCTTTCTACTGCTCCGGAGAGCAGGAATAAAGAACTCTTTCTCTGAACCAACCCTTGGTGTCATTTGACTTCCTGCCTCCTGTCTGGGAGCAACGCAGAGCCCACCAATTGGTAAAGTCTAATAAGGCTACAAAAGAAAACTGTACTCATTTAAAAACGTTTGTAGCATTAACGTGAAATGTTTTGTAATGTGAAATTATGATGCTGATTTATAAATAAGAATGTGATTTCTTAAGGTGATTATAGATAAAGAAGTGATTATGGGAATGCGAAAGATATGTTATAGGCTATAGGGATGCCAGAAAGAGAGGTAGAAGGAAGTCAAAGCTCACTTTGAGCAAATAAGATGTTGCGAATATGTGTATTGTATTGAATTAAAATGGAAAAATTCAATAAAAATTATGTTAATTTTTTTTTGGGGGGGGAAATTTAAATAAATAAATTTATTTTTAAAAGGTAATGATTCTAGACTACACAGAGGGAGGAGAAGAAAGCCTCCCCCCCCCCGTGCCCAATCAGAGAATTGACAAAAACCTACTGAGCTCAGTCCTGAACGTATCACGGGCGGCCTTCCACGTTGGGGGGTCCGTTTCCATCTCCACGCGCATTGCTTCCACCATTAGGTACATGACGCTCAACAACACCCTGGCGGGAAAGCAGAGGGGAAAAATCAATGTCCCGAAACACAGGAAGGGAGGCGGAAAAATGCCCCGCCCACTTGGGGCATCAGGTGACCCTGAACCCATTGCCCACCCCAAGAGAATGAGGCCCCCCAACGAAAATAATATTCCCAGCAAGGACTTCTCAAGTCCAAAAGCCAAAAAGGAGCCCTGGGGGAAAAGATTGGAAGAATGGCCACTGGTCCCATCACCTCCTGGCAAATAGAAGGGGAAGAAATGGAGGCAGTGAGAGATTTGACTTTCTTGGGCTCCGTGATCACTGCAGATGGTGACAGCAGCCATGAAATTAAAAGACGCCTGCTTCTTGGGAGGAAAGCAATGACAAACCTAGACAGCATCTTAAAAAGCAGAGACATCACCTTGCCAACAAAGGCCCGTATAGTAAAAGCTATGGTTTTCCCAGTAGTGATGTATGGAAGTGAGAGCTGGACCATAAAGAAGGCTGATCGCCGAAGAATGGATGCTTTTGAATTCTGGTGCTGGAGGAGACTCTGGAGAGTCCCATGGACTGCAAGAAGATCAGACCTATGCATTCTGAAGGAAATCAGCCCTGAGTGCTCACTGGAAGGACAGATCCTGAAGCTGAGGCTCCAAGAATTTGGCCACCTCATGAGAAGAGAAGACTCCCTGGAAAAGACCCTGATGTGGGGAAAGATGGAGGGCACAAGGAGAAGGGGACGACAGAGGACCAGATGGTGGGACAGTGTTCTCGAAGCTACAAAGATGAGTTTGACCAAACTGCAGGAGGCAGTGGAAGACAGGGGTGCCTGGCGTGCTCTGGTCCAGGGGGTCACGAAGAGTCGGACACGACTAAACGACTAAACAACAACGATAAACCTGGGGGGGGGGTGCTAGTGGGATTACCTGGGGGGTGCTAGGAGGCCAGGGAGGTAGCAAGGAGTGGTGGAGGTGCAGATGGCTGAATCAAGCTCATCTGATTGGAATTTGAAGAAATGTGCAATTAATTGTTTTGAATTTTACTGGGTCGTTTACCAACAGCCCCAGGGCAACATCAGTGACTCACCTGAGCTCAGTGCTATCAGCCAGAGAGATTGCTGGCTTCCTCAAGGCGCTCCCAGATGTTTGGCTGTTGCTGGAATACACAGAAAAGATCGAGTAAAATACCACCAAATTGTTCCTTCCGGAGACTTTAGATTGGGGATGGGGGGCGGAATCACTGGCAATTAATTGTACCCTGGCAGATGGCTTGCAATTGCCGGACTTGGGAAAAGCATCCGTCTCCTGCTAGCAGATGGAGGCGAAGTACGACAATCCCGGAACGTGGCAGCTTTTAAAATTATTTTTAAATTATTATTTCTGACGACCAGGGTGAGCCAGCACGGCCAAATTTTAATCACCCTGCATGCCATGAACCGCTTCTGAGACCCTTCCCTATGCAAACCATCAGAGGCGAAGTGAGTCAGCGTATGAGAGAGAGAGAGCCTTTTTAGTGGTGGCCCTCAGAATGACAACCAGGGAAATTATTTATTATTTCTTCAGTTTCTATCCCAGCTGTCCTCCAAGGAATTCAGGGTGGCAAACATCTCCCCGTTTTATCCCACCGCTGCCCCCATCACTGACCGCAAGCACCAAAGGCCATTTCACTTTAGGACCACCTTGCCCCACATGAACCAATTTCCTTATCGTTCCCACACTGGCAAAGATATTTTTTTTGTTTCCTTGGGCATTTGGGCAACACTGGGGACTGGACATATTTACTTTACATTTTAAACATGTGTAAGTTATTTTCTAAACTGCATTCAATCCGTCTCGTAAATCATTTCCGGACTTTTCGCGGTGCGGAAAGCGATTCATAATTTCACATAAAGCTATTGCTGTTTTAGAATTGCATTTGCTTTGTTGCTGTTATTTTTTACTAAAATATGGGTTTTTTTGGAGGGGGGTCGTTTGTTTATGGAAAAGCAGGATATAAATATTCATGCGAAATATAAATAGTGGGGAAAGCACGAGTGACATGCAAAACTGAACTGGCAGGATGGATCCAAGCCCCAAAGTGGTTTAACTTGCCCCTGTGTGGACACACCAGGTTTGATGCTAGGTGTGGCAGCCAAATATTTACTCAGCACCATTCCTCACCTCCTGGCCCCTGCCGCCTCAGGCAGTTGTCCCACTTTAGCCAATAAAGGTAAAGGGACCCCTGACCATTAGGTCCAGTCGTGACCGACTCTGGGGTTGCAGCGCTCATCTCACTTTATTGGCCGAGGGAGCCGGCATACAGCTTCCGGGTCTGTGGCCAGCATGACTAAGCCGCTTCTGGAGAACCAGAGCAGCACACGGAAACGCTGTTTACGTTCCCGCTGAAGCGGTACCTGTGTATCTACTTGCACTTTAACATGCTTTCAAACTGCTAGGTTGGCAGGAGCAGGGACCGAGCAACGGGAGCTCACCCCGTCACGGGGATTCGAACTGCCAACCTTCTGATCGGCAAGCCCTAGGCTCTGTGGTTTAACCCACAGCGCCACCCGCGTCCTTACTTTAGCCTATAGTAGGGCTTTTATATGTAATGCCCTAGCTATGCGAGAGAGCAGCCACTCCATAATTTGTCAAGCTCTTCCTCCTCAATGGCACCAACTAGACTACAGAATCTGGCTGCTCATGAGTGCATGAGTGTGTGTTGGGGGGGAATATAATAATAACAATAATAATAATAATAATAATAATAATAATAATAATAATAATAATTTATTATTTATACCCCACCCATCTGGCTGGGTTTCCCCAGCCACTCTGATAGTTGTTCTTCTCTTTGACATCTGGTGGGAGGGCGTTCCACAGGGCGGGCGCCACCACCAAGAAGGCCCTCTGCCTGGTTCCCTGTAACTTGGCTTCTCGCAGTGAGGGAACCGCCAGGAGGCCCTCAGCGCTGGACCTCAGTGTCCAGGTAGAACGATGGGGGTGGAGATGCTCCTTCAGATATACTGGACCGAGGCCGTTTAGGGCTTTTTAAAGGTCAACACCATGGAAACGTACTGGGAGCCAATGGAGGTCTTTCAGGACCAGTGTTATATGGTCTCGGCGGCCGCTCCCAGTCACCAGTCTAGCTGCCACATTCTGGATTAGTTGTAGTTTCTGGGTCACCTTCAAAGGTAGCCCCACATAGAGCGCATTGCAGTAGTCCAAGCAGATCTTTGACAGTTCTGCTGCCACTGAAACATATTTCCATCCCTCAAACCCCTCGTCCGGCGACCAGGGTGGTCCCCGATGCGTTGTCCACCATTGCTTCACCTACCCAGTCCTTGCACAGGTTGCTCTCGCCACACCGTAGCCTGCAGCAATGAGTTCCACAGGTCAGTCTGTGAGTTTTTGTGAAGCAGAACTCCCCCTCCCCAATGCACACCTGATTTATTTATTTTTAAAAAATTGAAATAGCAATTTCCAGGAACAGAGTCAAAAGGAGCCCGCACTAAAATGCCAGCTTCAGATCCTGTTTTCAGAAGATATCTTACGCCATCTCCATGTTCAGCAACTCCAGGAAGGCAGTGAAGGTCCCCATCTGGTACAGGAGGAAGTTGTTGTGCCGGGACCAGCGGAGTACATCTGCCTCTGTGTCGCACTCCCCAAAGACCCCTGGGAAGAAGAGAGGAGGGGAGGAAAAAAGCCAGTAAGGGAGGGGGGGCATGAGACATGAGACGATGCTGTCAATTTGCATTTCTAAGTACAGAATGTATTGATCTGGTGTGCAGAGATCTTCCCTATTCTACTTAGCTCAAGAGGCTTCTGGAAGGTTTCTTTCTATGTGAAAGAAGCAGGCAGAAGGTTTCTGATGTTTGGGTTATTCCTTCCGGGAAGCTGAGTACAGCTGGTACCTGTGATTTTGGCTTGTGTTCAATAATACATTTCATCTACTTTCTCTTAAAGAGAAAATGTTCTGTCCCAAAAGCACGCTGCATTTGGGCTGCTGTTTCCACCCAGACCAAGACGACTTGGTTACCTTGTGCCAAGTAGAGGATCGCCCGGGCGACTTTCAGCCTCTTCTCTCTGTTGACTACTTCCAGCCCATCCAGCAGCCGCATCACATAGGCCTTCTGCTGAGCCACGTCCAGCTCCGACCACTGCTTGTCCTTCGCTGTCGGAAAAGAAGGACCCAAAAAACCAAAGTCTGAACATCACTGCCAAATGCCCCCCCCCTTTTCCCTAGCCCCTTTCCAGGAGTTCAGCTAACTCCACCGGGAGTTCCCTGGTTGGCACTGAACCATGGCAGGGCCTTTTCAGCGGTGGCTCCCTGCTCGTGGCATGCCTTCCCTGGCAAGGTGCGCCTGTCTCCATCGCTATTAACTTTCAGGAGAAATGAGAAAACATTCCAAAGGGATCCAAACTTCAATGTCTAAAACTCCTGGTAGAGGAGAAGGATCTAGAGTTCACACTAAGGGTGGCCAAATTCTGTGCGACTGCCGTAAAACTTAGAGAACAAGCTGTACTACCAAAATGATTAAGGTTTTACATGACAATTTTAGGTTATATTTTAGTGATCAAGATTTTTAACTGCCGCTATATCTGAATTGTCTGTTATACCCAACTGCAATTCAATGTATTCCTGTTGTGTTTTACGATTTTCCCGATATTGTAAGTGAGCTGGAACTGGTCTGGGACCGTAATAATAAAATTGAAAGATACCTTGTGTTTGGAAATCCTCTTCAAAGCACTTCTTGTTGGTGGCAAACTCTGGCTCCTCTGTGTAGCTGTACAGTTCTGTCGGAGAAGGGGGAAAGAGGGGGAGACGAATTAGCACCTGCCAGAGCCACCGTCCCTGCCTGTTATGTACTGAAGTTCTCACCCTGGGCCAGCAGGGGGATACTGTAGATAGCTATGCAAATGAAGGATCGAATGTGACGTTCAGTGATTGGATAGTTTTAGAAAGTTGTTACAGTTGCGTTGTACTGGAGCTCTATATAGGCAGGTTGACTGAACCCTTCAGTTCAGTTCTGTTCTGGCCTGTGAATAAACAAGAGCTGTTTGAAGAATCGCTGTGTCGTCTGATATGTTCACCCACAACTTAACACTGCCCATCCTAAGAGCAGGGCAAGCAAGGTAGCTCAGTCGGTAGAGCATGAGACTCTTCATCTCAGCGCCGTGGGTTCGAGCCCTATGTTGGGCAAGAGATTCCTGCACTGCAGGGGGGTGGGCTAGAGGACCCTCAGGGTCCCTTCCACATCTAAAATCCTAGGATTCTTTAAAAAATAAATAAAAATAATTTTATTTATAGCTTCCATTTATATACGTTTCAATAGTTTAACAACAGTTCTAACTCAATGTGCAGGAAATGATAAGAATAAATTTAATGAACCACAGAAAGAGGAGGAAGGAAGGTTTGAAAGAGGCCTAGGCAAACTCGGCCCTCCAGATGTTTTTTTCTTCTCAAAAATTTTATTGATTTTCCAAAATTTTAAACAAACAAACAAACAAAAATCATAACTGAACTTGATCCAATCTTAGTAACATTGTTAAATGATTTCCTCAAATTCCCTTGACTGAATTTCATTATATATCATTGTAACGGTTTTCCAAAATAAAATCTCATAAAATTTACTCAATCCTCTTAACATCTTTGTCTCTTTTCATCTTAACTTTAAACATGTTATTCTATAACTTCACATATTTAAATCCTTAGCCTATCTATTATTTTGCAAGTTATTCTATTTAATTTATCTTAGCATATTTGAGTAAATAGCCTTTGAAATTCTTCCATTCTTCCTGGTGCTCCTCCTCCTTCTGGTCCGGCCCTCCAGATGTTTTGGGACTACAACTCCCATCATCCCTGGTCCTGTTAGCTAGGCATGATGGGAGTTGTAGTCCCAAAACAGCTGGAGGGCCGAGTTTGCCTATGCCTGGTTTGAAATGCGAGAACTACAATTCTACGATTCTAACCCAGGGCTTTCCAGGTGATGCTTTTAGATCCATCCAAATCAATGGCCATCGCTGCCTCTTGTGGCAATGAGTTCCACAGATGCGCTACATGAAGAAGTATTTCCTCTTATCTGTCCTTTCTTTTGTCAGTTTTTTTCAGCCTTTGCTCCTAGGGGAGTCGCTCTGTCTCCTTGACCTTTTCGGCTGCCCCATTCTGCGATATCTATTCCAAGGTGAGGCGACCCGAACCACACACAATATTCCAAATGCCTTCGCAGCGCAGACTCGCCCAATGGCATTATGGCATTGGCAGTTTAAATTTCGATTATTAGAAAGATGTTAAATTATTTTTGTATGCCACAACTGCTGCTCGTATTTTGTTAGCTAAAAAGTGGAAAGCACCAAGAATTACCAACGATAGAAGAATGGCAGATGAAGATGATGGATTTTTCGGAGCTAGCCGACCTAACCAGAAGAGTCTGCGACCAGAAGGAGGAGTATCAGGAAGAGTGGAATAAATTTAATGATTATCTAGTTAAATTTGTTAAGTTAAATTAACTGAAAACAACTTGCAGATACTTAATTGGCTTGGGAATTTATTTATGTCAAGTGATGAATTAATATGTTTAATTCCATAAGGTGAAGATTTACGGATATTAATGTTTAAGTCAAATTTCATAAGAATTGGGATTTGGAAAACCGTTAAAAGGACATGCAATGAAATTCAACCAAGGGGAAGCGAGGAGGTCACTTAACAAAGTTAATAAGTGTAATTTTCAATAAGGCTATGATTTGTGTTTGTTTGTCTTGTGTGTTTGTTTGTTTGTTTGTTTGTTTATAATATTGTGAAAACTAATATATTTTTTTTGGAAAAAATAAATAAATTTCGATTATTCTCATTTGCTGCTTTGGGGAGAGGCCTTGGCACATGTGTGAACGAACGCGCATGCATGTTCATGCGACTGCCAAGCCCTCTGCAAGAGGGACTTCCTATTTTTAGCTCAGGGGCCTCTTGTCGCTGGCGGGCTGGAATGCCTGTTGCAGGAGGGCAAATGGATTAGACAAATTCACTGGGGAGAAGGAAGGCTATCGGTGGCTCCTAGCCACAATGGCTATGCTCTGCCTTCCACAGTTGAAGGCAGCAACGCTTTTGAACCCCCGTTGCTGGAAACCTCAGAAGGGGAGAGTTGGTCTTGCGTTCAAATCCTGCTGGCGGGTTTCCCACAGGCGAGTGTTCAGCCACTGTGGGAGCAGGGATGCTGGAGTAGTTGGGCCATTATACTGTTGTGTCCGACTCTTCGTGACCCCCTGGACCAGAGCACGCCAGGCCCTCCTGTCTTCCACTGCCTCCCGCAGTTTGGTCAAACTCATGCTGGTAGCTTTGAGAACACTGTCCCACCATCTCGTCCTCTGTCGTCCCCTTCTCCTTGTGCCCTCCATCTTTCCCAACATCAGGGTCTTTTCCAGGGAGTCTTCTCTTCTCATGAGGTGGCCAAAGTCTTGGAGCCTCAGCTTCAGGATCTGTCCTTCCAGTGAGCACTCAGGGCTGATTTCCTTCAGAATGGAGAGGTTGGATCTTCTTGCAGTCCATGCGACTCTCAAGAGTCTCCTCCAGCACCAGAATTCAAAAGCATCAATTCTTCAGCGATCAGCCTTCTTTATGGTCCAGCTCTCACTTCCATACATCACTACTGGGAAAACCATAGCTTTTACTATACGGACCTTTGTTGGCAAGGTGATGTCTCTGCTTTTTAAGATGCTGTCTAGGTTTGTCATCGCTTTTCTCCCAAGAAGCAGGCGTCTTTTAATTTCACGGCTGCTGTCACCATCTGCAGTGATCATGGAGCCCGAGAAAGTAAAATCTCTCACTGCCTCCATTTCTTCCTCTTCTATTTGCCAGGAGGTGATGGGCCCAGTGGCCATGATTCTTTTTTTGATGTTGAGCTTCAGCCCATATTTTGCGCTCTCCTTTTTCACCCTCATTAAAAGGTTCTTTAATTCCTCCTCGCTTTCTGCCATCAAGGTTGTGTCATCTGCATATCTGAGGTTGTTGATATTTTAAAATATATATATATAACCAAATCAGTAATTTCTGATATAACTGTAAAAACTACTCGGATAATTTATTATTCACAAAAAATAGTTGTAAATATTAAGATTATACTAGCAAGAACGAGCCTTTCTGTTAAAAATATATGATTTAAATCAAGTCTTACCAACTAGTGATTTAAATTGATTTGATTTAAATCAAATTCACCCTGGAAGGGACAGCAAGGGTCATCTAGCCCAACCCCGCGCAATGCAGGAATATTTTTCCCGACGTGAGGCTCTGACTCACAACCCTGAGATGCAGAGTCTCTCTCTTTTTTATATATATAAATTTTTATTGGAAATTTTATTTACAACATAACATACACCCCCCACCCCCAATACAGAAATCCACCCTCATTAAATGTGAACATAACATACAATAAGCATAACATACAACAATACAAACAACCAAATAAAAGACTTCCTTTGTCCTGTACCTGGCCTCCTTATTTACTTCTTATAAGCTGTTTCCTTTATGAGTAATTATTAAGATTTTTCTAATTATAACTTAAATATCCACAAAGTCTCCTGCAGACATTAATCGAAACAAGTCCAGGTATGTATTTTAGGGCACTGTTTTGTGAAGTATTCTCTGCATTTTCTCCATGCTTTTTGAAACTCTTGTCTTGTGTGATCTCTAATTGCCTCTGTTAATCTAGCCAGTTCAATATTCTCTAACAGTTTGTCTTGCCATTCCTTTTTTGTTGGCACAGTTTCTTTTTCCCAGTTTTTAGCAATTAGGATCCTTGCCGCTCCTGTGGCATAGAGGAATATTTTCTGATCTTCTCTTGCTATGCCTGTGTCCGTTATCCCGAGTAGAAAAGCTTCTGTATTTTTCATAAGGTTATACTTAAACATTTTTTAAAGCTCGTCATATACTATGTTCCAGAAGCTTTTGATTTTTTCACAGGTCCACCAAACACGTATAAGTGTCCCCTCTGTTTTACCACACCTCCAGCACAGATTTGTTTCTGTCTTATACGTTTTAGCTATTTTGGTAGGTGTTAAGTACCATCTATAAAACATTTATGGGGACACGGGGGGTGCTGTGGGTTAAACCACAGAGCCTAGGGCTTGCCGATCAAAAGGTCGGCTGTTCGAATCCCCGCAACGGGGTGAGCTCCCGTTGCTCGGTCCCTGCTCCGGCCAACCTAGCAGTTCGAAAGCACATCAGAGTGCAAGTAGATAAATAGGTACCGCTCTGGAGGGAAGGTAAACGGCGTTTCCATGCGCTGCTCTGGTTCGCCAGAAGCGGCTTAGTCATGCTGGCCACATGACCCGGAAGCTGTACGCCAGCTCCCTTGGCCAGGTACTTGTTTTAAATCCAATTGTCCACAGGAAAAAGTCAGCGCTCTCCGGCGATGGCTGTGCGGCTTCACTCCGTAAAAATAGCAATCAGTTCGCAGCACCGCGCCGCTCACCCCACTTCACTCCGGAGCCCCAAAATGGGGTTCCCGGTGCGTGGGGGGGCGCTCCTGGTGCCCTGCCGAACCCCACGTTCCCAGGCTTCCTCCGCCTGGGATTTCTAGCGGGTCCCCACCTTCGCCGCGGCGGGTAGACCCAATTTCCACGTAGCCCATTCCTCCGATTGGAGGAACTCCGCCATTCACCGATGGCGCTGACCCGGAAGTCCAGGGAAGTTTTTAATGTCTGACATTTTAATGTATTTTTAATCTTTGTTGGAAACTGCCCAGAGTTGCCGGCGAGACCCAGCCGGATGGGCAGGGCACAAATAATAAATTATTGTTGTTGTTGTTGTTGTTGTTGTTGTTGTTTCCAAGGGGTTTGCCCAGCATCAAAGATGCCGCAACTTCCTGCACTAAAGGGGGTTGGACTAGATGATCCTCAGGGTTCCCTCTACAATTCTGTGATTCTATGAAAATGGCGTCTGGCAAGCCTTGGCAGGGGAGATTCCCACAGAATCTCCACCACATCCCAAATCTCCCTTCTCCCAGGCATCACTCCCCTAAATTCAAACATGGGACCAGGGCCGGATTTAGGGTTGATGAGGCCCTAAGCCAGGCATAGGGAACCTCGGCCCTCCAGATGTTTTGGGACTACAACTCCCATCATCCCTGACCACTGGTCCTGCTAGCTAGGGATGATGGGAGTTGTAGTCCCAAAACATCTGGAGGGCCGAGGTTGCCTATGCCTGCCCTAAGCTCCTGAAGGTAATGGTGCCCTTTATATGTCAAGTTGTCCTTTGTCAACAACAAACTATCACTGTTTTTTGTGTGATATGCTATATGGTAATTTATGGACCTAATAGGTATCTAAAGCCATTTGCACATGTGGCCACGCAACCAGTCCATGCAGAATGTAAAGGTAAAGGTAAAGGGACCCCTGACCATTAGGTCCAGTCGTAGCCGACTCTGGGGTTGCGGCGCTCATCTCACTTTACTGGCCGAGGGAGCTGGTGTACAGCTTCTGGGTCTTGTGGCCAGCATGACTAAGCCGCTTCTGGCGAAACAGAGCAGCGCACGGAAACGCCGTTTACCTTCCCGCCGGAGCGGTACCTATTTATCTACTTGCACTTTGACGTGCTTTTGAACTGCTAGGTTGGCAGGAGCAGGGACCGAGCAACGGGAGCTCACCCCGTCACGGGGATTCGAACCGCCAACCTTCTGATCGGCAAGTCCTAGGCTCTGTGGTTTAACCCACAGCGCCACTTGCGTCGCTTCTACCCTATATATAGAAATGAGCAAACCAGTGATATTTTAGGGAGCAGACGGGACCCATGTCTTACATCATAGGAGCCTACACAACACAAAACACTGTTGCTGTATGTAGGTTTTATTTTATTTGTTTTTTATCTTATATTTTGGAAATGTACATCCAGGTTTTTTCCCCTTTAAATTTTTTGGGGGCCCCCAAGAGAGTGGGGCCCTAAGCTATAGCTTGTCTAGCTTATACGTAAACCTGGCACTGTGTGGGACTCAGGTTACGCCTGGTGCTTTTATAAGGCCCAGTGGGAAAGCTCTCTGCCCCAAGGAGCTTACAGCCTAGAAATCTGTGTGAGGGGAGAAAGCAGAGGAAAGGAGGCAGCTGTTTGTGTGCAGGGGGGAATTTCTGCATTTACTCAGCTGCTGCAGAACTTAAGCTTAATTACTTCTTGGGCAGCTCTTATGCAGTGGGGTCTCTCTCCTCGCAGCAAATCCTAACATGCACACAGTTTAAGAGAGATAAGAAGTGATGGGTTTGTTTTTTCTGCTAGCAGCCGAAACAGCGGGGTGGGCAGTGAGCTGACGGAAGACATCCAAATCCCAAACCGCGAGCTTTCGATATCCTGGAAAACGACCTCGTCAAATAAACTAATACAGTGTGTTACAACGAAGGGCGTTCATTTTTCGGAAGCAAATTCCGCCCCACAGAAGAGAACAGCTGACCTACATAGGCAGAGAGAAGCAGGGCAGTTTGTGCGAATACATGGGGAGGTTTTCTGTTTTACAGCATGATGCGCTCTCCTCGCTTTTTCCCATCTGCATTTTCATCAACAGTTTGGAACGCCAAATGCAATGTCATCATTTTTTTGCAGAATATTCCCCTGGGCTGCTGAAAAACATTTCTGTTTGGACAAGCCGACCCAGATGCTTAGAAAGTTGATTTGATTTTAACCGGCTTCTGTATTATAACCTTTGCATGTTTTAAAGCAGGCCTGAGGATTGTTCTTACATTTACCGTATTTTTCGCTCTATAAGACGCACCAGACCACAAGACGCACCTAGTTTTTGGAGGAGGAAAACAAGAAAAAAAATATTCTGAATCTCAGAAGCCAAAACAGCAAGAGGGATCGCTGCGCAGTGAAAGCAGCAATCCCTCTTGCTGTTCTGGCTTCTGGGATAGCTGCACAGCCTGCATTCACTCCATAAGACGCACACACATTTCCCCTTTCTTTTTAGGAGGAAAAAAGTGAGTCTTATAGAGCAAAAAATATGGTAATTGTTTTATCTTTTTGGAGACGGCTTTGAGGTTTTCGGGTTTTTGTTTTTTAAAAAAGAGTCAAGTGCATATAAATATTATGAAATAAATAACTAGATAAATGTGGGTGGAGCGAAGAATGTGAATTTTACTTCTGTTCAGAAGGCCAGTTTCTGCACAGGGATGGGCGGACAGACAGACAGACAGACGGACAGACTATTGTTCCTGTTGCTGAGGGTTTGTCACGGCCTCTGGCTAGAACAACAAAACTGATATTGACTGATTGTAAGCGCCATCGACACGGGTGGCCCTGTGGGTTAAACCACAGAGCCTAGGACTTGCTGATCAGAAGGTTGGCGGTTCGAATCCTCGCGACGGTGTGAGCTCCCGTTGCTCGGTCCCTGCTCCTGCCAACCTAGCAGTTCAAAAGCACGTCAAAGTGCAAGTAGATAAATAGGTACTGCTCTGGCGGGAAGGTAAACGGCATTTCCGTGCGCTGCTCTGGTTCGCCAGAAGCGGCTTAGTCATGCTGGCCACATGACCCGGAAGCTGTACGCCGGCTCCCTCGGCCAATAAAGCGAGATGAGCACCGCAACCCCAGAGTCGGCCACGACTGGACCTAATGGTGAGGGGTCCCTTTACCTTTACCTTTTTAAGCTCCATCGACACAAACAAGAGGCATCAAACGGTTAAGGATCAAGGAAACATCCCAGTCCGGCAAAAGTGCTCAAGGAAGGTGCGAAGCAGGGCAGGGGAAGGGGCGTGGCCTGGGAGAAAGGGGTGGGGTCCAGGGGAAGGGTTGTGGTCCAGAGGGGTGTGGCCTAAGAGAAGGGGTGTGGCCAGGGGAAGGTGTGCTTCAGAGAGGGCGTGGCCTGAGATGATGTGGTCCAGAGGGGAGTGGCCTAGGGGGACATGTGTTGTCCAGGGGTGTGGTAGAGGGGTGTGGCCTAGGGGAAAGGGTGTGGCCAGGGAAAGGTGTGCTTCAGAGAGGGCGCGGCCTGAGGAGGGGATGTGGTCCAGAGGTTTTGTGACTTAAGGGGAAGGGGTGTGGCCCCAGGAAAAGGGTGTGGATGAGGCAGACTCATGGAGGTGGAGAAGGCTCTTGGCGACCAGCCACAATGGCTATCCAGGGCGGAGGGGGGTGTTGCCCTGGTGCTTGAATCCTGCCTGCAGGTTTCCCATTGACGCATCTGGTTGGCCACTGAGAGAAGAGGATGCTGGACTAGACAGGCCATGGGCCTGATCCAGCTGGAGCCTCTCCTTATGCTCTTCTGAGCTCCCCTTCCTTGCAGCAAAGGGAGCTCAGTGCGCCACCATCCCCGCATGTACTATTTTACCTGACAGTTCGGCAGCATAGATTTCGGAGTCCCCGTACTCAAACTCCAGGTTGGGGCAGTCCACCGAGCCCTGAAACAGAAGACCCAAGTTAGCTGAGGCTGGCATAGCAGACGGCAGGACACACATACGCTGAGGTGACCCAGTGATACGTAACGGGAACTAGAAAAATGGGTTCCTATCCAACAGCTGTGGAATAGCTCTCCCTGTGACTCGACTTCCCCGCTCTGTGAAATGGGCACTGCGGAAAAGTCCAGCAATCAGAATCGAGCAATCAATAGATGAGTCAACTTTCTAGTACTGGGATAGTGACCCAAACACCACAAAGACTCTGTTGCTCATTGCTAGGTCCTTTGTGGGACCCTGCCTCAAACCCCTCAGCCCCCCCATCTCCTTTTCCGCCCCCTTGCAACACACGGCCACCCCGTTACAAAAAAAATATTGTCCCCTAGCAAAAACCAGGCACCCATTTCCCCCTCATTGCAACAGCATGGTTCAATTTGAAGCCTTCTATGACATCAGAGCAACTCAGCCAATGGCTGGCGGAGGCTGAGAATCGCCCACCACCCTCAAAAAAGCAGTTTTCAACCACAATATTCAGTCCCTACAGAACAGTGGCCTTGGGTACAATAGTCCTAACACCACGGGGGAGGGGGGGAGACACTTTTTCACCCCAAAGTCCGCATTCATTTATGGAGAATCTTCTGAGGGGTCTTGTTCCGGGGTGGGTGGGGCCAGAGGCAAAAACAGGCAGAGCAACGGAGGCAATTTTGATCTTTGTGCAGTAGGCTAGTTTCTGCACAACCTCTCTATTCTCCATCTGGACGACCAAGGGAGTTCAGAGACCTCCGTCCTGTCGGACTTGCATTCGACCGAGCGACTCTTCCGGTTGAGTCCTCTGACGTGATTAACGACCTGAGCCTTTGATGAGGCTCCAACCACGTTCCCCCATTACGCAGAGTATCCAGCATGCAGGGAAGGAGCCGAGATAGTATGAGCTACATTCCAAAGAGTGTTTTATTTCTAACTACGCAGACAGAAAAGAAATATACATGCTTTCTCTGTGAGAGCAGAGAGCAACTGATAAACAAAGGAACAGGAAACCAGTAACGTCACATCCATCTCCTGTCTTCCGTGAGACTTCCCACAGCCTGGAATCTCTGGAATGCAAAACAGAGTCTTGTGACTCCAAGAGCACGGCACAGTGGCAACACACAGAAACCAACAGGAGCGTCTCCACCCCCATCCTTCAGCCCAGACACTGAGGTCCAGCTCTGAGGGCCTTCTGGCGGTTCCCTCATTGCGAGAAGTGAGGTTACAGGGAACCAGGCAGAGGGCCTTCTCGGTGGTGGCGCCCGCCCTGTGGAACGCCCTCCCATCAGGTGTCAAGGAAATAAGCAGCTATCCTATTTTTAAAAGACATCTGAAGGCAGCCCTGTTTGGGGAAGTTTTTAATATTTAGTGCTTTATTGTTTTTAACACTCGATTGGGAGCCGCCCAGAGTGGCTGGGGAAACTCAGCCAGATGGGCAGGGTAGAAATAATAAATTATTTATTATTTATTATTATTATTTCAGCAAAGTCGAGCCAGTGAAGATCGTGGCTTGGGAGAGCAAGATAGGAGGGACGTCCATCTTTCTTTCTTTTCTTTTTTTTGCATATGATTTTCATTAGTTTTTCATTTCACATAAACCAACAAAATACAATAACATTTCATGACCATTTGTTATTATCTTTCTCACCCCTCTAACAAGCACTGACTTCCCTCCCTCCCTTCAGCAGGTTTTCTTACTTCAATTCCCTTTCCACAGTTCCTTAATAATAACCAGTCCATGTCATATGATATGCTAACGTCTTCAAATTTCTACAGTTTTTACTTATATAGTCCATAAATTTACTCCAATCTCTTTGAAAATTTGTTTCCTCTTGATTTTGGATCCTCTAGGTCAGTTTTGCTAATTCTGCATAATCTACCATCTTCGTCTGAACTCCTCCACCGTTGGTAATTCCTGTACTTTCCATTTTGGGGCTAACAAAGTTCTGGCAGCAGTCATAGCGTACATAAATAGTCTCTGATCTACTTTTTCAATTTCCTCTCCCATCAAGCCCAGCAAAAAAGGCTTCCATTTTTTGGGGGAAAGTATATTTAAACATCTTTTTCAGTACATTATAAATCAGTTCCCAAAATTGTTTCGTTTTCTCACATGTCCACCACATGTGGAAAAAATCTCCATCTTTCTCTTTACATTTCCAACAGATTTTACTACTCGTCCTATACATTTTTGCTAGTTTGACAGGTGTTAGGTACCGGGACGTTGATCTTTCCTGACTTCTGCTAGACATGTCCCAAAGGGATCGTGATGTCAGGATCTTTGTGGGATGCAATTGAGCCTTTTCTTGTTGTTGTTTAGTCGTGTCTGCCTCTTCGTCACCCCCTGGACCAGAGCACACCAGGCACTCCTGTCTTCCACTGCCTCCCGCAGTTTGGTGAAACTCATGCTGGTGGCTTCGAGAACACTGTCCCACCATCTCGTCCTCTGTCGTCCCCTTCTCCTTGTGCCCTCCATCTTTCCCAACATCAGGGTCTTTTCCAGGGAGTCTTCTCTTCTCCTGAGGTGGCCAAAGTCTTGGAGCCTCAGCTTCAGGATCTGTCCTTCCAGTGAGCACTCAGGGCTGATTTCCTTCAGAATAGAGAGGTTGGATCTTCTTGCAGTCCATGGGACTCTCAAGAGTCTCCTCCAGCACCAGAATTCAAAAGCATCCATTCTTTGGCGATCAGCCTTCTTGATGGTCCAGCTCTCACTTCCATACATCACTACTGGGAAAACCATAGCTTGAACTATACGGACCTTTGTTGGCAAGGTGATGTCTCTGCCTAGGCTGGAGCAAGTTTCTAACCCCATTCATAGCACCCATTAGCCTTTTAATGATGGCCGCTGGCTAAGCTATGACCTACATGGGACAGAGTCCCCTTAGGCTACTATCAGGGCTCTTTTCCCCTATAGAATATTACTGGGGCACAAACAATTCGTGGAATAGGGGAGAGGAGAAGGACTGCCACTCACTGAAGAGCTTTTAACCATTAGCTATTGACTTCCATCCTTTAAAAAAAAAAACAACGGTTTATTTCTACTGCACCTCCAAGGTCCGCTCAAGCCTTGTCTGTACGCCCTCATCATTTGCAGGGAAGCTGCTACCCTCATTTTGGAAGCCAAACAGTAAAGAGAGCAATTGGCCCGAAGCCACTCAGGGTTGCAGAACTCGAACTCGCAACTCTGGAATAACAGTAACAGAAGGTGCCGGTTCAAAGGGTCAAACTGAGATTACTGACCGCCGGGTCTTTATTCTCACATTCCTGAATTTTAGAAGCCGTTCGCTCATTCTGATCACAGGCAAGTACCAAATCTTTGGCTGCAGGTTTCTAGTCCTTAAGGAGTGATATAGGCATAGCTGTCAACTTACAGATTTGAAAATAAGGGACCAGCAGCCTCGAAAATAAGGGACCAGCAGCCAAAATAAGGGATTTTAGTCAACCAGCAGCCAAATGAAGCCTCAAGCGGTGTGTGATGGCCTGGGAATCCGATTCAGAGGCTGAACCGGAAGAATCCCAGCCTGCACAGGAGTCCCCGCCTCCAGGGCTGGCTGAGCTGGGGCAGGGCCTTGATTCTGAAGTGCCTGCACCTGTGCCGGATCCTCAAGAGCAGAGACCAGATGAATCCACTCTGGCTCCAGAGGTGATTGAGGGCCCATTGCCTACAGGTGCGCCTCTCCCAGCCCTGTCAGGGGAATGTGAGTCTCCCCCTGGGTCCAGTAACCCTCCAGCCTCTCCTGAGCTGCAGAGGCTCAGGGCAGAGAGGCGGAGGGAACTGGTTTCTCCCAGGAGGAGTGCTCGCCTTAAGGCCAGGAGAGGCGGGTCACCTGGGGGCCGGGACTGCCCCTGGCCTCAGAGAAGATAAAGGCCAGTCAGCCCGGTCCCAGGTTGCAGGAGCAACGTCGTTGAAGAGCTGTTTCGGCCAGCACCCAGTCCTGTTCCCCCAGAGTTCCTGTCCTTGCCCAGCTCCTCGCTGTGAACCCCGCTTCGCCCGTGGAGGACTGTCTGCCGACCCTCGACTCAGGTCCTGGACCTCGCCCCACGGTAACCTCCCCCTGGACCAGCACACAGTGGTTCCCACAGCGCAGCAACCCGGCAAAGGGGATGCAGCAAGGAAAACCACCGTCACCTCTCCGCTGGGAAGCGCTGAGCAAAGGCGAGTCCCCAGGCAACGCGGCCGATTTGATCGGCACAAGGCATGCAAGCTCCACCCCCCAGTCGTTCTCCAACTCCTTATTGGGTGAGCAACGCAGCCAAGCAACACAGTTGGAGCCTCCCTCCTTCCTGGCCGGCAGGGAGGGAGGGAGAGGAGCTGCTTCCTTTGAAACCCGGGAAATTTAAGGGACATCATCAGTAAGGGACAGCAGCAGGACACAGCGCTGGGATAAGGGACTTTCCCGCCAAATAAGGGACGGTTGACAGCTATGGATATAGGCTGCCTCGCTCTATTTATGGCCAGAGGCCGGATTCTGTATCCCCTCCTGGTTTTCTCTCAGACCCAGATTAATTGAAGGACATGCCTGGTGTCTATTCTCTCTTTCGGGGATACAACACACAACCTGAAAATAATTGGAAAGGAGAAGAGACGCATTGTCTGAATTCTGCGAGATTACGCAGACGTCAAGGGATTCAAAGCTGGTTAATATAATCCTGGAGGTGTGGAGAGCAAGGAATCATCTTCGACAGGAAGACCATCAGAATAAATCACACGACGTAGCTCTTACTGGATTCTACTGAAGAAAGCCTCACTGCCTGGGTGCATAAAAATGCCTCAGATACCAAAGCGTTATAAAACTGCATTTCTTTCCTTCTTTTTAAAATTTTAACACTAGAGCACGGAAAGTCATCAAAGAGGAGCGGTGCCACAATTGAAGAAGGATACTGACAAGCTGGAAGACGCGCAAGGGAGAAAAAAGAAATTGTTATTTAGGGGAATTGAATTTAATTCTAAATTATATTCCAGGAAACGTGGGAGATTACAAGGGGTCAAAAAAAATGGATGTACCATGCTATATTAGAAGCAAAAAAACTTGTTTTGATGAATTGGAAGAGCCGTGAAAAGATTCCATTGAGCACATGGAATGATAATATGGACAGATTAGCTGCATACAAACGAATTGCATGTCGACGCAAATTAAGAATGGATAAACATGAAGAAATCTGGAAGGAATATTTAAGCGATAAGGCGGATTGTGGTGGGAAGTTGGGGAAGGAGAGAGAGAGGGGGAAATATTGTTAAAAAGGTGTAGTCGTAGGTATATCAGTGTATTCAAATCTGAATTGTCAAATTATGTAGTTAGTGTTATTATGGTTTTTGTTGTATGTGTCTTTTGCAGTTGTTGTTTGTATTGAAAAATGATTAAATAAATAAAAAAAAAAATAATCAGGGGTCTGGAAACCAAGCCTGATGAGGAACAGTTGAAGGAGCTGGGTATGTTTAGCCTGGGAAATAGGAGACTGAGAGGAGATAGAATAAAGGTAAAGGTAAAGGGACCCCTGACCATTAGGTCCAGTCGTGGCCGACTCTGGGGTTGTGGCGCTCATTTCGCTTTATTGGCCGAGGGAGCCGGCGTACAGCTTCCGGGTCATGTGGCCAGCATGACTGAGCCGCTTCTGGTGAACCAGAGCAGCGCACGGAAACGCCGTTTACCTTCCTGCCGGAGCGGTACCTATTTATCTACTTGCACTTTGACGTGCTTTTGAACTGCTAGGTTGGCAGGAGCAGGGACTGAGCAACGGGAGCTCACCCCGTCACGGGGATTCGAACCGCCAACCTTCTGATCGGCAAGTCCTAGGCTCTGTGGTTTAACCCACAGCGCCACCCGCGTCCCTTCAATAGGATAGCCACCTTCAAATATCTCTAGACCTGTCATATGAAAGATGGAGCAAGCTTTTTCTCCTGTTCCAGAGTGGAGGACCAGAACCAATGGATTCAAGTTGCAATGAAGGAGATTCCAGACTCAGCAGTAAGAGCTGTTTGACAATGGAACGGACCCCCTTGGAAAGTGGTTGAATCTCCTTCCTTGGAGGTTTTTAAGCAGAGGTTGGATAGCTGTCTGTCATGGATGCTTTAACTGAGATTCCTGCATCACGGCGAGTTGGACTAGATGACCACAGGGTCCCTTCCAACTCTACAATTCTATGATTCTACAAAGAGATGGGAAATACAATTCTACGTATGGCACATAATTTAGGAGAGCCATATTTCTTTCTAGGGCGCAGATTTTATTTATTTATTTATTTACTTATTTCCCCATTCTTTATGATCACACTTTCATCCAGGGATGTCGAATAACTTACAAAAATAAAAATAAAAGCATTCAGTCGAAAAATCTAACAATAACCTGCATCAAACTCATCCTCCTATTAGTTATACATAAAGGTATATACTTTTGTCCCTACTCATTTATCCTAATTTCCCCCCCTTCCTCCCTCCCCGTTAACTCCTCCCCCAAAAACTTGTTGTCTCTTCAGATCTTTAACCATGTGCACAGATTATTCATTCTAATTTGGACGCTTGGGTTGGCTTTTCCTCTAGGGTGCGGATAAGGAGTTGTGCAGGTTCGGTGTTTGAAACGTAAGCTGTAAAGTCCCGCCAGGTTGCATCAAATTGCTTTGCTGGTTCTATGCCTTCCACCGCACAAATCTCAGCAGTTATCTTTTCAGTAACTGATAATAATAATTTTATTATTTATACCCCGCCCATCTGGCTGAGTTTCCCCAGCCACTCTGGGCGGCTTCCAACAAAACACTAAAATACAATAACCTATTAAACGTTAAAAGCTTCTCTAAACAGGGCTGCCTTCAGACATCTTCTAAAAGTTTGGTAGTTCTTTTTCTCTTTGACATCTGGTGGGAGGGCATTCCACAGGGCGGGCACCACCACCGAGAAGGCCCTCTGCCTGGTTCCCTGTAATTTGGCTTCTCGCAGGGAGGAACCGCCAGAAGACCCTCAGCGCTGGACCTCAGTGTCCGGGTAGAACGATGGGGGTGGAGACCCAACCATGAAGCAAGATGAGGCAAGTGCCTCAGGGGGCGGGATCCACAGGGGCAGCAGATCCCAATGCTGATCTTTATTCTGAGAGATCTGCATTGGCTCCCAGGACGTTTCTGACCACAATTCGAAGTGTTGGTGCTGACCTTTCAAGCCCTAAACGGCCTCGGTCCAGTATCCCTGAAGGAGCGTCTCCACCTCCGTTGTTCTGCCCGGACACTGAGGTCCAGCTCCGAAGACCTTCTGGCGGTTCCCTCCCTGCAAGAAGTAAGGCTACAGGGAACCAGGCAGAGGGCCTTCTCGGTGGTGGTGCCCTCCCAGCAGATGTCAAGGAAATAAGCAACTATCTTACTTTTAAAAGACATCTCAAGGTGGCCCCGTTTAGGGAAGTTTTAAAATGTTTGATGCTGTATTGTGTTTTTAATATTCTTTTGGGAGCTGCCCAGAGTGGCTGGGGAAACCCAGCCAGATGGGTGGGGTATAAATAATAAATTATTATTACAGTGGTACCTCAGGATGCGAACGGGATCTGTTCCGGGGCCCCGTTCGCATCTTGAATAGAACGTAAGACACGACGGTGCGTCTGCACGTGTGCGGGTCACGTTTTACCGCTTCCGCGCCTGCGCGTGACGTCATTTTGAACGTCTGCGCATGCGTGAGCGGCAAAACCCGGAAGTCATGCACTCTGTTACTTCCGGGTTGCCATGGAGTGCAACCCAAAAGCTCTCAACCTGAAGCACATTCAACCTGATGTATGACTGTATTATTATTATTATTGCCTCCTTGTTCCTGATGTGGCTCTTCAGTCACCCCTTCTCCCCTGGCAGGAAGGAGATGTCGTTTTGTGGTTTGCCTCAGGCGCCAAAATGTCTTGGGCCGGCCCTGATAGGGTCCAAGGATTTTCACAAAGCCTGCGCACAAAGAACTGCCATCCCAGCTCAGCCTTTGAGCGCAGGCTCCGGACGGACGTCCATCCACTGCGGGAAGTAAGGTGGCCAAGGAGTTCAGTTCCTTATTCCACCGTGAAAAAGGGGAAAGGAGCTTTATCCAAAGGGCTGCAGTGCCATCATCTGCACTGGTCACCGGTTACTGCAGAAAGATCGTGGCCGCCACCATCTCCCTGAATTTCACACACACGGTTTCAGCTCAAGTCGAGCCCTTGATTTGCAGCCAAATATTTTGCGAGAAAGCTTTGGTTGCATAACATGCAGCAGAGAATCAACACTTAAGACATAGGCGGGCAGCAGGGAGCACACAGATTTGCTGACAAAGTGAGTTTTGGGGGTATTAAAGACTACAGAGGGCTCAGTTAATTAACAAGCCCCATCATGTCAGCGTTTGCTCACCCCAACGAATGCAGGGCAGACGCAATTTCGGGAAAGGTGGAAACTCTGCCTGCGTTTTGAATGGCAAGATGGATTTGTCGGCCGTGGCGCTTTTTTTTTTAGCAGCCCGATCCTGTCCGTTTGAACAGACAAAGGCCAATTATTGAGAGGGGAAAGGGAGAGTTAATTGACTGGAACCTCCATGACAGATTACAGTTGCATCAGGCTGCATTTGCAGTGTGCTGCAACAGGCGAGATAGATGCAACGCCAAATAAACACACACAAACTCTCTCACAATTAGGGAGAAACACACCAATTGAACAAGAAAGCCCCAGTTTTTAAAGCTCAGCTTCTTTCCACTTGAGAACTAATCTCCTAAATCCAGTAAAATTCTTCCCACTTTGACCTTCACTGAAGTTTCCTAAACAACAACCTTGGCCGTTGCAGCCGTCCAGCAGCAGCAAACACTTTCCAAAGTACGGCAATGTGATTTACAAAGGGCTAAATTCACCAGCAACAGATCTGAGCTGTGTTGCAAAGTGTGCTGCTTTAATCTAAAAATGCTGGTGGGTTTTGTTTGTTCGCTTGCTTCAGACTTTGTAGAACTTTTTGGGTCGCGTCTTGCCAAATCCTAACAGAAGTCACAACGAGGCCTTGGGCTTCTTTGCAAATTCATTCAGCTGAGCTTCGCTGTGGTTGTTCCGGGAGAAAGCTCAGGCTGAAGGTCTTTCCGAAAAAGCCCGGCTCAAATTCGCAGAGCAGAAAACTCAAATCTACTGCTTCACCGCCTCAAAGCAGGGTCATCCGAAACATCTTCTTGTTTTGGGGAACGATCCGCTAGAAAAAGTTTTCCTGTACCAGCAGCTCCAATTTATTTCAATGAGATTTCAGTGAGGAAGAAATTCCTGGAGGATTATGCCCTCTGCCTTAGCAAACACAAACAGGAATATTTAAAGGCCTTTCTCGGTTTTTGTTTCATCGTGGCACCAGCTTAGGTGACTGTTATGTACTGAAGTTCTCACCCTGGGCCAGCAGGGGGATACTGTAGATAGTTTTCCCTCAGGTCCGCATATGCAAATAAGGGATTGAAAGTGACGTTCAGTGATTGGATAGTTAGAGAAAGTTGTTACTGTTGCTTTGTAGTTGAGCTCTATATAAGCAGGCTGGCTGAACCCTTCAGTTCAGTTCTGGCCTGCGAATAAACAAAAGCTGTCTGAAGAATTGCTGTGTTGTCTGATATGTTCACCCACAACTTAACAGTGACATTTAAATAAGAGTTTAGATCACCCTTCATCAACCTGGTTCCTCCCAGATGTTTTGCACTACAACTGGGTCTGATGGGAGCTGTATTCCAAAATCTCTGGATGGCACTAGGTTGGTGGAAACAGATTTAGATGCTCATATAAAGGTCCAACAGCAGTTATCAGGTACAGACTAGATGGAACAAGAGTGTTTGGAATAACTTTGGATGTCATCTGTTGGGAGTTTATCTCAGTGAAGGCCTTACTTGGAAAATCAATACAACCCAGGTGGTTAAGAAAGCCCAACAGAGACTCCATCTCCTCAGAGTCTTCGGAAGAACAATGTCAATCAACATCTGATGATCTCCTTCTACCGGTCCACAATAGAAAGTGTCCTTTCCTACTGCATCACGGTGTGGGACGCTGGTTTGACATCATCTGATAGGAAGTGCCTACAGAGGGTGGTGAATACAGCACAAGATATTATGGGCTGTTCCAGTGAGCACTCAGGGCTGATTTCCTTCAGAATGGAGAGGTTAATAATAATAATAATAATAATAATAATAATAATAATACAGTGGTACCTCGGGTTGCATACACTTCAGGTTACAGACTCCGTTAACCCAGAAATAGTGCTTCAGGTTAAGAACTTTCCTTCAGGATGAGAACAGAAATCGCGTGGCGGCAGCAGGAGGCCCCATTAGCTAAAGTGGTGCTGCAGGTTAAGAACAGTTTTAGGTTAAGAACAGACCTCCAGAACGAATTAAGTTCTTAACCCGAGGTACCACTGTAATAATAATAATAATAATAATAATAATAATAATAATAATAATTTATTATTTATACCCCGGCCACTCTGGGCGGCTTCCAACAAAATATTAAAATATAATAGTCTGTTAAACATTAAAAGCTTCCCTAAACAGGTTTCATCTTCTTGCAGTCCATGGGACTCTCAAGAGTCTCCTCCAGCACCATAATTCAAAAGCATCCATTCTTCGGCGATCAGCCTTCTTTATGGTCCAGCTCTCACTGGCTCCAGGATAGAAGGGTCTTTGGCCTGATCCACCAAAAGGCACTTTTGAGGCTAAGAGGAAGCGCGGCTGCAGTTCCTTTTCAGAAGCAGGCGCATACTTTCATAAGAGGCGAGAGATTTATACAATCTGAAGAGAACCAGAATATAAGCAGGCACACGCTGAAATAGTGAGGTCTTTGTTTTCCCGGCTCTGTGAAAACTACAGGAGCTTACATGCCAAACAGAGCCAGCAACAAAGGAAAGGTTACTGGATTAAAAAGGGGGGGGGGGGACTTGGCAGGGGCAGGAGAAACGGAGTAATTAAATTTGGAGGAGTAAAGAACTTGGATATGATAGGAGTCAAAGGTTAGTAACCACCTGCATGCACTTCCATGGGAGCAAGCTCTGCTGAACTCAATGGGGCTTACTTCTGAGTAGCAGGTGTTGGAAGACCTTTTCAGGCAGAGGGCATGTTGTCAACCTTGGTGGGGGGCCACTAGTGGTGGATGGGGCCAAAGAAGCAAAAGAGGGTGGAGGGCTGTGAGATCCTGACCCCCTGGTTAAGATGCAATGACCAATGGCTGTTTGGCATAGCCTTGCCTGGCACCCCTTCCTGCCCTCCTCTTTCCTAAAAACCTGACCACTGGTCAGATGCAACACCAAACTTGTCCCTTAAACTGGAATCAGGGTTTGAAATTCGCCAGGCGCTTTTTGCACCTGGCTATCAACCACTTGGGTGAAAGAGGAGAGCGCAAAATATGATCTGAAGCTCAGCATAAAAAAACCCCAAGATCATGGCCACTGGGCCCATCACCTCCTGGCAAATAGAAGGGGAAGAAAGGAGGCAGTGAGAGATTTTACTTTCTTGGGCTCCGTGATCACTGAAGATGGTGACAGCAGTAACAAAATTAAAAGACGCCTGCTTCTTGGGAGAAAAGCAATGACAAACCTAGACAGCATCTTAAAAAGCAGAGACATCACCTTGCCAACAAAGGTCCGTATAGTTAAAGTTATGATTTTCCCAGTAGTGATGTATGGAAGTGAGAGCTGGACCATAAAGAAGGCTGATCGCTGAAGAATGGATGCTTTTGAATTCTGGTGCTGCAAGAAGATCAAACCTCTCCATTCTGAAGGAAATCAGCTCTGAGTGCTCACTGGAAGGACAGATCGTGAAGCTGAGGCTCCAATACTTTGGCCACCTCATGAGAAGAGAGGACTCCCTGGAAAAGACCCTGATGTTGGGAAAGATGGAGGGCACAAGGAGAAGGGGGCGACAGAGGACAAGATGGTGGGACAGTGTTCTCGAAGCTACCAGCATGAGTTTGACCAAACTGCGGGAGGCAGTGGAAGACAGGAGTGCCTGACATGCTCTGGTCCAGTGGGTCACGAAGAGTCAGACATGACTAAATGACAACAATCAGCCACTTGCGAAGATGCCCGGACCATCTGGTGGCGCATGCCTGGGGATCCTTGGATCTGGACCGTCTTCACACATTAGCAACGTATCCTGTAGAATTCTATCCTGCACAATCAAGACTGAATTACAGGAATCAAAAAGTTGTATTGAAAAATAAGACTTTATAGCAGTCTGGCCCCCAAAATGGCCAGTAGGTATTCGGTTTTGGTGACTGAAACCCCGGTCTAAGGAGCCATTTGGTGCCTAGCTGATATATCTGAGTTTCTAACACTGATTAGAAGGAGAAAGTGGGGAGAGAGGAAGGAATATACTCATTCATGCGGTGCCAAAATATGGCTGAACATTGAATCTATCAAAAGAGAGGCATGTAACTTTCCCATTTTTCCTGGAGAAGCACACTGCATGGAAATATATTTAGAGAGAGATTACCGGAGACTGGGAAGAGAGAGGACGCAGCGGCAGCCTCCCCCAGATGTGTGGGGCTGGACTGAGCCCCTGAAGATGACATAAACACCCACACTTTAAGCTCCTACAAATGTGGAGGTTTTCGGAGACGGTTTTCCTTTCACGAGAGCAGTGGTGAGGTCACGAGCTCCAGCAGTTTGTTTCCCACAATACTCTGCCCAGCGCACAAGTATGCAAGCAACGCATTAGCAATCGAAAAACCAATAAATCAATTCTAAAAATCATTAGCAACTGGGGAGTGTTTCCCCAAAGGCAAAGAACATCTATCATTCCAGCTGGAGCCAGCAAAATTTGGTCAATGAGGGCAAACAAGGATGTAAATGGACCCCTGACCATTAGGTCCAGTCGTGGCTGACTCTGGGGCTGCGGCGCTCATCTTGCTTTACTGGCCGAGGGAGCCGGCGTACAGCTTCCAGGTCATGTGGCCAGCAGGACTAAGCCACTTCTGGCAAACCAGAGCAGCACACGGAAACGCCGTTTACCTTCCCGCCAGAGCGGTACCTATTTATCTACTTGCACTTTGACGTGCTTTCGAACTGCTAGGTTGGCAGGAGCAGGGACCGAGCAATGGGAGCTCACCCCATTGTGGGGATTCAAACCACCGACCTTCTGATCGGCAAGTCCTAGGCGCTGTGGTTTACCCCACAGCGCCACCCGCGTCCCTCAAACAAGGATGGAGTGAGGGCAATTCAACCAACCCAGCCCCTGTGATCATCCTCTGAGGCCCTTCTTCGTGGGCCTCCTCCACAAGAGGTCCAGAGGGTGGCAACACAAGAGCAGGGCCTTTTCTGCAGTGGCTCCCCATTTGTGGGATACTTTCCCCCAGGAGGCTTGTCTGGTGCCTTCCTTATACAGTCGTACCTCAGAAGTCGAACAGAATCCATTCCGGAAGTGCGTTCGACTTCCAAAACGTTTGGAAACCAAGGTGCACTTCTGATTGGCTGCAGAAAGCTCTTGCAGCCAATCAGAAGCCGTGGAAGCCCCATCGGACGTTTGGGTTCCAACTGATGAGGATGATGGACTATGCCAAAATGGCAAAATTGGGAAAGAGGAAGAGAAGAATTTTAAGAAGCAATGGAAAAAAATATAATGTACATAACAGAACACTGTAAACAGCTAACAACTTTGGCAGGATTTGAGTAATGCTTGTAATGTACAAAAAAACTGTTAAAAAAATAGTAATTTGTTTTTCCATAAATTAAAGAAAATAAGATAAGCAGAAGGGTAGGAAAAGATTGATAACGGTAACCATGGAAGGGCAGAGGGAAATCAAGGGATTCAGAGAATTGAAGATGTGAATGATGTGTTTGAACTGAAATTTGTTAGGTAAAACTTAATAAAAATATATATATTTTAGAAAAGAGATTGCACCTGGGAAAGAGGTGCATTTCTTCCTTGTCCCCATTGCCTGCCCCACTTCGATCAGACTCACATGTGCTTTCACACTTTTGCAAAGCGCCACAGCCCAACCCCAGAGAAGAAACAAACAAGACATCCTTGGGGTTTTGAGACGGTGGTGTTGTCCTTGTTTTGCAGAAACAGCAGCCAGTCTTTTGCTGGAGGAGAGCTGCAGGAGGAATCGCCCTGGCGTTAGCAGAGGGAAGCCTCTTCCTCCTCCCCATTCCTGCGATCTTGACATCCACAACACACAAGCCTCGATTCTCCAGCTGCTCTTGTACATTACGCACAAGGGACCTGGCTGCCTCTCTCCACACAGAGAGGGGAGGGCGTTGGGAAAAGGGGGAAGCCAGCCCGGCCAGCAAACCAGGAACAGATAATATTCAGGGGAGGGGGGCTGCTCCACCTTGCAGAGTCCACCATTCCGTGTAAAAACCCCTGGCGAAAAAGAGAGTTTGGGGAACAGATGAGCGCAGGGAAAGGAGGATTTCAGATGCGCAAAAGCGCGCAAGCTTGGATCAGAACGGGAGGTGGACGGAGGCGCAGGGAAGAGAGACTCATTCACAAAACAGGAGCTGTTTTACTCCATCCTAAAGGAGCTAGAGGAACAATTCGCCCCCCCCCCCAAGTATCTGGGGAGGACGGGATATAAATAAAATTTTATTATTATTATCTTCCAGAAGCAGAAAATAGGGCGATTTAAGGTTCCACGGAAGCAGCAGAATGTTCACCCAACCCTGAGAGACCCAAGCGAAAGAAGGACCCCCCCCCCCAATCTCAGAAATCCATGGGATTTATCTGCAAGAAGCCCCCACCTCGCCAGGCTCAGGACAAATCCTGCCCCGCTTCCAAGGGCAACACATTTCCAATCTGGGGGCTGCCGGGCACTACCAGCCCCATACTCTCTCCAAATGCCCCCCCCCAAAAAAATTGGCTCTTTTTCTCTCCCCCAATTTTAGCCAGCCCCTCCAACTGCCCCCACCCGAGCTCTCCTGAGCGTCACCCCAAAACTCCAAGGCTCCCCTCCCCGCATCCCCGAGCCCCACCGACGCCGGGACCCAAAGAAGCCGCCGCCACCCTCCTGACCCCCAGGAACGCCTCTATTCGAGTCCAGCAAGACCCCCACCCACCCGCTTCTCTCCACTGCGCCGCCAGACCCTCCCCTTTGCAGGCGCCCCTCTGGTTCCCCCCAAAGCCGGCTCTTTCTCTCTTCCCCGCCACCCCACAACTCTGCAGCCCCATCGTGACACCCCCGGACACAGCTCTCTTTCTCCAACACCAGCAGGCACCCCACATCCCTTTTCCCTCCTGCCCCACAACGTCCCCGCAGGGTAGGCTGCCAAGGCACCGTCCCTCTTGGGGGTGCTCTGCCTACCTCACCCCATATATATTTATATTATTTATATTTATATTTATTTATATGCACGCTCCAGGATGGCACACCCCACCCCAAATCCACCACCCCCCAAAAAAATCAATTGCCCCACAACGTCCCCGCAGGGTAGGCTGCCATGGCACCGTCCCTCTTGGGGGGTGCTCAGCCTACCTCACCCCCCAAAATATAAATATATATATATATGCGCTCCAGGATGGCCACCCCAAATCCACCGGGAGTCCCCCCTCCCCAAAAATAAATGAATGAATTGGCACCTCCGACTCCTTCCGCTGGCTCCTGAAGAGCTCCCTGCCCTTGGCCGGGGGCTGAGCCTTGCCCTTGCCCGGCGCCCCGTTGGCGCCTCCTGCGCCGGGCTCCTCCATGCCGCCCCGGAGAGCCACCCGCCTGGATCTCAGCGCGATCGCCGCGGCGCAGACAGACACGTGCGGGGCTGGCACAGGCACTTCCCTGCCCGGGCGCCGGAGCCACGCCCCCCCGCGGCCCCATTGGCCGGTTGCCGGCCGAGGGAGGAGCCCGGCGCGCACACCCCCTCGCGGCGATTGGCCGCGGCGGGAAGGAGGGAGACACCTGTTGGGAGAACTGTAACCAGGGCAGACGGAGGAAAAGGGGGCGGGGCAGGGGGCGGGGCGAGGGGCGGGGCTCACCGGTGGCTTTGCTATCGCCCGGCTTGCGTTCCGATTCACCTCTGAGCATGTCCAGAGTGCCCTGCAGCGCCGGGATGCAGCCAGGGCCTTGCAAGGACACTGAATTGCAGAATTGGCTAAAGGTATGGTTTTCCCATAGTTAAAGGTATGGTTTTGGGAGAAAAGCAATGGCAAACCTAAACAGCATCTTAAAAAGCAGAGACATCACCTTGCCGACAAAGGTCCATATGGTTTTCCCAGTAGTGATGTATGGAAGTGAGAGCTGGACCATAAAGAAGGCTGATCGCCAAAGAATAGATGCTTTTGAATTCTGGTGCTGGAGGAGACTCTTGAGAGTCCCATGGACTGCAAGAAGAGCAAACCTCTCCATTCTGAAGGAAATCAGCCCTGAGTGCTCACTGGAAGGACAGATCCTGAAGCTGAGGCTCCAAGACTTTGGCCACCTCATGAGAAGAGAAGACTCCCTGGAAAAGACCCTGATGTTGGGAAAGATGGAGGGCACAAGGAGAAGGACAGAGAATGAGATGGTTGGACAGTGTTCTTGAAGCTACCAGCATGAGTTTGACCCAACTGCGGGAGGCAGTGGAAGACAGGAGTGCCTGGCGTGCTCTGGTCCAGGGGGTCACGAAGAGTCGGACACGACTAAACGACTAAAGAACAACAACAACACCTTGAAGGAGAACGTAATGCAAATGATGTACCGCTGGTACTTAACACCTGTCAAGCTAGCAAAGATGTATAGAATGAACAGTAAAGTATGTTGGAAATGTAAAGTGAAAGATGGAGATTTTTTCCACATGTGGTGGACATGTGAGAAAATGAAACAATTTTGGGATATGATTTATAACGAGCTGAAAAAGTTATTTAAATATACCTTCCCCCAAAAAACGGAAGCTTTTTTGCTAGGCTTGATAGATGAAGAAATAGGAAAAGTAGACCAGAAATTATTCATGTATGCCATGAAGGCTGCTAGAATTTTGGTAGCCCAGAAATGGAAGACACAGGAATTACCAACATTGGAGGAGTGGCAGACAAAAATGGTAGAATATGCGGAATTAGCAAAACTGACTTACAGGATTCGTAACCAAGAAGAAACAAAGTTCAGAAGAGAGTGGAGTAAATTTGTGGAATATATAAGTAATAATTGCAGAAGTTTAAAGACTGTAGCAGGATTAAAATAAATCTAATGATGTGGATGGGATGTTATTAAGAAACTGCGGAAAGAAAAGTGGAAATTGAAAACCCGTTGAAGGGAGGGAGAGAAGTCCGCGCTCAGCAGAGCAATGAAAAAATAAATGGGTATAAGATTATGGAATCTCATTGTATTTGGTTTGTTTGACTTATGTTAAAGAAAACTCAATAAAAATGCATTTTTTTAAAAAAAAGAGATATCTGAAGATCTCCTCTGTTTTCCAGGCTAAACATACCCAGCTCCTTCAACCATTCCTCATCAGGCTAGCTTTCCAGGCCCTTGATCACCTTGGCTGCCCTCCTCTACACACCTTCCAGCTTCTCAATATCCTCTTTTAATTGTGGTGCCCAGAACTGGACACCGTATTCTAGGTGTGGCCTGACCAAGGAGCAGTAATATACCGTATTTTTCGCTCTATAAGACGCACCAGACCACAAGACGCACCTTGTTCTTGGAGGAGGAAAACAAGAAAAAATATATTCTGAATCCCAGAAGCCAGAACAGCAAGAGGGATCGCTGAAAGCAGCAATCCCTCTTGCTGTTCTGGCTTCTGGGATAGCTGCGCAGCCTGCATTCGCTCCATAAGACGCACACACATTTCCCCTTACTTTTTAGGAGGAATAAAGTGAGTCTTATAGAGCAAAAAATACGGTAGATCTCTTCCCTTAATCTGCACACCGGAGCTCTGTTTGTACAGCTTCTCCACCTGGGGAAGCAATAGGCATGATTACAGTTCAAGGATAATTCCCCCTTGGGCAAAAGAACAGGAGGTGGTGGTGCAGGATCTGTGAGGGGCGTGGCCTGGAGAAAGGGGGCGTGGCCTGAGAAAGGGGCGTGGCCAGCAGAGCGCCCTGGCAGCTTGAAATAGGCTTACAGGGCCCCCATTCTGTTTCTCACCCCCGACACAAAGCTTGACAGAAGCCTTAAGCGGAGCTGACGAGATGCTAAAGTTCCAAGATGGAAAAACGTTTCAAGTCGCCATCGACCCGCAGCCTCTCTTCACTAGGGAAGCCGCAAAGCGTTGAGCAAACCTCAGCCGGCCTCCCGTGCTGAATTATTCAAACCCCTTCCATTACTTACCCAGATAAGTGGGCTTCAGCGAGAGATGAGCTGATGCCACAGCTTATTAAAACTTTGCTGACTCCAAGGACATGCGAAGACTGACCCTCTTTGTTGTTCTTGGCGGGTGCTGCCTCTTCCAGCGCTGCAAGATGGGAGAAGGTCACGCAGGTTTCTCAAGATTTTTCACAGATTCATCAGTATGCTGATTACACCCAACTCTATCTGTTGATGGATGGCCATCCTGACTCGGCCCCAGACACACTGACCAGATGTTTGGAAGCTGTGGCTGGATGGTTACGTTGGAGCCGGTTGAAGCTAAATCCTTCGAAGACAGAGGTCCTGTGGCTGGGACGGGATGATATGGGATTGAGGGGGCAACTCCCATCTCTTGCAGGGGCGCAATTAGTGCCAGCACCGTCCGTTAAGAGTTTGGGTGTAATCTTCGACACCTCCCTTTCCATGGAGGCGCAGATTGCAGCTATAACAAAGGCGGCATTTTTTCATCTCCGCCAAGCTAAGCAGTTGGCCCCTTATCTCTCTCGCCCTGACCTAGCCACTGTGATCCACACGACGGTCACCTCCAGACTGGATTATTGTAACTCGCTCTACGTGGGGCTGCCCTTGAGACTGACCCAGAAACTCCAGCGGGTGCAGAATGCTGCAGCGAGACTCCTACGGGGTCTTCGCTGCGAGATCACATTCACCCGGTGCTATACCAGCTGCACTGGCTCCCGGTGGAGTACAGGATCAGGTTTAAGGTGCTGGTTTTAACCTTTAAAGCCCTATGCGGCCTAGGACCCTCGTACCTACGGGACCGCCTCTCCTGGTATGTCCCACAGAGAAACTTACGGTCTTCAAATAAAAAGTTGTAGTTTCCGGGTCACCTTCAAAGGTAGCCCCACACAGAGCGCATTGCAGTAGTCCAAGCGAGAGATAACTAGAGCATGCGCCACTCTGGAGAGAGAGTCTGTGAAACTGTGAAACTATTCCCGCCCCCCACTACCCCAGGGTGGGTTCAGGATCAAAGGTGGCCACAGGGTGTTATTCTGCAATAGTTTTGCAACATTCAACCCATGCACTTTGCTGCTTCCTTTTCCTTCATTCTCACCTAACTGCCTGGGGCGCCTGAATTTCCTTTGCGTTGGGACTTGGGAGGCCTCCCTCATTTCTGTCTCAATCATCACAGGGAACCTAACACACTGCCAAAAACTTCCGAAAGACTCATTTGGATTTTACAATATTTTATTTATTTTTGAGATTACAGAGTCCTTATTGCTGATCTAATACAATCACTCAGACATTAATATTTAAAACATCCTTTTTCGAAAATATTATAATCTCATAAGTTTTTTTTTTTTTAAACTTCCTTATTGGAGAATTATGACATGATTTTTGTTTTCCTGGTTTCAGATATTCGGATCGCAATTTGCCGCTTTTCCTTATGACGCGTTTTGTTTTGCTGGTGTCTCCTACCTGTCTTTTTTAAATAGTCTTTGAAATGTTACATTAGAAAATAAAACATTTATTACACTTGCTTAAAATTTAGAGATGATCACAGAAGTATGGCGATTCCAGACTGATTGGGAAATGCTGAGCAAGCAAAATCGCTTTACAGACAAATAAAAAAAAAAACGAAAATAAGCAGAACACAGAGGAAGATTTATTTATTTTTAAGAAAAGAAAATCAGAGGAGATAAAACTCTTTCTGTGGGACATTTCTATTTGTTCCCTCCCGCCATTCTCTACATCAAAGATAAAAATGATTTAGCGCGAACAAATTTAAAAACGAGGACAGCACCATCACACGCTCTAGCTAGTGACAGACCCTGAACAGGTGACCCCCTTCTCCCCACCCGACTGCACCCACCCCTTTCAAGTCACACACTTTTGGGGTCACATGGCAGAATGGTTGTCTCTTGCCTGGAGAAGTGGGAGGGTATATCATGCCTGGTAGGTGAGACACTGGGTGGGTGAGAGGGACTTGAACCGACCCTAGCAGCATCGGTCTGCCTAATGGCTGGAGCCATATTTCTTGTAGCGGGTTCAACGCTGCTCCATCTAAGAGGACAAGACAGGCCTTGCCAGACTAAGTCAAGGATCAGGGCCTTTGGGGGGGCAGCAAACAAAGGTGGCCTTGCGCTTCGTGATACAGTGGTGCCTCGCAAGACGAAAAGAATCCGTTCCGCGAGTCTCTTCGTCTTGCGGGTTTTTTCGTCTTGCGAAGCAAGCCCATTAGAGGTTTAGCGGCTTAGCGCTACAGTATTAGCGGCTTAGCCGGCTTAAAGATCAGCTGATAAGCGGCTTAACGATCAGCTGATAAGCGGCTTAGCATCAGCTGTTAAGCGGCTTAAAGATCAGCTGATAAGCGGCTTAGCATCAGCTGTTAAGCGGCTTAAAGATCAGCTGATAAGCGGCTTAGCCATCAGCTGTTAAGCGGCTTAAAGATCAGCTGATAAGCAGCTTAGCATCAGCTGTTAAGCGGCTTAAAGATCAGCTGATAAGCGGTTTAGCGGCTTGGGAAAAAGGGGGGGGAAAGGAAAAAAACCCCGCAGGAACTCGCAAGACATTTTCGTCTTGCGAAGCAAGCACATAGGAAATTCGTTTTGCGAAGCACCTCCAAAACGGAAAACCCTTTCGTCTAGCGGGTTTTCCGTCTTGCGAGGCATTCGTCTTGCGGGGCACCACTGTATTCCAAAGTCCATGTGGAAGAACATACAACTCAAGAGTCAGGGGGAGGAGGGCGGTGAATTCACACAGCCATTTCCCCCACTGCAGGGCACAGAACCGGGCCCTTCCACCATCCTCTATGCAGAAGTGAATGCAGCCCCCAGCGTGAGATGGTGGCCCGGATCCTGAATCTTTCCCAATTTCCTTGCCACTTGCTCCCCAAGTGTCCTGGGGGTCTGGGCAGGCAGAACGTCCCTGGCAGTTCCTCCTCAAGGACTCAGGCACCACACATACCAGGCAGATGAAGTCGAGCAGGTGCAAACTACACTCAAGAGAAGCAAAATAATGTGTTTTGTTTCTTGAAAAGTTAAGAATGAACCCAGTTTGTATTAAAAGCAACAAAACTGCCCAACAGCCCCTTCCTATATAGTTCACCACTGGTATTACAAAATGCACGACCAGATTTTTAAGAAATGGTGAAGAATTGCACAGTCAAACTCTTCACATAGCCATGCCCTCCAGAAACATCACAGTTGGACTAACCTTTGCTACTGAAAACATGAAGGATGTACAGAGACTGGGCAGATTTCCACAGAAAGCCAGACAGGCACCCACAACTAGTTCTGCAACTCTCTGCACCCCATTTTCTCTTTTCTTCTCCTCCGCTCCCCCCCCCCGGCAAAAGCTTAAATTAAATTAACAAAAGCTTTGCTCCTTGCTCTGCCCCACCTTCTCCTGACTCCACTGGAAGACTTTTTCTTTTTCCATTTTCAAGCTATCTCCTGCCAGGAAATTTGCTCTGCTGTTGCTCTGACACACTCAGGTAGCAGATCAAATGCACAAGCTAAGTTCTTTCAGCAAAAGGTAAGCCATCCCTGAATCCAGGTCTTTCGTGATCCCGTCCGAAGGTGGGATTCATTCCCTCTTTCCTGGTGAAATGAATAAAATGTATTCGAACGGGTATGGGTCCCTGGCTGCAACTGTGCCAATTTGGAGTGTTAATAATCGTAGAAAAAGAAAAATCTATGGCTGCAGTGCCAGAATAATACCAGCATGGAGAGACACAAAAGGAAAAAACAACTGCAAGAGGAATATTGGTCTGGATGCAGCCTGAGGTTGTCTTGCCTGAATCTGAGGACACCAGAAGTGCCTGGCTCCTGGATTACCCCAAAGCCAGTATCCTGTTTCCACCAGATGCCCCGGAGAGAAGCGCCCAGGCAGGACCTGAGAGCAGCTGGGCTCTTTTCATAGGACACCGTGAAGCCTGGGGCAGTTCAATGGAAAGGCAAAATCAGTTTGGGTGGGGTTTCCCTTTAGAGCAGAATCGGGACACGACGGGAACGGCCCAGCAGGAGAATCCCCGCACAAGGCGCTTTCAAAATGGATCGCGGGAGACGTGCAAGACCAAGGAAGCTCAAGGCTCATCCATTTCAATGTGCCTTGCCCAGCAAATGTTCCCACTGGCTCAAGCCCAGCGTCACCGACAAATTCACCCCTGGTTCGCTTCACGCTAACAGAACCCGCTCTGCTCCTGCGAACAACTGGAAAGCAGATTTGAGTTTGTGCAAACGAATGCCCAGGTCACATTTGCAGGATGTTGATGGCGCCTGTTTAAAAAGCAACAGCTGCCCTACCGGGGGTGGGAGAGACTTGGACGTTTCCTAAAACCAAATAGAGGTGGATCTCAAAGTCTATTCTCAGCAAGGACTACAATCCCTTGGCACAGAGAGAAGGATTGTGGGACGAGAAGGGTTCTCGCTAGCAGGCCTGCCAGCGTTCTGCCGCCCTGTTCCGCAGGGGCCAACGCAAGTTGCTTGGCTGCTTAGCGTCAGGAGGAGCACGTAATGCCCCAACACCACAAGTCCTGCAAGAATGAAGCTTTGGTAGGCATGGGGAGGGAGGGAGCTCGTCGCGACTTGCATATAAAACCTGCAAGGCTATTGCAGAAGCACAACAACGATCTTATGCAAAAAAGGGTGCCTGCTCCACAGACCCCAGCAAGGTAGGTGTGGGGGGGGGAGAGGAGGGGGCAACATTTGCCTGGCCTGCTCTCCAGAAGCTGCCCCTCCCCTTTGCACAAGCAGCTAAATTCAGAACACGGTTTCCCCCGCAATGAGGTTGCAAGTGTCTTAGCAGCAATGTGGAGCGGACTTGTGAGGCTTCCACGTTAAAGCAAATCAGCAGCCGCTTTCCCACTGCCATGGCAAAAACACAAGAGAAAGAGAGAGAGAGAGAAGCGAAGGAAACTTGGAGTGATGGCTCCCCGCTCTCTCACGCCCATCCAACTTTGGCTGCTCTCTTCCAGCCCCCTTTGTTAATTTGTACACTGGATTAGACATAACAGTGATAACAAGATTGCTTGAAGCTGACATAATCTGCGGTAAAATTCATTTGGCCAGACAATCTCTCTCCTTCCCCCAGCCCCCAACTACAGCTTTCCACTCCCCACACCCCAAAAAACCACCCCCCAAAGTCCATCATCTCACAGTCCCATGGCAGTTTAAAAAACACCATTGGCAGAGGCCGCATTTACAGTATTCTAGTTTAATAAATAAATAACCTAACACACTGTGTACTACGGCAGCAAGCCTGGTTCTATGTTCAGAAGCTTGTACTGGTTTGTCCTGCACGGTAGCCGAGAGAGGTCTTGAGGTTTTTGCTCCTCCTCTTCCTTCCAGCTACAGCCACAGGAAATTAATACCTGTTTTAAAAAATAAATCACAAAACAACTGGATTATAACCCCAAAGCATTCACTTTCTCTTTCCTTCAAGAGGTGGTGGTGGGGTGGGGGCTGAGGAGAAAGGCTGCTGCGCAATGCTCTTATAATTTGCTCTCGTAACATCTGAGCTCTTTTCTCATCTCCTAATTCCCGCTGCACACTAAATCAGAACACACACTTTCGGATGAGAGTAGGAGGTTTCTCTCTGTTAGGTAAGTGAATGCATTTCATTCAATTAAACTGTGCTAGTAAAGCAATTGCAAGTTCTTGGGAGCAGGAAGTTGCAGTGAAGCCCACCAAGCTCCAATTACGTTCCTCTTGGGACACAGGCTTCTATCCTCACCCCAAACAAGGAGACGGCTCTGGAAGCTACTGAATTCTTGGATCTAGCAGAATCAGGGGTGCAATAAATGAGGGACTCAGCTGTCTTTACACTGGCACCTCTGGTTACGAACTTAATTCGTTCTGGAGGTCCGTTCTTAACCTAAACCGTTCTTAACCTGAGGTACCACTTTAGCTAATGGGGCCTCCCGCTGCCGCCGTCGCACAATTTCTGTTCTCATCCCGAAGCAAAGTTCTTAACCCGAGGTACTACTTCTGGGTTAGCAGGGTGTGTAACCCAAAGTGTTTGTAACCTGAGGTGTTTGTAACCCGAGATACCACTGCACCGTTAAACTAGGCTTTTGTAGCTGGGGGGGCCATTGCTCGCTGGACCTAGTTTTGTTTCCATGCTGCTAAGTGACTGCAAACTGTAATCTTTAACTGTAGACTGAGTCTATAATCTTCAGCCAAAATGCCTGCCATAACGGAGGATCTGGTACGTTCTCACACTGACATGAGCTGGAGAAATATAAAGGCCTCATTGTGCCTTTATGGTCTCCTCACTACCTGCCCTACAGCACAGACTCTGAAACAACCCTCAGATCTTCAGCATATAGGACATTATATGGGGGCAGGGGTGGGGGAGGTTTCCTGATTTTTATTTTATTTTAACAAAAGGGAAGTACCTGTAGTAGTTTGGTTTGAAAGGCCCATGTTTATTTAGACCCAAGTATTTCGCTTGCTCATCCGAAAGCTCCGTCAGGTGTGCGTCGAATGTTGGGAGATGAAGACTTGCCACATACTCATCTGAAAAGGGAAAAGCAGCCCTGGTTAAGTCCGTGTGGCTGCAGGAAGACCCCAAACATCCCACAATGCAAGTGGGTGGGATGGAAACAGGAAGTTCAGCAGCAACAAAACAAAACAAAACTCAAAACACTCAGGAATGCCTCGGCAGTTACCATAATCAGAAAAGCAACGAAGAGAAAAAGGACCCCTCATTCCTAGATGGCTGGGATGAGGGATATGGCTGGGACTTTTTAGATGCGAGAAATGATAGAGGAGCTGAAAGGCCACAGGCTCCCTATCCCTGACCCAATAGCAGTGGGCTCGTAATCTGGTGAACCGGGTTCGCTTCCCCGCCCCTCCACATGCAGCTGCTGGGTGACCTTGGGGTAGTCACCCTTCTCTGAAGTCTCTCAGGAGAAAGGGAAAGGAAATCGACCTTTAAAGCCCTAAATGGCCTCGGCCCAGTAGACCTGAAGGAGCGTCTCCACCCCCATCATTCTGCCCGGACACTGAGGTCCAGCGCCGAGGGCCTTCTGGCGGTTCCCTTCCTGCGAGAAGCAAAGCTACAAGGAACCAAGCAGAGGACCTTCTCGGTAGTGGCACCCACCCTGTGGAACGGCCTCCCATCAGATGTCAAAGAGATAAACAAACACCTGACATTCAGAAGACATCTGAAGGCAGTCCTGTTCAGGGAAGTTTTTAATGTGTGACATTTTAATGTATTTTTAATCTTTGTTGGAAGCCGCCCAGAATGGCTGGGGAAACTCAGCCAGAGGGGCGGGGTATAAAGAATAAATTATTATTATTATTATCATCATCATCATCATCATTTCCCCAGGAGCCTTGGGGATGCAGCAGCAGCAACAGCAGGGAACAAGTCCCGATGCTAACCTTCCACCTGCAGGAAGCAGGTAAGAAGGAGAGTACCTTAGGGTGGGGTGTGATGGCTGAAGCTTACCCATTTTTTTAGGGAGCAGGTAGACGTCCTGCTTGTAGCGTCCTTCCGGGGCGTTGTAGAGCTCTATCAAGGCCAGAGCCTGGCAAACAAACGAGAAGAGAGACCAGTTTAAGCTGGATCTCTGGCCACAGAACAGATCTACCCAACAATGGCTGCTCAAGTCGACCGGAACACCTGGTGGAGAGAACTAGAAGGGACCAGAAATGCCACCAGCCCAGGATTCTATTCCATGGCGGCTCACCATCACCAAACTGTTTCCATTCCTGATCCTTCCCTGCACAGGAGCCAACTCTTAGGGGGCCCTTCGCCCCCCAATAAAATATATGAGGGGGTTGGGCCCCTCCCAAAGTTGATGGGCATCGCCATGCAAATGGTGTGTGCCTGTGCTGTCTTTTGATCAAATAGGTGGGGTAGGGCTTACCTGCGCCCCCCCCAATATTTTATTCAAATTGGCACCCCTGCTTCCCGTAAGATGGACATTGAAGGACAGGAGTCAGGGGAAGAAGGAACTTCAACTGTTTCACACAAAGCCAGCCAGATCACAGGTTAAAATCAGGAAGGATGGCCCAGTGCTAAAACGAGCAGCTGTTCTGACTGTGGGTGAATGAGGCATCCCTTGTTCGCTCCAGACACAGCTATCAGCTAAACACACTGAATACGAAAGGAATCCAACCTCTGCTTTCTCACCCCGAGGAATTTTGCTGGGTCACAGATCTGCTCCACTCAGTATCATCTTGAACTGCGGGAGTCCTTGATAGCCCAGTGCAAGAGAACAGGGTGAGTGGGGGCAGAGCGTAGATATTTCAAAATGCGGGGGGGTGGGGGTGGAACAGCAAGAACCCCTTGTCTAGAATGAGTCACAACTGAGGAATGGCAACAGAACTCCTGAAATACCCTTTGAAGGGAGTTCTTCTATGACCTAGCACTGTATACTCACTTAAACATTCTTTAAGTATCAATGACTTCCCTTCTTCTCTTTCATTTTGCATACTATAAATCCCTGCATATTTTACATAAACCAAACCATTCGGTATTCCATTATGTGTGAATTAAGTTTCTTGCTGCTGAAGGTGCGAGGCAGGGATGGGGAATCTGGGGTCCTCCATATGTTGTGGGGCTCAAACTCCCATCACCCGTGATCTCTGGCCACGCTTGCTATGAGACCATGGGTTGGCGAACTAAGGCCCGGGGGCTGGATCCGGCCCAATTGCCTTCTAAATCCGGCCCACGGACAGTCCGGGAATCAGCGTGTTTTTACATGAGTAGAATGTGTCCTTTTATTTAAAATGCATCTCTGGGTTATTTGCGGGTCATGGGAATTCGTTCATTTCCCTCACCCATATATATAGTCCGGACCTCACAAGGTCTGAAGGACAGTGGACCGGCCCCCTGCTGACCCCTGTATGAGACCCTCATCCTCACTCAGTGCCCTTCCCTCTTGAACTGCAGGAGTTGAGAGGTGCAAAACAACAAACTGTTGTTTGGGCTGCCTTTCTGGGTGCCAAACACACACTGAGAAGGACATCTGACCTTTTTCGGGGGAAACCCCTGTGTCACCATTATGAAAAAGAACTGAAATAGTTGGCCTCTTGGCTGATTCAGTATGTTAGTTTATTGAAAACTGCCCCGCAAATCCCACTCACCTGGGTAGTCGCTGTTATTGACAGCACAAAGGTTGGAACTGTGGAGCAGCTCAGGTTCAGCAAGCGCCCCTGAAAGACAAAAATGCATCATTCCTGCATCCAACGCTGGCTTCTCCATGGGCGGACTGCTCCTGACCTGCAGGGGCTGCCAGCAATTCAGCTCCACCATCAAACAGCAACAGGAGGAAGTAGCAGGAGCCCCCTCAGAAGGAAGTGAACTTGGACGGCTCTGTCTTTGACTCAGCAAGGCTGTTAGCTCTTGGGAGAAGCTTCTAAAGCAGCGGTTCTCAACCTGTGGGTCCCCAGATGTTGTTGGACTACAACTCCCATCATCCCTGAGCTCTGGACTTGCTAGCTTGGGGTGATGGGAGCTGTAGTCCAACAACATCTGGGGACCCACAGGTTGAGAAAGGCTGTTCTAAAGGGTCAGTACTGGGAGGCCCCTCCAGATGTCCACTAGAGAACCCCAGGCCAAGATGAAGGAGGAGCTCATCTTCTGAACCACAACTGTACACACAGGGAGCTCCCAGCACCCACCCAGCCTTCTTCACCAGCCCGGTGCCCTCCAGATGTTTAGGACTACAAGACGTGCAGTCCAAAAACATCTGGAGGGCACAAGTAAACAGCAAAGTTATTCCACCCTGTTTGGAAGGCCCTCCCTTACCTCTGCCAGCAGCACTATCCTCTTCCCGTCAGGCCAAATCACATGGTCTACTTGAGACCTCACCCGCTCCCATGTCAGCTCCGGGGTACGCAAGCTGGCCTGGAAGACAACGTTCGAAAAGTCTGAAGCAGAAAGGGCCTTCGGAGTCAGCAGAAATGGTCACTGCACAAAGTCTCACTGCACGGAGTAACTTGTCGTCGGCTGAGCGAGATCTAAGGTCTGCAGGGGGTGAGCACTGCAGGACAACGCACGCCTTACACTTCGGCGGCCCCGATTCACCAATTCAGCACCGCCAGAGGCAGGAAGTAAGAACTGCTCTGCTGAATCAGACCACGGATTTGTCCAGTGCAGCCTCCCCCTTCTTCATCTTTAAAGCAACTGCTCTTGTGGCAACAGATCCCGTAAAACAGTTAGTGAAAAGCCACCTTCAGTCTGCCTGTCTTGAAACTTCTGGCACTGAGCTCATGGGACGACCTGGGTCGTTCTAGCATTGTGAGGGGATAGAAAAAAGTCCTGGGCTTTCTCCATCCCGTACTTACGTCTACAAGTCTCTGTTATTACCCCTCTCTTAATCACCTTTGCTCTAGAGAATCCAAATGATTTTACATAAATGAATTGTGACTCACTATTGAATTATGTTGTGGTCAGTGTCATGAATTGTTAGGAGCTGATTACTGAAATTACTCTGAAGTTGTTTTCATCATCATCATCATCATTATTAATTTACCCAATTGTTATGTCTTTATAAAACCCCAATTGTTATGTCACACTGATATCCACCGTGAATCCACTCTGGAGTGCAGGAATGGCAGAAAATGGGTATATAATGGGTATATACTTGACTTATAATGAGTATATACTTGACTTATAATGGGTATATACTTGACTTATAATGAGTATATACTTGACTTATAATGAGTATATACTTGACTTATAATGAGTATATACTTGACTTATAATGGGTATATACTTGACTTATACAGTGGTATCCCGGGTTAAGTACTTAATTCGTTCTGGAAGTCCGTTCTTAACCTGAAACTGTTCTTAACCTGAAGCACCACTTTAGCTAATGGGGCCTCCTGCTGCTGCTGCGCCACCGGAGCACGATTTCTGTTCTCAACCTGAAGCAAAGTTTTTAACCCGAGGTAATATTTCTGGGTTAGCAGAGTCTGTAACCTAAAGCGTATGTAACCCGAGGTACCACTGTAACGGGTATATACTTGACTTTCTTGGTGGGGGGGCAGGCAGTGGGGAAAAACCAGCCCAGAAAAAGGGCACTCCACCCCACTTTTCTGCAACATTTCTGAATGCAAGCCAGCAGCGCAGGCCAGTCCCCCGCCAGCAGTGAGATCGGACTGATGGAAAGAGCGCCTCAGTGGGTGTGTCTGGGGCAACAATATTTTGGGAAGCGCCCATTAGAAAACCAAACCAAACCGTGATTCCAGGCGTTGCAGTGGATTGCAGTTGCTGTGGTGTGGTGAAATGCTGTAAGGGCAAGTGAGGCAGGAAAATGTCGCCTACAATCCTGTCCCCTAAATTAGAGAGGTGCATGGGCACATCCAGACTCTGAAAAGGACAATGACAAAACCAGGAGCCTACTTGTCAGAGGGCTCCGATTACCCAGCTCCTCCGCTGACACTGACACACAGAGAGGCCTGGGCTGAAGGAACGTCAGTGTTTAGCAGCTGTTTACTGCAGGGGTTGCTTAGCAGGTAAATGCAAGCTGGCATGCCAGCAGATGTCCTGACAGATGAGTGAGCGAGCTCCACTGCTTATCTCCCTGCCCTCCCGCCCAAAAAAACTTGGACAAGGCTGGTGTTTGCCTGGTTCCAAAAGAACAAATGTCAGCCCTCCCTATTGTGCTGTTTTGGAAAGCCGGGGGGGGGGGGGGAGAGAGCTGTTCAGCACTCCCATCTGCCCCTACCGGTGAGACGAAGGGTCGAAAAGGCACTCAATGAGAGCCTGGAAGAAGCACCGACAAGCGTCCTCAAGGGTGCTTTCACAAAGAGCGTTCTGAACGACCCACTTTGCTGGTTTAAAGGCTGACGTTTACTTTTTATTACAGCAGCCGAGTGGCACAGCCACAGGAGTCTCCACAAACCTTGTGCCCTCCAGAGGCTGCTGGGGCCCAGCTCCTACCAGCCCCAGCCATCACGGCTAATTGTCAGGGGTGGTGGGGATTCTGGAGAGGGCACCAGCTTGGGGAAGCCTAACTAATAGTTGTGACTTAGGGCCCTTGTACCTACAGGACCACCTCTCCTGGTCTGCCCCGCAGAGGACCTTAAGGTCCATGAACAACTATAGTTTAGAGGTCCCAGGCCCTACGGAAGTCAGACTATCCTCCACCAGGGCCAGGGCCTTTTCAGTGATGGCTCCGACCTGGTGGAATGCTCTGTCCCATGAGACCAGGGCCCTGCAGGATTTAACCTCCTTCCGTCGGGCCTGTAAGACAGAGCTATTCCACCTGGCCTTTGATCTGAATTCAGCCTGATCTTCTATTTCCCTTCTCTTCCTTCCCCCCTCCCCTTTTATGAAGATCACCCGCTCCGAGACCCCACAGCTAATTCTCCCCTGGCCTCCTCCCTGGCCCATATAGGACTAATTCAGCCAGCTAGCCCTGGTGATTATCTAATGCTTATTAGATGGATTTCCCCTAAACTGATTTCTGAACTTTGAATTTTATTGTTATTCGTGTTTTTATACTGTATTTTACGCTGCTTTTACAATTAAGTGTTTTAAATTTGTTGTTAGCTGCCCTGAGCCCAGTTTTTGAACCAGGAAGGGGGGGGTATAAATAAAAAAATATTATTATTATTATTATTATTATTATTATTTCTGTCCAGGCCCAGGATACAAGTTCACACACAGCCATCAAACTCCCTAGGTGAAGGTTGTGTAGCCTCTCTCTCTCTCAGCCTAACCTAATTCACAGGGTTGCCAAGAAGAAGGGGGGAAACCTGGTACTCTGAGCTCCTTGGACAGAATGAAAATGTAATAAAACCAGGCATAAAGTTCTGTTCATTATTAAGCCAACCCATGTGTTTTTCTAGTTCAGAAGATGACATGCCCTCAGGAGGATAAGCCCCACACAAGTGTTTCTTTGGAGCAGAACACAGGTATCTAGAAATATCTACTGGCAGGATGGCAATCTTTCAGGCTTCACAGAGCTCAGAGAGCCAGGGTGGTGTAGTGGTTAGGAGCGGTGGACTCGTAATCTGGGGAACCGGGTTTGCGTCTCCGCTCCTCCACATGCAGCTGCTGGGTGACTTTGGGCTAGTCACACTTCTCTGAAGTCTCTCAGCCCCACTCACCTCACAGAGTGTTTGTTGTGGGGGAGGAAGGGAAAGGAGAATGTTAGTCGCTTTGAGACTCCTTTGGGTAGTGGTAAAGCGGGATATCAAATCCAAACTCCTCTTCTTCTTCTATTGCCTATAGAAAAGCTGCTCTAGCACGCCCCTGAATTTGGATCCAGCTCTGCTAGAAAAGACCCAGAACCCTCCTTCGTTTCCCATAATGCACTGCATTGCAGGTAGAGCAGGGAAGACCATCCCTAAAGCCCTTTACTAGAGACTGGGGGAAAAAGGAAGCCCAGCTCTTACCACGTCAATTTCAGTGTTGGAATGCCCCATGTTACAAACAATGCAACTGTTCTTCATTCTGTCAAGATGTTCTCTGGTCACTACGTTTTTGTTACCTACAAACATACACAAAGAAACAAGATTTACAGAATGGAGTGCTTACTCTAAACCCCACCCTGGCTTTCTAAGAACGACTAGCACACACTGGGAGCATCTTGTTGCACAAACCCTGGTTGAAATGGAAGGAGCTGGGCCCAGCCCACCCTTCCGGGACACGGCCAGCTATGGATTTCCTTCTACCGTTCCATTAGGAAGACTGCCAAAGGGGGTCGCGCTACCATTTGCACAACGAAACCCCACTGCGACGCAAGCGTACCTGTGCAAGTGATAACAATGTCGACTTGCCGAATCACTTCGTTCAGTTTCACAAGACGGAAGCCGTCCATGCTGTGAGAAATAAGCAGAGAGAGAGACCCCTAAAACCAAAGCCCAGCAGAAAATACCCCCATCTGAAAACCGGCCTGTGGAACACCCTCCCATCAGATGTCAGAGAGATAAAACAACTATCTGATGTTTAGAAGACATCTGAAGGCAGCCTTGTTTAGGGAAGTTTTTAATGACAGGTGTTTTATTGTATTTTTAATCTTTGTTGGAAGCCGCCCAGAGTGGCTGGGAAAGCCCAGCCAGATGGGCGGGGTAATACTACTACTACTACTACTACTACTACTACTAACAACAACAACAACAACAAGTTGTTGCTGTTGCTGTTGCTGTCATCGTCATCACTGTGAAGCTCCTGCTCTGCTGAAGAATGCTCTGCTGATGTTGAGCACCCCAGGACCACCCAGGATAGGGGTAGTGGGGAGAGAGTGGCAATTCCGTTTAGAGAAGGGGTAGGCAACCTAAGGCCTGGGGGCCGGATGCAGCCCAACTGACTTCTCAATTCGGCCCACGGATGGTCTGGGAATCAGTGTGTTTTTACATGAGTAGAATGTGTCCTTTTATTTCAAATGCGGGTGATGAAGTCGGTGCTGCGTGTTATTTCCAGCGAAGGTATTATTGGTCATTTATTTCTGTTCTCTCCCCTCCCCCCAAAAAGCAAAGCAACTTTTGCTACCCCCAGCAAAAAGCTCCAAAACTTTGGACAGCAGCTCCCCCCCCCCCAACTCTGGGCACTTTGCAATAAATAAGTGGGTTTTGGTTTGCAGTTTGGGCACTCGGTCTCTAAAAGGTTCGCCACCACTGCTTTAGAGTTACAAACTCCTTCAAAACTGGAAACTTTGGGTGCCTCCTAGCAGCTTCACTCTGATCCACGTGGTTCTCTTAACTCCTTCCCGCTGCCCCACCCTTCCAAAGTTGGCCACTGATGAATGGATGGCAATAGGAAGGGCCAGCGGCATTCAGTAAAGCAAGGGATCAAATCCGGTGCTGACTGAGGACCCTGCCCCCATTCCTCCGCAGCTTCAGCTCTTACCAGGCTTGCAGGGCACAAATGGGGTCGATCTCTGTCACGTACACAATGGAGCCCATGGCCTTCAGGGCGGCGCAGCAGCCCTTGCCCACCTGCAGCGGGAGAGCAGAGCGTCAGGAAAGAGGCACAGAGGACTCAACGCTACAAGAGCTGGGGGAAAACAACAATGCAGCTCTACATTTCTGGGTCCTGTGGCGGGAGAAGCCCGAGGGAGGAGGGCCGGAAGATGTACTTTCAGCGCAATTAACCCAACAGCACCAAGCATTTGCGCGTGGGGAGCTTAAGCATACGGTAACTAGATACTAGGCCCAAGTGGGCATCCGCATGCAACAGCAGAAAAATGCTTCTGTCCAAAAGAGAGGAAAGCCCAGGAGTGTCTAGGTACAATAAAAGCATGTCCAGTTATATACAGTGGTACCTCTGGTTGTGAACGGGGTTGTTTTACTGCATGCTTTAACTGTGGATGTTTATATTTTAATGCTCGTGTAATTGGTTTCTAGGGACATGGGTGGCGCTGTGGGTTAAACTGTTGGTTTCTATTTCCTTCACTGAGCAGCAACTGCAGTCACAAGACAGGTGTTTACATTCCACAGTCTGTACTGTTGGAGTTTCTCACGGGAAAGGGAGACTGGATGTGACGTACACTGGTTTCCTGTTTTTTTCACTGTGTGATTCTCTCCAAGCTGTCGAGGAGAGAGGATGCATTTTCTGCTCTTGCAGAGGCAAGATGTCTTTCTGTAATATACCAGCTTTGAACTGTAAATAAAGCAATATAGAGTATGTAGCACGTATTCTTCATCCTTCCGCTGGCCACGACAGACTCTGCTTTAAATCAACACGTGGTTATGGGCTCCAGAGGTCGAATCGGAGTGCCGGCAAAGGATCGGAATGCAGAGGGACGGATCGGAAAGGAATCTGCTCTGCGCGTAGAAGTGATTGATGAGGTATGTGCTACTGCTCCGGGCAGCCTGCCAGCTTCAAGTTAATGGCTTTATGGCTGGACTTTGAACTTTTAAAGCCGGTTTTGCAGGAATAGGCAAAAGGCTCCCAGGCACAAGTCACTATGCTGGGGAAATCGAAGTAACTTTTAAGTGTGCCTTTGTGATAAGGCAGCTGCAGCAGTGACGCAGCAAGATTTAAAGCAGCATATGACGCTGAAGGCTAATGCCAGAGTCATGATGGCCCTTCAGGATGCTTGTGGGATTCCTAAGCTCAACAAGAAAAATTACAGCGACTGGGTTCAGTATGCAGAGGCAATTCTGCGGAAAGTGGGGTTGTTGGTGGTGATTCCCGGTACCCCCGCAGTTCCAGGTACAGTTGCATGGGACGCTAAGGATTCCAACGCAAGGGCAACTCTTACATTGATAGTATCCCCAGAAGAGCTCTGTCTATTGCGTGATAAGACCTCAGCCAGAGAAATTTGGGACGCTCTGAGAGAGGCTCACTTAAGGACAGAAGCTGGATCCACTATGTTTTACTTTAACAAGCTGCATAATATGGCTCTTGCTGAAGGTGGAGATGTGCGTTTACATCTGATGCAGATGCAAAATCTGAGACATGAGCTGCAACAGAGAGGACTCAACTTTCCAGAGGCTGTGTATTCTTTCATGATACTACAATCTTTGGGTTCAGGTTGGGAGTCTGTTGCAACCCAGATTGCTGTGCAACCAACTGCTCAGCTGACAGTGGACTTTGTTACTGCCGTGATTTTAAATGAAGCAGATCGCCGGGGTGCTAGCTGCATGGGCAAGGGAGTCTTCACAGACGTCATCCCATAGTGCAGTGGAACCACCAGATGGCGCCAAAGCTTTGAAGGCAGTGAAATGCTACTCGTGTGGACGTCTAGGCCATATGAAGAGGGAATGCAGACATCCCAGGGCCAAGACAGAGCAGCGCAGCGAAGCTCATCGCGCGGAAAAGGCCGAGGCAAAGGCAAAGGTCCGGTGTCTAGGACAACGCAGCACAAGGCTATGGTTTCACGCTTCACTCCAAAGGTTGCAGAGGTCCAGAAGACGTCTAGATCTTTCTTCGTTGTTGATTCAGCGGCCACCCACCACATGTGCAACGATAAGAAACTGTTTGTGTCTTTTACACCGCAGGAAGGTGCGATTCACCAGGCGGATGACCACACTATTCCCAGTAAAGGCTACGGAACTGTTGTTCTTCACAGTTTGGACTTATCGATACAGAATGTGCTTTACGTGCCAGACGCCAAACATAATCTGCTCAGCGTTGGACAGCTGAATGAGCGGAACATTGACGTTTCCTTCAAGAACAAGAAGTGCATCATCACAAAGAAAAATGATTATGTATTGCATGCAGAATATGTTGATCATTTGTTTGTTTTGTATTATGATGATGTGGTGCAGGATGACACTTGTTGCATTGCAGGTTCTAACAAAAGTTTGCATGCAGAATGTATTCACGATTTTCATCGAAAATTTGGTCATTTGCATTTTGAGGCAGTATCTAAAATGCCTGCCTTGGTTGAAGGTATGACTATTAAACCCTGCAGGTACCACATGAAGTGCAAAGCATGCGCAGCAAACAAGGTGAAAATGGCTGCGAAAGGTAAGGTGTCTAGTAGGAAAGCTACAGAACCATACCAGGTTGTTCATGCTGATTTGGTTGGACCACTATCGCCCTCTTTGGGTGGAAATAGATACTTCATGGTTCTCATTGATGCATTTTCTAGATATATTTTTGTGTACAATCTCAAGCAGAAATCGGAGGCTTTTCCTAGGTTCAAGGAATTCTGTGCTTGGTTGGAAAATGTGCATGGTAAGAAGATAAAGACTCTTTTCAGTGATCGCGGGGAATTCACTTCTCAGCAGTTTGAAGCTTTTCTGACTGAGAAAGGAATTCAACACGATTTGTCTAGTCCTCGCTCGCCATGGCAGAATGGACTTGCGGAGCAGGCAAATCAGACATTGCTTCAAGGGTTAAAGACCTTGCTGCATGATGCCAATCTTCCAGAGAGTTATTGGGCCGAATCTCTCTCGTGTTTTGTTTACAGTTACAATCGCAGGTTATCTTCAGCGATTGGTTGTACCCCTATGAGAAGATGTTTGGCAAGAAGCCATACATCAAACACATGAAGATTTTGGTTCTGACATGTGGGTTCGCTCACCACAAAACTCCAAGTTAGACAAGCGTGGATTGCATGGTATCTTTCTAGGTTATCAGAAAGGGTCTTACAGAATAATGATGACTGACTCTAAGACAATTAAGCTCACGAGAAGTGTTGAGTACAATGCAAAGTGGGGGAGAATGTGGGAATTTTCCAATGTTATCCTGATGACGGTGATGAGACTGAGGATAGTCAAAAGCAACCACAACAGCCCACACCCACTGATGAAGGTTCTGAGTCTGAATCTGAAACTGAATCGGGTGATTCAGAGGATTTCAAGAGTGCGAAAGCCTCTATGCGACCCTCTGAAAGCTCTGATCAAGAATTGGAGGAACCATTGTTCACAATAGGTCGTTTTTCTCCTAAGAAGGAAGAGGAGAGTGTTGAAGACTTAAGGCTAATTCGTAGGTCACAGAGAGCCACAAAGGCAAACCTCCAAAAAGATTTGCTGATGAGTTTGCTAAGATAGCAGTAACAGCTGTTAAAAGCTCCAAGAAGGTATTTGAACCTTCAAGTTTCCAAGAAATCCAGGGTTTGGATTCAAAGGAAGCTGAGCCATGGTTAAATGCCATGAAGGCTGAGCTTGATTCCTTAGAAAGGAACAAAACATGGGAGCTAGTTCCAGTAGTTCCAGGAATGAAACTGCTTGGAAGCAAATGGGTCTTCAAAGCGAAGACAGATCAAAATGGCAAGATAGTCAGACACAAAGCCAGATTGGTAGCCAGAGGTTTTGCACAGGTACCAGGTGAAGACTATCACGAGACCTATTCACCCACAGTGAGATATGAAAGCATTAGGCTTATGCTTAAGCTAGCTGCAGAGGAAAATCTACACATTAGTCACCATGATATTAATACAGCTTTTCTGTACGGATCTCTAGATGAATCACTTTATATGCTTCCACCTGATGGCGTACAGGTAAAACAGGGATTTGTTTGTGCTCTGAAGAAATCCCTTTATGGTCTCAAACAAAGTGCACGGTGTTGGCACACAAAACTCACTGAAGTATTGTTTTCTCTAGGTTTTCAGCAAGGGAAAGCTGATCCATGTGTATTTGTCAAAGAGGAGGGGCAAAAGAAACTGTACTGTTTGTTTTATGTTGATGATTTATTATTCTTTTGGAAAGATGTCGCAATGTACAATAACGCCCTAGCTCAACTGAAAGAGCACTTTGACATGAAAGATCTTGGTGAGGTAAACAACTACCTATCTCTGGAAATAGAGAGAGATCAAGATGGTAACATTCTAGTACACCAGTCACGGAAAATTGCTGATGTGTTAAGCAAACTAAATCTGATGGATGCTAACCCTGTAGACACACCGATGACAACAGGTTATCAGGTAGATGACACTGAAGAAGCATTTTCTGACACTACACTGTACAGGAGGGTGCTAGGCAAGCTAAACTTCATTGCCAGATGTTCAAGACCAGACATTGCTGTTAGCTGTAATTTGCTAAGCAGACAAGTCAACAATCCTAGTGTCAAGGATTGGAAAGCTCTGAAACGCATAGCGCGGTATTTGAAAGGCACTATGCATTACAGACTGAGATTTAACAATCAGAAGTCTGGTGGTCTTGAGATATTTGCAGATGCAAGTTTTGGAAGTGACGCTACAGACAGGAAAAGTACGTCTGGAGTTTGCTATATGTACAATCAGAGTCTGTTTGATTGGTCATGCAAGAAGCAAACAACAGTTAGCTTAAGTACTTGTGAAGCTGAACTGAATGCACTGTCTTATTCACTTAAGGATTGTGAATGGTTAGTACAATTGTGCAAAGATATGAAAATTCCTGTCAAATGTCCAATCCAGGTTTACCAGGACAACAAAGCATGTTTGGCTTTGCTGAAGTCTGAAGGTTGTAAGCAAAGCACAAAGCACTTGCAATTAAAGTTGCAGCATGCTAGGGAATGTATTCAGAAGGGACTCGTAACGGTGTCCTATATGCCAGGTAATGAAATTCCTGCTGATGTATTGTCCAAGATTGTATCAAGGGATCAACACTGTACCTATGTGCAGAAGTTGGGTTTGTACTGATACTGTACGAACACGCTGCCCAGTGATGTTCACAGAAAGAGGGGGATGTTGGTTTCTATTTCCTTCACTGAGCAGCAACTGCAGTCACAAGACAGGTGTTTACATTCCACAGTCTGTACTGTTGGAGTTTCTCACGGGAAAGGGAGACTGGATGTGACGTACACTGGTTTCCTGTTTTTTCACTGAGTGATTCTCTCCAAGCTGTCGAGGAGAGAGGATGCATTTTCTGCTCCTGCAGAGGCAAGATGTCTTTCTGTAATATACCAGCTTTGAACTGTAAATAAAGCAATATAGAGTATGTAGCACGTATTCTTCATCCTTCCGCTGGCCACGACAGACTCTGCTTTAAATCAACATAAACCACTGAGCCTAGGACTTGCTGATAAGAAGGTCAGCAGTTTGAATTCCCACGACGGGGTGAGCTCCCATTGCTCGGTCCCTGCTCCTGCCAACCTAGCAGTTCAAAAGCACCACAAAGTGCAAGTAGATAAATAGGTACCACTGCGGCGGGAAGCTAAGCAACAGCGTTTCCGTGCACTGTTCTGGTTCGCCAGAAGCGGCTTAGTCATGCTGGCCACATGACCCGGAAGCTGTACGCCGGCTCCCTCAGCCAATAAAGCGAGATGAGCGCCGCAACCCCAGAGTTGGCCACGACTGGACCTAATGGTCAGGGGTCCCTTTACCTTAATTGGTTTCTATTCTTGCAAACCATTTAGAAGCCTATTTTGGCATCAAGCGGCATATAAAACAACAACACCATGGGGGTTTAAAAAAAGCTTCTGGGAAATACAAGGGCTCTAGTGCATCTCCAGTGGAAGGGAGCCCCACAGTTCTGGGTTCAGCCACTCAGAACGCCTATCAGCATGGAGACTCTCTCTCCAGGAAGGGCCTTCATTCATCTTGAAAGAGATTAAAAAATGACTGAGGGAAGAAAGCAACTTCCATGACTGCTTTCTGTATCACACAGTGTCATGCAAAAAGCCACAGGAAGCCTGCAGGGAGAACCCACAAGATAACCTGACACCCGACCCGGATGGAGTGTGAAAATAATGCAGAGTGCAAGGCTTGTCTTGACATTGGGCTAAAACTGTTGTGTGCTGCAAGTTTCCAGGGGTCCAACAGGAGGTTGGGGGAGGAAAGAGGGAGATCAACACAGCAGCAGCTGAACTCTGTGGAGTTCAGAAGTCCAAGGCACGAATGCTTTTCTAAGTCCTTTCGCAAACCATTATCTAGAGGTGCCCTTAGATATCCAGAGGGAAGTCTTGAAGAAATCATCCCTAGAACTGGAGAAGGAGCTATGATGCCACCCACAACCTTCACCTAGAGCACAAGCACAGCTTGCTCCAAGGGGGAAACATCCGAGTCTTACCTCTCCGTAGCCACAGACTACGACTTGCTTTCCTCCAAACATCATATCGGTTGTCCTTTTAAGGCTGAGGAAAAACGAGAGGGTTGCAAGGTTAATCTTGAGAAATTCTGTTATGTACGGGATTTCAGGCTCAAGGGCACAGCGGTTTTGGATTTGTGAATAATGGCCCTTGTGTGTATTGCTCAACAGTGACGCAACATCAGTGAAATGAACTAGGAGCTATACAAATTACAGAGCAGTACCACTCTTGCCAAGGGGGCTTGCAACGTAGGGACCACATGTGTAGGCTATTGCAATCATGTGCGAAGACACTTTGTACACATGCGAAGAGGCTGCACCACATCCTTTGGGAGCCCTGGAAGCGTAATCACTGTACATTATCTGCACATGGGGATTCCTGCAAATTCTTACACACAAAGCCTATTTCACAGGTATCTGGTAATCTGCGAAGCGATCCTGTGGTTTGAAAAGGAAGCCAGGAACAGGCGAAAGATTGGAAATTATCAATGAATGACAGGGAGTGAGATGGGGGAGAGTCAATCAGTGATAAAGGTAACAACAAGCAAAACAGTAAAAGCCAGGCTGTCTCTTGCAAAGCAGCTAAATGTGGGGGCTCAATGTAACTGCAGACCCTGGGTATCTAAGCACATCAACAGCAACCAACTGCCTTTAGGAAGATTTTAATTCCTTCCTATTCTTTTAATGCTGCTTTTTCTTTGGTTTATGATTCTTTGCTTCTGCGTGTCCCTTTCAAGCCTCCAAACGGATACCCCTTAGATGCTGAGAACCGTTGGCCCTTGCGATATCCCAGCTTTTGCCGGGGGCTCTGTTGGGAAGCACAAAGCGGTGGTTTCCAGGTGAAGGAAGCCATGCTGTTCTGCACATGGAAACTCTCCCTCTTAGCATATCTCCTTCCCTACTTGGCATCTCTGCAACTGTGCCCTACATTGTAGTCTATTTTTAGCAGATAAGTAAAATAGGTTAGCGGTGTAGGGAGTGTGGAACTTCAATTTTCCACTGAATATAGACGGCAGTCTCGAGGGATAGGACTGCAGTTCTGCTCCTGTTTCTCGTGGCCCATTTTACAAGGCCCAAGCTAGCTGCCTAGCTGATTTAAATATTTCAACTGCTTCCATACGATTCTGCCAAGCAGCAGAAACAAGAGTGAGCCGATGATAATTTCCTCTACTGGAATCAAATTTGCATGAAAGCATATTAGTAGAATTAGGAAGCAGCAATTTGCCTGCATTTCAATAAATGGAGAAGCCAATTCGCGAATTGGGGGTCGGGGCTTTATCAGCAACTTTCCGCAGCATGCCCACTATAGCCTTGTTCTCACTGAGGGAGGTCAAGCTGTGCCTATCACCTGACTGAATGCCAGAAAAACCCATTCACCACCCAGGGAAAGCCAGCGCAGGGAGAAAGCCAGAATAGAACCCTTCTCCCTCATATGCTGATTTTCCATGTGCAGGGAGCTGTTATGTTCAGTCATGTGTTCCCCCACCTGGCACTCTGGAAGCGTAAAATCTTTGGCAAAGGCGACCATCCTCAGTGAGTCAGGCCCACCCATGTCTCGCAGTGAGCATCAATGTTACCAGCAGGGAGAGATGTGTTCAAACAGACTGGGGTATGCACTGAGAAACAGCAGCTGGCTGCAAATCCTCCTCAAACACTGAGGCGGCCGTGCCTCAATGCAAAGCAGCCCTGAAGCAGAGAGACAGGCCTAAAGAAGGCCGACAGAATTCACAGCCAGTCACAGGGCCTATGGGCATCGACTCCGCAGGCCTCTAAGCCCATGTTGAGCAGGATTGCAGGAGAGCCCAAAAGACACTCTAAATCCCACCTCCCTTTTGTATGCATCTGATCGTGCAAGAGCTTCCTTGCCACGGACATCTAATGCCCCTGGGAAATGAAAATATGGGTTTGGGGAAACAATGCTAAATGTAGCTAATCAAAAGGTAAAGGTAAAGGTACCCCTGCCCGTACGGGCCAGTCGTGTCCGACTCTAGGGTTGTGCGCCCATCTCACTTAAGAGGCCGGGGGCCAGCGCTGTCCGGAGACACTTCCGGGTCACGTGGCCAGCGTGACGAAGCTGCTCTGGTGAGCCAGCACCAGCGCAGCACACGGAAACGCCGTTTACCTTCCCGCTATAAAGCGGTACCTATTTATCTACTTGCACTTAGGGGTGCTTTCGAACTACTAGGTGGGCAGGAGCAGGGACCGAACGACGGGAGCTCACCCCGCCGCGGGGATTCAAACCGCCGACCATGCGATCAGCAAGTCCTAGGCACTGAGGTTTTACCCACAGCGCCACCCGCGTCCCTTTGTAGCTAATGCTAAATGCTAAATTCATCATGCTAAATGCTAATGCTATATGCTAAATTCATCATGGGATGAATTGTCTATAGTGTTCCTTTAGCAAGAGGAAAAGAACAGGACAACAAGCTAGATGCCTTTGTTTCATGGTAGGGCAGTGGGCAGGGGGTGAGGGAGAAAGGGATAACATCCCCCACACTTTTCCTCTTGTAGTTATCAACTTGGATGAACATAGCAACGTAAGAGATGGAAAAGAACATGCCGGGTCGAGTTGTCTTGTAATAAAAGCTTCAACCCACCAGGCTATGGAATGAGAACTGCAATTACCACGTCAGCAACATCCTGCTCTTAATTCCCTCTTAGTCTTCTGGGTTTAGGCGCTAGCGGCCAGCTTATTCCTGAAGCTACTGAGGAGTTTGGTGGCTCTGTGACATTTAGGGGAGGAAAGCTCCGCCACGTGGTGTCTGTTCCTTTGCCATTCTCCCACAGTGAAACGTTCTTGTGACGGGATTTGTACCGAACATCGAGAGAGGCCTTTTTAAGAAAACAAAACAATGCACTATATCTGGAATAAACAAACCCAAACTGCACCCGTCTCCTGGCAAGACTATGCGGTTTGGAAACATGGAAATCACATTCACTGGAAAGCTTCAGCATAGGAGAATGGGAGTTACCACCCCAGCTTTTTTCCTGCCATAAAAGTGAGATGTTTTATCTATTTATAAGAATATTTGTATACTGCTGTTCATAAACAGTATCACAGCAACCATACAGATCCACAATAAAAGCCATGTACAAATTGAAAACCAGAGATTAACTATTGCAGAAATATATTTTCTTAATTGCCTGTGTGAGTTCTGTGGCAGCTATTTTGGACGGTTGGGCATAGTTACACCTTTGCAGCTGCTTCTCTGCAGACCCTTGTGAGAAGACCTCCTTCTCCTCTCTGTGTTCATTTAAACAGAAAGATACGTACCCATCTAAAATGGATTCCCGGCAGCAATAGAGGTTGTCAAACTTCTGCTTGGTGACAGAGTCGTTGACATTCATAGCTGGGACGCACAGCTTGCCTGCCTTTGATAGCTGATACAATCTAGGGTGAGAGGGGAGGGGAAAGAATGAAAGGATAAAAGCCAAGGTTTCCTGCAATTTCCCTGGCTGCTCTTCTGCCTTCTGTTCACCTACACAATTGACTGACCAGCACCAGGTGCTCCTAGTTAAGGGTTTATTGTGAAATCATTGCTTACTTCAACTCGCCTGTGGGAACAACTCAGAGGCCATGAAAGAAGGAAGGTTAACACAGGAAGATTTAAAGGAACTATTGGAAACTCAAGGCAGTAGAGATATAAGATAATCAGAGCCCCCCCAGAGCCCCCCCAAACTTGAAGCATGGGAAGTCCCAATAAAAATTTATAATTTGGCAGAATATTTGGACTATATGATATGTATTTGTATAATCTGGAATATTTAATGTGATTTGATTGGATTGTTAAAATGGAAAATTTAATAAAAATATATATATATTTTTAAAGAGTTTATTGTGAAATCAGCACTACGCATGCCTGCAAGGGTTTTCTGTTTGTTTGTTTTTGCAAGGTCCACATGATGCTATCATTAAAATGCCAGCCCACCCATTTTTTTACACTTAATCCAGATTTCCCCTTAATGTGGAAAGTCTGATAAGTAAAAGTTACTTTTTAATACATCTGCCCTCACAACACTTTCTGAGTTTTGTCTGGGAGGCAGTGTGTGTGTGATTCAAACTGCTGGGTTTTTGAAACTGGGGAAGTCAGATCCAAATTCTCTTTCAGTTATGAAACATACTAGGTGACCACAGGCTATTATTGCCATGGGTTACTGGCATGTCAAGGTGCTACTCTGAATTCCTTTGGAGGACAGACCGAAGAGTAATAAAATTAAGGAAGCTGTTTCTCTCCAAACAGGGGCACTGGTGAAATAGGATGCAGTTCCCACCTCACCCAAAGCATGTGAGAGTTGTTACCTGTGGACCCCAGTGACACTCTCCTCTACGATCCCCTTGATCTTCTTAAACATGTTGGGGTACTTCTTGTAGATCCAGTGTGTGAGATCCCCACCATCGTCTAAGATCTGAAACACCAAATGTGTTATTACTACCACATTCCTTTGCTACAGACCCAGCAGTTGGCATTCTGCACATGTGGTGGGTAAAAGGTTTTCCCCACTGGTGGATGTAGATATTCGTTGGAGAGAGTAAGGAAAGACATATTATCGAAGGTGACATTGCTCTGTACGTCTGAGAGTCCGACAGTGATCTGCCAGCAGGATTCGGCTGGCATGCATGTCTTTGGTATGGGAAAGCTAAAATGTATAAGAGCTTTTTGAATCATGTGATCAGGAAGAATTTGTACAGCGTCTGGGAGAAATATAAGAACCGGATGGAAAGGGAAATATTCCTAGGGCTGCTGCCAATGGAAGCTATTACAATCAAGAGAATCAATATGGACAGATGGTGGGCAACTTATAGAGACTTACTGGACTTCTCAAGGAAGAAATAAGGAGCCAAGTAACAGATCTGTTACAGTACCACCAATTGTATGGTATGTTTAAACCAGTGGTGTCCAAACTTTTTTCAAAGAGGGCCAGATTTGATGAAGTGAGGGCCGACCAAAGGGCCAAACAAAGTTGGTGACCTTTTTTTTAGGACTGAAGTTGTTGAGCTTTTTTATGATTTAAGTTGTTGGGGTTTTTTACGTATTTCCCCCCCCTCCAGGAAATAAACTACCACAGGGGCCAGATTAAACTGACCAGCAGGCCACATTACGCCCCCGAAACGGACTTTGGACATGCCTGGTTTAAACTATATAAGAAAAATGGACTTCTGGACCATAAAGATCACAATTTGAAAGAGATTTATTAGTGAATAATGAAGAACTATTGTATAAGCTATTATTGGAGTGCGAAACAAAAGATGAACTGGTAAAAGCATCAATGACTCGCTGGGCATCAGACAAAGGGCATAAAATAGAATTTGACCTCTGAGAGAAACTGTGGAAGAAAAGATTTGAAATTTACTGCATGCTACACTTTGAAGGAGAATTATATGAAAATGATTCATGGATGGTATTTAACACCGAGTAGATTAGCTAAAATGTATAAATTTGAATCTGATCTGTGCTGGAGATGTATGGAAACAGAAGGAACTTTTTTCATATGTGGCGGGCATGCAAAAAAGTTAAAAGAACATTGGGAAATGAGAGATAATGAGATGAAAAAATTGTTTAAAACAACCCCCCCCCAAAAAACCCACAAGAGGCATTCCTGTTAGGATAGTTCAGAAGCAGGTACCCAGGTGTCAGAACAAGTTATTTAAGTATGCAACAAAAGTGGCTCGGATTTTGTAAGCCAGAAAATGGAGGTTTAATGAGGTCCCTATTTAGGAGGATTGCAGCTTAAGATGATAGAATATGCAGAGTTAGCAGGTCTAAGAAGTGGAATAATAGGGCAAGAAAAACAGGTATTTAAAGAGGAGTGGGGAATTTTTTGCTGAGTATGGAAAAAAATTGTACACAATGACAATGCTGGCAGTATTAAGGTAAATTCAACAGTAAAACATATTTAAAAGGGTGCAAAAGGGGGGGGCTGATTTAGATGGATATACAAGAATATGCAGGAATTATGGGTAAATTAAAAGCACCTTGGAAGCGGAAGGAGGGAAGTCGTTGAATGGGTGGGTATAATGAAAGATGTTAATGTGGAAATGTAAAACCTGAAAAGTAAAATAAAAATTATTTTGACATGTTGACATCCAGATTATGTCAAAAGAGACAGAAATTCTAGGTACCTCAAATGACATGTACCTTGGAACTGCTGGTCATAGAATGAAGCCAGAGGCTATCATTGGTTACTAACTATGAAGGCTATGTTCTCCACTGTCGAGTCACTGAGCTGGGAATCGCAGGTGGCTGGGTGATTTAGCAATATATCATCCAAAACCAATTTGAAGTCCTTATTTGGGGGGGGGGGGAAGCAGAGACATCACCTTGCCAACAAAGGTCCGTATAGTAAAAGCTATGGTTTTCCCAGTAGTGATGTATGGAAGTGAGAGCTGGACCATAAAGAAGGCTGATCGCCGAAGAATTGATGCTTTTGAATTCTGGTGCTGGAGGAGACTCTGGAGAGTCCCATGGACTGCAAGAAGATCAGACCTATGCATTCTGGAGGAAATCAGCCCTGAGTGCTTACTGGAAGGACAGATCCTGAAGCTGAGGCTCCAGTACTTTGGCCACCTCATGAGAAGAGAAGACTCCCTGGAAAAGTCCTTGATGTTGGGAAAGATGGAGGGCACAAGCAGAAGGGGACGACAGAGGACGAGATGGTTGGACAGTGTTCTCGAAGCTACCAGCATGAGTTTGACCAAACTGTGGGAAGCAGTGGAAGACAGGAGTGCCTGGCGTGCTTGGGTCCAGGGGGTCACGAAGAGTCGGACATGACTAAACGACTAAACAACAACAACAACAACAACATTGTGATAATCAGTTTCAGAATTTTTGACCCGGCAATAGATCATGAAACATGGTGTGGGTGTGGGTGTGGGTGTGTGAAAAACCATGAAGCCAGCCAATGTTTCTCTTGATTCTCCAGCCCCTGTTAACTCTGCTGGCTCAGCTTTCTCCTGCCTCATGCATGGGGCAGCAAACCACAAGAACAGGCACTGGCAAAAATCACAATACGGGAAAACTCTGAAGCCAGCCAATGCCTCTACATAGCTCCATCCTTATTTCAGACATTGTGATATATCAGTATGTTTAGTTGGTGATATATCACGATGTTGAAAATCAGGCAAGGGAGAGAGCAGCAGCCGCTGGTTCCCAGTCCTTTGCTCAAAGCACACCCCCTCCAAAATCATCCGATTAGTGGCCTGGAGAGACGTTTGCAATACAATGCTCATTCCTCCTTCCCAATCAGGGGTTGTGCTTGTTAATCTTCACTTAATTAAGAAGGTTGCATAATCTTTTTTTCTCTCCCTCCTCTTTTATGTGCACAAATAGGCCAGAACAGCAAAATTTGGCAAGCTTCCCTCGCACCCTTATGAAGAGAAAGAACAAGGACTGCAGCCAAAACATGACTCGTTCCTGTGGAGAAGAACGGGGTGCCCTTTTGCCTACACAAAGCACCAACTGGGCCCCATTCTGGTTGCCTCTTTCACTGCAATTCCAACCGATCCTTCCAATATTTATTGGTTTGGTTCACTTACATACCCCTCTTAATTTGGAAAAACGCAGAGCAGTTCACAAACCAAATCATCAGGTGCCTAACCAGATAAAACCATCTAATCGTCGTTTTTTCCCCTTCTCATAAATTTTTATTATTTTCTTTACATATTCTTTCTTATCATACTTTAAACAACATATACACCTTTTTGCTCTGCCGAGCTTATGACTTCCCTCCCTCCCTTCAGATGGTATCCTTTATTAAATCCACTCGCGTGTTTTATCTTTTCACCTCTTATCTACATTGTAGGAGTTACTTCAGTCCTGTTAGTGTTTTTAAGTTTTTACAACTGTCCTTTAAATATTCAATAAATTGACTCCAAACCATCAAATCATCTTGAACCTGAAAGCAGCAGCAACTTAAAACAATGCCACAGGACTTTTACTGTCACACCAGAACAGTCTAGAAATCCACACACATTCTGAAATAACCCAACAAAGGGGAAGGCGTTAAGAACAAAATATTCAGCAACCCCAAAAGCAAGCAAGCAAGTAGGAGACAATAGTATTATGACACTATTCCCCTATTCCCCCCTTCCGCCAACCAGCCTAACTCTCCCCCAGAATCACAGTTACCCCTATAACAACTGGTTCTCACCCAGCAGCACCCCACTGCCCAGAATCTCACTGCCTAAGTACACTTGAAATATGTTTAAGAGCAGTAGTGGAGAAGAGTAACTCTGAACTGGGGCTTTTCTCTTTTTTTTTTTTATTTTTTTATTGATACAGCAAGAAAAGAAAAAAGAGAAAACACAAATACCAAATTACACACAGGGATAACAATAGACACAGAATTTTCCTAACAAACAGTAAGACATAAATTGGTCTTAACACTAAAGACCTAACCTCCTGTCTATTCCATATTTCGATTTCATATAACTTATTGCCGATACACACATTTATCATAATTAAACTTTTTCCTTAATATATCTTAATTCTTATATCTGCCTTGTAACTATTACTGAAGTTCCTCATACTGGGGCTTTTCTCCCCTTTGGGGAAAATAAACCCTTGGTTCCCTTTGCACCAATTATAGCTACACAACCCGGCAGAGTTTCCAGATCAACATCCTTTTCGTGTCATCCATGCATTTTCCTTTCACAGGTAACGCCTGCTCTCTGGCTCTGCGGCCAGCCTGATGTCCAGTACCCAGATGGAGATTCAAAGCTTCTTTAGGGCAGCAAATGGTTTGCAGAATCACCCACCATGTTTTGGGTCCTGGCCCGCCCAGACACACTTCATGCATCTGGCGTCAAGTTGCAACCTCCCAGCACTACAGCTATCTGCCATCCCTCACAAAGGCAAGGCAAGGTAAGCTCTGCGGTGCTGCCATCTTCTGGTTCAAAACACACACATTCCTCCGTCACAGTTTGGAGTGAAACACAAGAACGGAAACCAGGCACAAACTGTGATGCTTTCACCAGTTCTGCAAACAGTGTGGGGACACATGCAGGCAACCCAAAGGATATACTCTTATTTATTGTTTGCCTATAGAATGAAGGCAAGCTCAGAAGGTGAGAGAAGGACCATTATAACTTCCAGCATCAACAGAAAACATAGAAATAAACTTTCGCCGATCCTGAGGGAGTTGAAACATGCCTGGCTCATGCACCAGCACAAATGTCACACGCCAACCATCTCTGCCCTGAGTTTTCAGCAGCGCATGAAAACTGTAAATAATAATAATAATAATAATAATAATAATAAATAATTTTATTTATACCCCGCCCTCCCCAGCCAAGAACAGGCTCAGGGCGGCTAACCCCAGGTAAAAACAACTGATTAAAATATAACTTAAAAACAAGATTAAAAGACAACATTAAAATGCAGCCTCAGTAGAAACTCAAATCAAAAACTTTTGGGGGATGAAAACGTCAAATCTTCACCAAGGCCAACTATCCAGACTGGTCCTACGTGGGCCAGGAAAAAAGCCAGGGAAGTCCCCAAATAGATGGCCCAAGAGTCAAAGGCTAATAATACAAGCTTGACACAATGGTGCTTCCTTTCTTATTAATTGTCCAAATGCCGTTCTAGGGACCAGAACCGGATTTCATGAACACTGCCGACGGTTCTAGGACTCACCATATTTGGCTGCCACCCTTCAACATTGACGCAGCGATCAATGCACCACCAGAAGTCATCCTCAGATTCTCCCTTCCAGGCAAAAACAGAGAATCCTGCACAAGAGATAAGGAGGGTACGCACTTCAGATGGCAGCAGGCAGCTCATAGCATGGGAGGCTACACATGAAGAAAGATCATCTTAGAGCAGTAGTCCACTAAATGTTACTCAGAGTACACCAAGTGAAATTAAGGGACCTACCCTAGTTGTTGTGGGTTAAACCACAGAGCCTAGGACTTGCTGATCAGAAGGTCGGCGGTTCGAATCCCCGTGACGGGGTGAGCTCCCGTTGCTCGGTCCCTGCTCCTGCCAACCCAGCAGTTCGAAAGCACATCAAAGTGCAAGTAGATAAATAGGTACCGCTCTGGCGGGAAAGTAAACGGTGTTTCCGTGTGCTGCTCTGGTTTGCCAGAAGCGGCTTAGTCATGCTGGCCACATGACCCAGAAGCTGTACACCGGCTCCCTCGGCCAGTAAAGAGAGATGAGCGCCACAACCCCAGAGTCGGTCACGACTGGACCTAATGGTCAGGGGTCCCTTTACCCTAGTTGTGTCCATTTATTTCAATGGGTCTACTCTGAGTAAAACTTAGTGGAATGCCACCCTTAGCACCAATGGCTCTTGTTTTAATCTTTTGTATGTTTTTACTGGAAGTGGGAAGTGCTTCTTAAAATCCCCACCCCCGGAATCACTTCCAGCAATACCTTTAATATTTTTTTAGAGATCTCAGCTCTGAAGCAGCCAAATACCTACCACTCTCAGCCAGGGCAGCAGCTACTTCATTGAGGGTGGAGTAGATGTTGCAGGCAGCCCACCGGCACTGAGCACCCAAGGCACCAAGGGTTTCCATGAGAACCTGTAATGAGCAAAATTGGCAGTCGGAGGGTCTGGGATTTGCCATGCCTGCACAAATCTTCACACAAAAAGCAAATGCCACATCCAGTAATATTCAATAACACACGAGAATTTCCACCTATTAAGTTCCCTTTTAAAAGCAGCAAACTACATGCACACCCCTGGATATATTTTAAGTATCATTAGTACAGTTTTTACTTCCTCAACCTGAAAGTACAAACGACAACACATAGAAAGCCATACTCTGATCACGTCTAGCCAGTAATGCAATTCTCTCCAAAAGTTTAGACTCCTGACCCCATGTTTTGCTTCAGCTCCTTACTTTTCTGTCGAAAAAGTCTAACCACTCATATACTTCATGTGAATTATTTGAAGAGCAACTGTAATCAACAAATTACGCTAGGAGGACTACAAGAAGTTTTGTAAGGAGAAATATACGGAGTGTTACAAAGTAGAAAAAGATAGAGATATTGGTTATGAGTTTGAAATGTAATAGTGAAAATAAGAAATGCATACTAAGAGATTAGACCAGAAAATTTTCAGACAGGACTGATGGAAGTCAAAAAAATTGAATAAGATGCAAAAGTATGTTTAATCACTGTTGAAAATGGTATGTTAAAAAACTAAAAAAAAAATTATATAAAAGAAAAAAGAAAAAGAAAAAGTCTAACCCCTCTTCTCATTTCACACACACAGAAGATGCCCAATGGTTTTTCCTGTGACTACAGCACTTGCCAGGTGCTGAAGCAACACCCCCATAAACCCTCCATGCCCCATCTCACGTCCAAAATTCTGGCTGGAAGCGCAGGCGGTGAAATCAGCAGGGGAGAATGGCAGAGAGCAAGTCCAAGAAACAGCCTTTACAACCAGGGGTTGGGTAACTTGGCTGAAGCAGCTAGGGCAACGAGCCACGACTCAAGACAATTACCAGCCCCAGAGGATAAGTGGGGATGGGGAGGAAGTGTTGAACTCTCGGCAGCATTCTTCTCCCCAAATGCTCCCTAACAATCTGGAGGCAGTTGGAGGATGGATGGCGGCTAACAGATTGAGGTTGAATCCTGACAAGACAGAACGACTGTTTTTGGGGGACAGAGGGCAGGTGGGTGTGGAGGACTCCCTGGTCCTGAATGGGGTAACTGTGCCCCTGAAGGACCAGGTGCGCAGCCTGGGAGTCATTCTGGACTCACAGCTGTCCATGGAGGCACAGGTCAATTCTGTGTCCAGGGCAGCTGTTTATCAGCTCCATCTGGTATGCAGGATGAGACCCTCCCTGCCCGCGGACTGTCTCGCCAGAGTGGTGCATGCTCTGGTTATCTCCTGCTTGGAATACTGCAATGCGCTCTATTTGGGGCTACCTTTGAAGGTGACCCGGAAACTACAACCAATCCAGAATGCGGCAGCTAGACTGGTGACTGGGAGCAGCCGCCGAGACCATATAACACCGGTCTTGAAAGACCTACACTGGCTCCCAGTACATTTCCGAGCACAATTCAAAGTTGGTGCTGACCTTTAAAGCCCTAAACGGCCTTGGCCCAGTAGACCTGAAGGAGCGTCTCCACCCCCATCATTCTGCCTGGACACTGAGGTCCAGCTCCGAGGGTCTTCTGGCGGTTCCCTCACTGCGAGAAGCCAAATTACAGGGAACCAGGCAGAGGGCCTTCTTGGTAGTGGCACCCGCCCTGTGGAACGCCCTGCCATCAGATGTCAAAGAGATAAACGACTACCTGACATTGAGAAGACATCTGAAGGCAGCCCTGTTTAGGGAAGCTTTTAATGTTTAATAGGTTATTGTATTTTAGTGTTTTGTTGGAAGCCACCCAGAGTGGCTGGGGAAACCCAGCCAGATGGGCAGGGTATGAATAACAAATTATTATTATATTATTATAACAAGCTAACCTCCACATTCCTTCAAGCATGGACTTTTTAACATTGGGGGGGGCACATGTGATCCCATGCACAAGGCTGGCTTCAGGTTTCAGCAAACTCCACCTGTAGGTTTACCTGGAAGCAGCAGCAACAGGTGGCCATTTCAACTTCCCACATGTACTGTCAGTCCCCTGGGGCACCATCGGAAATTAACACAGCATTTCACACAGGCTCATCTGCATGGCACGGGATGCACAGAGCAGGCACCAATGGGGCTGGGCACTGGGTATCCAAGTAGCTGCCAAAAGGTACCATGTGCCAATGCCGGCCTGGGGTGAGGAAAAAGGTCTGAAAGCTCAGCTACCAGAGAAATGTAAGGCCCCCTTGGAAACTGAGAGGCAGGGGATAAAATCAACCAAGTAAGAGGTGCCAGTTTCCTGAATAGAACAGTGTGAATTTCCAAAAGTGAAACATAGCCTCTGAAGGCTGGGTTTCAGAAGGCATCCAGAAACTTCCTGGAGAAATCGTGGCATTTGAGCTGCCTGTTCTTCCCTCAATGCCACCATGTGGGATATCAGATATTTGAGCCAAGGTGTCATACTAGGCTTGTCACATGTGCTGGATGCCAGGGACCGGTTGGACGGAAGAGCTTACAGCAGTCTGGGCTGTGATGTGCGTGCAGCCCACGATCTTGGCTCCAGCCAACGGCTTCTCTCCCTGAGCTCGTTTCCTCAAGGCCATGAGCGCAGGCATTTCTAGGAAGGAAGAGGAAAAGAAATGACACACACGAAAATGGGCACAGATGCTCAAAACCCCAAAGCCAAGTAAATGTCAAGCAGGTGACAGCAAACATTTCCCCATATCGCCTTCAGCATCAAAAAGATTATCGCTTTAAAACAAAGCACTGCAAAGTTCTGTAACCCAGGGGTGGGGTAGGGAATAATCTGCAAGGACAAGTCCCAGAATTGGTGTGAACGTTCAAGTACGCGCCCGCTTCCCACGTTACATAGATAATTAGACAGTGGAATCCCAGGTCTGGAAGATGCCCAATAAATTTTCCGGGTTCAACACCCTGCCCTGAAGCAGGGCATGCATGGCCTAAAAGCTTCCCCAAGAAATGGTTCTCCAGCAAAGGAGATTTCACCATCTCCCCAGGCAACTTCTTCCAAGGCTAAGCTCATTCTTAGAATGCAACCATGCTAACTTCCACCTCGATGTGGGAAAAGAGACTGTCAGGCAACAATAGGGTTCACTTGGATCTGTAGAACCACAGCTTGGTTTTGCTTGCACTGTGCTGAGAACCTTGGAATTAAAACTTAAAAGGTGACTTGGTTTGGCTGTTTTGTAACCCTAAATGGGTCTTCCATCACCAAACAGCTCAGCTGTTTGAAGAGATGGAACTTAAAATGATGGCGAACCAATGAAAGCTTTCTTCAGTTTTGTTTCATCTCAGAAAGAAACAATGGTATTGGTTATTAGGTTGGATGAGAGAGTGTTCAGATAAGAGGCCTTCCACATCTACAGTGACGGGAAGTGATACTGTGAGATTTGCTTAGTGGCCTGAGGGTACCACTTGCCCATGCAAGCAAGAGCTATGAATTCCAAATGATCAAGAGCATCTGAAACAGTCTTACTCATGGAGTCAAGATTTAAGGGTAAACAACACATTGCACTGCCAAATTTCAGGACATTCATTTGCTAATACAACACAACGCCCACTGTGTGTGTATCCTCTCCATGCCCTTTCTCCCCTGCTAATGCCTCCTTCCTTCCTCCCCACCCGGTGGATTATTTACAGTCTCTGGATCTGGCTGGAATAAAACAGGCTGAAGAAGGCAGGGGCATTTGCTGAGAATGGCTAAGCCTTCCAGTTCATTGGTCCTCCCCGATGTTAGGACTGTATTTGCTAATTCTGATTTACAAAGTTCCATTAAAATGATATGGAAGTCAAATGCCTGTGCTGTTTTTTGAGACAAAAATAGCAATTTGTCATTCCTCTGATTTAATCTACATTCAATTATCTATATGGAACAGGAGCAGTTTGGGGGTGGGTGGGGATTCTGGGGAGAGCTGAACTCAACTGTATGCCTTACATTTCATTAGTGGCGCACCATGGGCTCCCCAGGGCAGATTGGAAGAGTCAGGTCTTACTGCCACATAGTTGTGCCAGAAAAAGTGTATACCCAAACGGCAGCAAGACCAAGATCTCTTGATCTAAGGAAGTTACCCAGAATGGCAGATCTCTCTTACCTTGCTCGGCAATTTCTATTTCCCGGCGCCCAAATTCAGCCTGCTTGATATTTTTCACGCAGAAGTCACTGCTGCCTTTGGTGTTCTTCTGCTGCTTGTCCCGGGGGGAGGTCTCATCGTCAGAGCTGTCTGTGTAGGAGGCAGCTGGAAGAAGATGCGGACAAATTACTACTACTACTACTACTACTATTATTATTATTATTATTATTATTATTATTATTATTTTCTACCCCATCCATCTCGCTGGATTTCCCCAGCCACTCTGGGTGGCTTTCAACAGAACATTAAAAACAAAACTTCAAACATTAAAAACTTCCCTAAACAGGGCTGCCTTCAGATGTCTTCTAAAAGTTGGATAGTTGTTTATTTCCTTGACATCTGACGGGAGGGCGTTCCACAGGGCGGGCGCCACCACCAAGAAGGCCCTCTGCCTGGTTCCCTGCAACCTCACTTCTCGCAGTGAGGGAACCACCAGAAGGCCCTCAGAGCTGGACCTCAGTGTCCAGGCTGAACGATGGGGCTGGAGACGCTCAGAGAAGAGAAACATTCACAAGATCACAATCAAAGCTGAACATGAATTTGTCTCAGACCTCAAGTAAGCGGCTACATTTACTTCTTTCCCTTTGGTGACAATTTTGGATCCTACAGCACTGTATGAAAACATTTAAGCCAGATCGTAGAAGGGGTTCAAGATGTATTGGGATCCTTCCATTACAAGGATTTGACCACCATTTCTGCAGGTCAATGATTATGACCTGGTTATCCAAGGTTATCCATGCCTAAGAGCCTCACTGCAAAATCTCTGCATGGTTCCTTTCACAGCCCTTGTGTGCTCTGATGCCCACTTTCTCACTTACAATGCTCCAATGGCTTCTGCTTGGACCGACACCGACTTGGCCTCCTTGGTATTGAAAATGTTGGCAACTTGGACACCTCAGGTATTTCATCATTGTAAGAGTCACATGAGAAGACCCTTGGGACATCCATCCTAGCAGCACGTAACCTCTCCACTCAGCAGAAAAGGGTCATACATGGGCATGTATGTGAATGTACAGGGTCATATCTGAGACTCAGCCTCCTGGATCTCTTTGTAGCTAGGGCAAAGTCGTGCTCAGGGGCTGGAGATGAGTCATAAATGGTCACTGTGACCTCAGGTTCCAAAGGCAGGATGGAATCATATTGGCTCTCATGGCCAGACCCATTGGTTCCCTGCACTACTGCTGTATCACGGAATATAGGCAAAGTAGTCAAGGAGGCTTTGGAAAAAGCTCTCAAGGCAGACATCACCCTGTCAGCAGATATCTGCAATGTCTGGAGATATCACCCTGCCTCTCTCTCCCTCTCTCTCGTTCCTTAGTTTCAAGATTGTCCCACCCTAGTAGTTTTCTCATTTGAACCCTGCAAAGCAACTCCTGGCACACATATATTCTCAAATCTGCAATGAGACCAAATGGTGCAGATGCTAATGGGCACATTGCATCCTTAAAAACTAATGAAAATTACAGCAGACTTGCTGGATCAGACCAAAGGTGTGTCTAGATGAGCATCCTGTTTGCTGCAACAAACTAGGGACACTCACAATCAGGTCGTGACGGCAACTGGAGTTCCCTGGCAGAGTGCCTCTTATCACAGAGGTTAGATCTCACCAACGTGATTAATATGCATGGGCAGACCTATCCTCGTTCCATGCATTTGCTGAATCCTCTGCAAAGCTTTCTAAGATAGTGCCCTTACCACACTCTGTGGCAGTAAACTGTGTAAGCTTTTTGTCTGGGTTAAATCTATGATTTTTGCAGGTAATTCTGAAACAGTGTTTCTTTTTAGTTAAGCCCTCTCAATTTATTTTACTTGTTTCAGTACTCATAAACTGTTCTACATTCAGAGAATACCTGAACAGTGTACATAAAAAATGTAAAACATAACACAGATGATAAGCAGCAGCAGAGGGAGGAGGTGGTGAGGAGCCAGGGGAAGAAGCACCGTGCTTATCACCAGGCCCCCTCCCTCCTTGACAAAAGCAGCTGTCTGCCAAGAGGCAGGGATAGCCTAACCTCTGTTGTTTATGCTCTAGTAACCTCTAGGTTTATGGGACGCGGGCGGCGCTGTGGTTTAAACCACAGAGCCTAGGGCTTGCTGATCCGAAGGTGGCGGTTCGAATCCCCGGAACAGGGTGAGCTCCCGTTGCTCGGTCCCTGCTCCTGCCAACCTATCAGTTCAAAAGCACGTCAAAGTGCAAGTACAGTGGTGCCACTGTGCGGAAGGACACGTCCATGCGCTCGCAAGGCAGAAGCAGCTGCGCTACTGACCCAGAAGGGTTTTGCAGCTTTTTGCAGTAAGCGAGATGTCCGCAACCCCAGAGTCCGAATTGCCCTAGTCAGGGTCCTTGCCTTCAGCCCAGGTAGATCGCAAACGATCTACATGCGAGTTGCTCTGAAGACAGTTTAGTTTCCTTTTGCTTAAAGCCGCTAGGTCAGGTTGCACATAGGCTGCATGAGCCGCTGAGCCTTTACACTAGCCGCTTAGCCGCTACACTGGCTGCTAAGTTCCAGGCCTAATTAGCCGTGCTATAAGCCTTAAGACGCAAAACCGCAAGACGAAGATGACTCACTGCGAGCAGATGTAATTGCTCGTCTTGCAAGGCACCACTGTAGATAAATAGGTGGGAAGGAAACGGCGTTTCCGTGCGCTGCTCTGGTTTGCCAGAAGCGGCTTAGTTATGTTGGCCACATGACCCGGAAGCTATAAGCAATAACCCAACAATACCTCCCACCCCCCAAAAGAGCCACATGTTAAAAGGGTATGGGAGGTCAGGTCAACCAAAGGCCTGGTTAAAAAGGAACACCTAAAGGTATATAATGAAGGTGCCAGGCAAACTTCCCTGGGCATTCCACGGACGGGGAGCCACTGCAGAGAAGGCCCGTTCTCATGTTGCCACCCTCCGGAGCTCTCGAGGAGGAGACACATGAAGGAGGACCTCAGGAGATGATATCAGGGTCTGGGGAGGTTCATGTGGAAAGAGGCGGTCCTTGAGGTATTCTGGTCCTGAGCCATTTAAAGCTTTATGGGTAAAAACTAACACTTTGAATTGGCCCCGGAAACTAATCGGTGGCCAGTGCAGTCGGACCAGTACAATAGCTATGACCATTTGTGGACCAGGAGAGCTTGGCAACCGTAGTTCAGGAAATGATGACTTCAAGTCTTGATTACTACAATGCGCTCTATGTGGGGTCCCTTGACCCCAGAAACTGCAGTTAGTGTCAGCACAGCACACCTCTGCTCAGAGAACTAAGAGGGTTGCCAATTTGTTACTGGGTCAAGTTCAAGGCATTGCTACTGGAAGGCAAAGCCCTTAACTGCTTTGGATCAGTTGATCTGCAGGGTCACCTTACCCCACATGTACCCACTTGATGGATGTGTGAAACTTGCTTGTAATTTTCATTTTGCAGTTGTAAAAAATTGAACTTTTAGTATGCTAGCACCTACACGTTAGAACACCCTGCTGTTGACATTTGGTCGGCAGATGCGTTCACTGTACGTTTTCTGGCATCCACTTAAAACATTTTTGTTTAGACAAGCTTATACAGCAGCGTTTCTCAAATTTGGGTCCCCAGCTGTTGTTGGACTACAACTCCCATCATCCCTGACCACTGGTCCAAAAACACACAAAGCTGTTGACATGCTTTTCTTTTCTACTGTTAATTTCATTTATCCTTAAATGGTTGGTTGTTTTTAACTGTTTTTCCTGATAGTTTGAATATTTTATGTAAACCATTTAGAGGTTTTATTACAATCAGGTGGTATGCACATTTTGTTAAATAAATAAATGCTGCCTGAATCCTAGCAAGGTGGCAGTCTCAGTAGGAGGGTGGTTCCTGTATCCAGGAAACTGGTGTGTGACCTGCCCCATACGGGTCACAGTGTCTCTGAAGGAGCAGGTGGAACTGCGAAATGTGAACATGTTAGTGGGCTGGCTAATCTGGAATTTATTGGTTTGAGTTGCTTTGATTAGTCTGCTGGAGAAACTTCACTGTAAACTTGCTGATTTGTTTTGAAATAGTTAATAAATGAGTTGTTTATACTTTTCTGAATATTACTCGTTCTTAAGCACGAGTTGTGAATGTGGTGTCTTTCCTGGAACAGCTAAACAATTCATAACAAATGAAAACCAAGTAAAAATGGAAGAGAAGGCTGACGGTGATTCATTCCGAAAGCCTACACTGACCAGAACAAAGTCAGGACGCAAGTCTTGTATTAATCCCTGTCTTCATCTTCTGTTTTTGAGGATGTTAGAACATTTGGCTTTGGCTACACAGGAGCTGTTGTGCTGAAGCGGAGGGAACAGAGACATGCAGATGCCCACTCAAAATCTGAAACTGCCTCCAAGAAGAGCTTAGGAGAAACAGTACGTACCAGAGCTGTAGCTATCCGTTGACGACTGAGAGATGGATCGGGACAAGGAACGGCGGCCAATCTTTGTGGGGCGCTTGTTGAATTCTTGCTTTTGGTCCGCAAACTGGATCTGTCAAGAGAGAAGGTAAGGTAAATTTAAAAGGCCAACAAATGCAATTGTTCTGCTGAAGTTAAGGAATAGTTGCCTGTATCAGTAGTTAGACTGGGTTGCAATTTCTTCAGCATTAACCTTCTTTAGTGGACTTGTTGGTGTGGGTGCTTCAGCCCCAGGCAACACACAGCGTTTTAACCTGTTACTTCCCTTCCAATCACAACTGCCAGGAGACAAGTGGCTGGAGATGAGGGGCCTTGGAGGTGCAGAGTCCACTCACAGTGGACAGAAACTACTGTTCTGTTCAAAGAGTTCCTGGCACTCTAAATTACCGTATTTTTCGCTCTATAAGACGCACCAGACCACAAGACACACCTAGTTTTTGGAGGAGGAAAACAAGAAAAAAAATATTCTGAATCTCAGAAGCCAGAACAGCAAGAGGGATCGCTGCGCAGTGAGAACAGCAATCCCTCTTGCTGTTCTGGCTTCTGGGATAGCTGCGCAGCCTGCATTCGCTCTATAAGACGCACACACATTTCCCCTTACTTTTTAGGAGGGAAAAAGTGAGTCTTATAGAGCAAAAAAATACGATAAACCCCTGTCTCCGTGCCAGGTGGTTAAGAAGCTACACAGTGGGGACTCAAAATAGTTTTGTGCTATAGATACTCACTATGAAGACAGCAAAGACACCAAAATCAAGTATTTTCAGAAACCAAGGCTGTTTCGGTTAAACCTAAGCTTCCAAACCACATATGATTTCCGAAGAGTCAGAAGCTCAAACACACACACTTTCCAGTAGACTGCTGCCACACCAACACCTGAAAATTATTTGGGGGGGAACCTCCAATATTATCACGGAACAAAACATGATATGAGCCAGTGGTGACAAGGGTGGACGTCAGTTTTAAAAACATGAACCATGGGTCCAATTTAGAAATAAAGTTGTTTAAAAGGAGGGAGAACTGAAAATGGCAGAAAGCATGCAATATAGCAAAATATACGCCCCAGATAAAAAGTCCTTTCTTTCACTGCCTATAAAGATGGTGCCAGACAAGACCTTCTTTGGATCTCCTGCCTTCAGAACCGAGGTGGTGGCAGCCCAAATTTGGAATGCCTTTTCCAGGATTGTTTTGGTGGCACAAGCTTTTTTAATTATGTTTTTACCACTGTTTTAAATCTTGCTTGGCTCTGGTTTTAAAACACATTCCTGCCCTTTTAATGTTGTTTCGTTACGTTTTTAATTTGTTATGAATTGGTATCTGTTCCGGGGACCTCTGGGGGTTCGAACAACAGGAGAGAACAGGGACAGTCATACATTACTCAGGCTCTGAGCAGGCGCAAGGAGGCATGCGCTACATTACCATCGGTGTCCGAAGAAAGTTGTCGGCACGCCCAAGAACCAACAACTGAACTAAGGACCCATTAAGTGTCTTTTTAAACCCTTCTGTATATAATCCACAAAATGGTTGTGCCAATGACACACAAGGACTGAAAAAACTAGTGTAATCACAGAAGGCAGGGCAAATCTCATGCAAATGTAGGAAAGTAAGGCCCTCATTCAACACAGGCAACGGAGGGCGCACATTTGACACCCACGTGAAACGGGATTCCTCGACAGGAAATTGAATGCCACCTGTTACAATCAAGTAGGCTGTTTGAGACTGAAGGGGGGAATAGAGCAGGATAGGCTAAGTAAATTCAGTTTTTAGAAATCAAGCAGATTTCTATCAAATGAGTAAAAGAGTGGCAAAAGACACACAAAAGCAAGCATTTAGACCACTCTGCTCACTCCTCCGCCCTTTTGACCAAAGGAAATCCTCCTCCCTGTTGAAGTCACAATAATGGATCTATTCCGGCAGCTAAAGGTTTTTCTTGCAGTAACCGTGCAAAGTTCACATTGTCTACTTTTTCTGAAAATAAAAGTATGTCTCTTGAAATTCACGTATCAGTCAATGCAGGCTTCCTCAACCAGATGTTTCTGACCTACAACTCCCATGATCCCTAGCTAGCAGGACCAGTGGTCAGGGATGATGGGAATTGTAGTCTCAAAACATCTGGAGGGCTGAGGTTGAGGAAGCCTGAGTCAATGGAATCAACCCAGCAAGAGTTCTAGAAGGAACAGTTTAAAATCAGACTTATTCCCATGACCACAAGGGGTCAGGCCTCTAACAATCCTTAACTATCCTAACTACTGCTGAAAAATAAATAAATGCCAACATCACCTTTCTTTTAGAGCCACTAATTCCTTTGATTAGGGTCGCTAATGAATGGTAGTTCAATATAAAGAAGTATTTTTATTCACAAAACAAGACATTTCAGATGGGTGAAAAGTAGCAGTTATATTCGCACTCTGTAGCATCTCATTTCCCTTAAATCCCTCTTTCGACATTTACAGTACGTGTTCCTTGTGCAAAAGCCCCATTCATGAGAAATCACAGCATTAATCCACCATCAACAGAAAGCAAGTCTTCAACAGTTGTTGAAAGCCACTGAAAATGATTCCTTGGCAGCATGTGCACAAAAGGGTCCAACACATTCCTGTGCCCTTTCTGGCTTTTCAACACAGCTGGCTGCCCATTTTAACACCACCTTTGCACTGGTGCCTCACTTACATCCGGAGGGTAAACAAAATTCTGTCCCCCCAGATGCCACTTTCCCCATGCCCTTTGACTGGCAATTAGAAGAACAAGCAGAGACTTGGGCACCTGCCATGCCATATCTCAACAGGGATGCTGCTTCCGAGATCTCTGGACCCTCTTCTGCAGAATGCAGTGACGTACTGGGTATATAAGGGATGAGGCAGTCTTTCTAGCAGCCTGATCCCAAACTGTGCAAGACCTTATGCATTAGTATCAAAACTTTGGACTTGGACCGACAGCTGATTGGCAGCCAGTGGAAATCCCACAAACATGTTGCATGTTGGAACTCGCTTGCTCCCAAAAGCAGCCCAGATCTACTGCACTGGCCGTAGCCTCTGAACTGCCCTCAAGGGTAGCGTCACATAGAGCACATTGCAGTAATCCAGCCTTGGGGTTACCAATGTGTGGAAACTACGGTCAAGCTGTCCAGATGCGGGAACAGTTGTAGCTACGTCTGCACTTCCAGTGGCATTCAGTATTCTGAATGCAGAATCTCTGTGGGGAAGGAAAAATACGTGGCCCTAATGATTCAGTGGTCATCTGAAGAACATCTTATGGCTGAGGCTCCATATGGCTTTGCCATCAAGATTAATGCCCAGGACTAACTTAGGTCCAGTAATGGATCTACACTTGAGTAGGACTAGCAGTGGCTACAACCCAGTCATTTACCACTATAAGTGCGCAATCTGCCAGGTGGCTGTAAGCAGCACCAAATAAAACCACCTCCCAGTGCGCACACCCCTCCACTCTGCATTCACCCGCTCAAAAAAGAGTGTTAGCAAGGCCAGATGAGGAGAGGGGGGATGTGGGGGAGGGGACCAGTCAGGCAACCACAACAGCCTTTGAAATAATCATCATTTGATGATACTCCTGCTACTGGATTTTTAATCTGATTGCATTTTTATTTTAAGGCTGCCATATAATTTACTTCATCATTTTAGGATGCCTGTATTATTTCCCTCCTTTTAAAAAGAGAAGCAGGATATGTGGGCAAAACAAGATGCATCATAATTTAAAGATCCCATCATCCCTGACTACTGGTCCTGTTAGCTAGGGGTGACGGGAGTTGTAGTCCCAAAACATCTGGAGGGCCGAGTTTGCATATGCCTGATTTATAACATAGAAAACAACTACTTCACAATATGATCGTCGGCAACCCAGAAAGTATAAAACAATGCAACTACGTAAGAACACAAATCATTCCCAAGATATAACTATAAACACACCTCTTACATATGTACCTTATGTGTGTATACAAACTCAGTATCACTTGGTGTGTCTCTTGCTCTCATGCTCTGCAAATAAAAAAAAATTATTTTGATACTATACTAAACTACACTGAAATGTTTAAATGTTTCTTTGGTTGTCCTTGAATCTTTCCTCCACCTTTGCCATCCTCTCCTGCCACACCCTTCGAGAACCACTAAACCTGTGGGAACAAGAAAAGCCTGCTAGATCCGGCCAAAGGGGTCCAATCCAGTCCAGAATCCTGGTCTTACAGTGAACAACCAGATGCCTGCAGGAAACCAGTTTCCAGCAAATGGTGTTTGGAAGCAACACTCCCTCCAGCTGTTGACCTCTGCAGTCAGTCAGTGTATACCAGGCATGGCCAAACTTGGCCCTCCAGCTGTTTTGGGACTACAACTCCCATCATCCGTAGCTAACAGGACCGGTGGCCAGGGATGATGGGAATTGTAGTCCTAAAACAGCTGGAGGGCCAAGTCTGGCCATGCCTGGTGTATACAATTCTAAGTTGGATAAAACAAGTTCTGTTTAATTGGTCTAAGACAGAACTAGACCTTTAAAATACGAAGCTTTCCTTTTTAATCTGGTGGACTTTATTTGTGACGGTATTTTTAAAAAATGCAGCAATTTTTAATTACGATGCAAGTTTCAGTTGCACTTTAGCAGCGTCATTCGGCTCATGGAAACATTATCCCCCCCCCCCCGCAAAGAGAACCTGACCTCAAAAAGAAACAGCACTCCCTCATGGCAATATAAATGAGTGGCCTCAGTTTCAGTGACCAGATCTCCTCCAGCCATCCAACACCAGTTGGAGTAGAGACACCCGTTGGCCAAAGAGGGCCAGTTTCATCCCTTGAAAGACACAAACCTATTTCTCAGGCAAGTTAATTTTCTGCAGGGCAAATTCTTAAACAGGCACACAGAGTGCAACTCGTGAGCCTGACCCGCTGCGATCAGGTAAGCTCTGCTTATACAACTCTGCAAATCGGACAGCCGTGAACATTTGAAACTAGATGCCTAATTTACCAGGGGGTGACAATGATTTCCATATTCCAGGGAAGACCCTCCTCTTCCTCCTCTGCGACCAGCAGGCCCTACACTATGCTATCAGCTCTCCGCCAACGTGCGGTGCTTAGGAATGCACCTTGTTCTGAGAGGATACTGTTCCAACCAAGAGGTCTGGTCCATCTTTCCCCTCGCGACATGCTGTGGGGATGCAGGAGGGTAGTTCTAACCACCACCACTATTCTCAGCTTTATGATTCTGCCCCTGACCTTAAGGAAAAGAGAGCTGAAGACCAGGGCTGGAGCTCTAGCTGCCTCCCAAAGAAATGGGGAAGGCAGGAGGAACCGCAGCCTCCGCTCCAGGAAGAAACGGAAAGGCTTCCCCTCACCTGGGCTTTCATCCCCGAGTCGCCGTTGACATTGTACTTCTTGTGCTTTGGCATAGCGTTGCTACCTGGAGCTCTCTCGCCAGCCCTGCGCAGTCCTCCCGAGAGAGGCGGCTGGCCATCCCCTTTATACCTCCTTTCCCTGCACCAGTGACCCTGTCCGCTCTGGTTTCAACTCTCTTGCTCGGGGAGGGAAGATAGGGTAGAGGCGGGAGGGAGGTTGCGAGAGGTAAAGAGGGCTCCTTCCTCTTGCCTGGTGGCCTCAACTCTCTCTTCCAGGGCTCCATTTGGCAGGGAAAGAGCCCGCAGCTTTAATGAATTTCTGCTGCTTGCGCCTGGCAGAACAAAGCTTTGCTGGTATTCTCTCTCTCTCTCCCTCACCCCATTTTCCCTTCTCCTTTAATTGTTGTTTTATCGCGTTCCCCTCACCTCAGAACCATTAAGCTGTGGTTTCTAACATGGCCTGGCTTGTGCGCGCGTAACAATGGCTCATTTATGTAACCAGAATATTTCCTTGCCTGCTATAATTAACTTGCTAATTAGGTACCTTTAAATTTGAGGCTCTCTCCACCCACCCCTGTTTCCACAATCTCCCTTCCCTCAGCCTCAGATTAAGTTTAAACAGAGACACATTAGAACCAAGTTAACTAATGAGCAACTAAAACAATGAAGGCATTTATTGGCCAAAGTGTTGGTTGAGGGTTGTTGGGGTTTTTTTTTGCAACGGTCGAAAAGGTTGCTTGCCCTTATTGCAGTTGCAAGAAAATTGTGTCCTTCAGAGACGCACTAGCGTAATGCAAGGAAGCCACATGAGACTAAAATAAGCACACGGCTGTTTTTCTTCCCAGTTCTGACACCTCCTTGAAAAGTGAAGGGAAAGAGGAAGACCAAGAGGGCCCCAAAATCCAACAGCCATACGAGAAATATGTAAAATAACTAAGCAAGTATTAGACACCACCCCAGAATTGGCCCTACTAAACATCTTCCAAGACAACAATGCTCATTTACACCACAAAGAACTCATAACCCACCTACTTTCAGCAGCCAGAAACACCATAACCAGACACTGGAGAGACCTGTCAGGAGTAAGCATGGACCAATGGTACCAAATAGTATGGGAAACAGCCCTACTAGAAAAATTAACCAATAAACTGAAACTGACACGGGGACAAACAGAAGAAGACACCTTCACCCCGGTATGGCTCCCCTTTATCACATACACAGCCCAACAAGACAATGACAATAACCCACCAACAGCATACAAGTCAATATGGCTAACCTGATCCAAAACACCCACCCACCCCACTCACACACGAAAACAAAGACCACCACAGCCAACCACAAACCAACAACCTCACCCTAGGCCAACCCCAACCTCTCTCACCACCAAAGGAACACAAATGAACAGCAGAGAACCGGCACAAGCAACGCTGACACCAAACCCTACATACATTAAGCAAAATAGAAACATCGCCACTCGACCCCACCCCACCCATCTCCTCCCCACTAATGTCTCAACAAATGAAACTAATCTGTAAAAATGTTACATGGAAAAAATATGAGATACATTACACATACTTCTGTAAAACAAGAAAATCTTTAATAATAATAAAAAACAACTATTACAAAAAAAAAAAGGACTTTCCAAGAAAAGACCGCATCACCTGTGATAGTGCCTGGATGTGGGCTTCAGTCCAGGGACTGAACCCGGTGGTGTCATAGGAATGTCGAAAGCTACCTTATTATCAGTCTGTCCCTTGGTCCATCTAGCTCAGTATGGTCCACACAGACTGGCAGCAGCTCTCATGGAGTCTTTCCCAGTCATGTTGTGAGATGCTGGGGACTGAACCTGGGACGTTCTGCTTGCAAAACAGGTGCTCTATCATTACGCTACTGTCCTTCCTCACTACAGCCCCAGCCTGCACAACAAAACATGTGAATGACACCAGGTTGGGGAAGTCTGAACGATGGTGTACTCAGAACACTTCTAGCGCAGGTGCAGAACTCTGCATGTGCCACAGCCTACAGCCATACCACCATGAACACGCTCAATCTCATAACCTGTGCAAGGCAAAGAGTGCAAAAAATACACAAAACTCTTATTCCAAAAAAAGAAAAAGTGGTGCAGAGTTTTCTTCTTGAGGCTGCTAACTAGTGACACTGTCAATTTTGCAGCCAAGGAGACCTGAGAAATTCACCAGAGAAAGTCCCTAAAGTTGTGATCTGCAAATAAGACCCAACCATATTTTTTTTTAAAAAAAAACCTGCATGTGGGAAGCCTGATCTTCTCCTCCCAGCTACCATGCACAGGGAAGAATCTCTGGCACACAGCTGCTTAGGAAAGGAGTGAGATATGGAGGAGTCAGGTTCAAATCATCTTTCAGTCAGTTCTCTCCCTCAGCCTCCATTCTCCATCTCTAAAAATAGATCTGTTACCCACTGGACTAGATAGGTCCAAGGTTAAATACAGCAAGACCATGAACTAAGAATTTTGCACACAAAGTACAACTTAACAGAGATAGGTGACTGGTGGTCTGCAGGAGGCACCAAAAAACCCCCACAACTTATTCTGACACATGGGGCCCCAATGAAGACACAGAAGAAGAAGAAAAGCTAACTATTTCAATTGTTCAGAAAAGCAACAATGAATCCATGTGTATACTGGATACACTTCATGGTATTATCTCAGGTGCATTCTGGTAAGACAAAGAGCCACCTGTCTCCTGGGGGAGCAAACCTTGCAGGAAACATGTTCGGTTTCCCAGTTGCCTTCACCTCAAGTCAATCACTCTAAAGTCAATTAACTCTAAAAGGTAAAGGACCCCTGACAGTTAAGTCCAGTCGCAAACGACTCTGGGGTCGTTCATCTCACAGGCGAGGAAGCTGACGTTTGTCCGCATACAGTTTTTCCAGGTCATGCGGCCAGCATGACTAAGCCACTTCTGGCAAAACCAGAGCAGCGCACAGAAACACCGTTTACCTTCCTGCCAGAGCGGTACCTATTTATCTACTTGCACTTTGACGTGCTTTCAGACTGCTAGGTTGGCAGGAGCTGGAACCGAGCAACGGGAGCTCACCCCGTCGCAGGGATTCAAACCACCGACCTTCTGATCGGCAAGCCCTAGGCTCAGTGGTTTAGACCACAGCGCCACCCATGTCTTAACTCTAGGGGGTGCCAAATTGGTGTGCTAAATTAGATTCAAACAAACTGTAAACACGAAACAGTTTTGTAGCATTTTAAATACAAACAAAAAAATCATTTTAGTAATGGCATTTGTGGACTTCACTCTACCTCAACTGATGGATGCCATCCTAGGTTACAAGTATATATACTTGCAAGGGCGAGATAGGAAAATATAAGCAGTAAGGTCAGGGGGGGGGCATGGACATAGGAAATACAGACATAATTACGTTATTAAAAGTGGCCATTCTCTCCTCCCCTTTTTTTAAATAGGTGGTTGTAACAAAGTGCCATACTATGGGAGTGCAGAAAAAGCATCTAGTGCTCTCATGGCCTGGAGTGGGATGTATAAGGGACCCATATCAGAATATACAGGGATGGGCTGAGCTAAGCAGGAGATTTTGGGTGGCATATTTTGCTAGGGTGAACTTTACCCACTAAAGTCAGCAAAAGTTCATGTAAATCAAACAGTACAAAGTCACGTTTAATTTTGGCTGCCTGCAGCAAATGATTCTCTGTCCCTGAGCAACAGGGCTCAGTGAAAGGAAACTGGGCAGCTATCGCGAAGGGAAAGTTCCAACAGAATACTATTAACATCCATAAGACAGAAAGATGGCCAGCCTTTGCTCAAACCTGGTTTTGTATCGAAAAATGCTTCTGATGGCCATTGTTCTGGGCTTGGGCGGAACCTTCCATTTCGGATTCCAAGTCTCTATGATCAATTTTACTTCACCATTCGTCAAGAAGTTCATCAACGATACCTGGCTGGAGAGATACAACGCTCCCATTGATGACCAGACCCTCATGCCCCTATGGTCATTCATTGTGTCTATCTTCACCATTGGAGGACTGACAGGAGCCTGCCTCTCAGGGTATCTGTCTGCAAAATGTGGAAAAAAGAACTGCATGATATTTAACAGCCTCTTCATGTTAGTAGCTGCAGTGATCATGGGAACCAGCAGAATAGCAAAGTCCTTCGAAATTATTCTCCTTGGACGACTCCTGTATGGTTTTAATGCAGGTTTGGGCGCCTGTATCCAAGGTCAGTACCTAGCAGAAATTTCTCCTAAGCACCTCCGCGGCTTGACCAATGTCACTATTTCAGTTCTAGCAAACCTGGGGAAATTTATTGGGCAATTGATGGGACTCCATGAACTTTTGGGAACAGAGTCCCTGTGGCCTCTCCTGTTGGCCAGCAGCGGAGTCCTAGCGCTGCTGTTGCTCATCACAGTCCCGTTCTTCCCTGAATCTCCGTCGTATCTTTTAATCCAGAAGGGAGATATGGAAGGCTGCTTGAAATCTCTGAAGCAGCTCTGGGGTGAAGGGGACCACAGAGCAGAGGTGAATGATCTGTTGAAGGAGCAGGCAGCCACAAAAGAAGCAAAAATTATGAGCGTGCTGGAGCTCTTCAGAGATCGCTCCATGCGATGCCAGATATACCTGTTGATCATAGTGGCAGGTACGCTACCACTCAGTGGAGTCAGTGCCATCTACTTCTACTCTTTTGATGTGTTCCGTACAGCCGGGTTTAGTGACGAACTCAGCCCCTACGTCACTCTAGGGATTGGGGCCTGTGAGCTCTGCTCAACCTTTGTGTGCTGCTTCATCATTGAGCGTGCGGGCAGACGGACACTGATGCTGTGGGGATACGGTCTCATGATAGTGGCCTTGGCACTCCTCACAACTACTCTCTCCCTGCAAGACAGAACCTTCTGGATACCATATTGCAATGTTGCTCTCATCTTCCTCTACATCGTTCTCTTTGGTGTGGGGCCTTCAGGAACAGCGTTCCCCGTCATAGCAGAACTCTTCACACAGTCATCCAGACCAGCTGCCTTGGTCATTGGCACAACACTGCATTGGGTGGAATTGTACTTGATCGGGATGCTGTTTCCTTATTTAGTGAGTCATCTGGGCAACTTCTGCTTTCTTGTTTTCATGGGCATCATGACAATCTCATGGGTTCTCCTCTTCCGGTTCCTTCCAGAGACAGAAGGCAGGTCGCTCACGGACATCCAGATGGAATTCAATCATTTAAAAATGGGAAAGAATCCGCCTGAAGATTTTGAAAACTGTACAAAACTCTAAAAGGTCAGAAGGATGGGGCTTGCTGCTCTAACAGAATGGAATGTAGCAACTGGGGTGGATAGCAGAACTCAACAGGTCCATTATTTCAAAAGACTCTGCTTAAATCTGGGTTTCACTGAAGAATAATGTGGTACAGCCCTCTTCAGAATGTAAAATTCAAAATCATGCAGGGCAATTTCAGGCTTGAATACGCACACACTTTTAACCCTCATACTTATTCCCTTTTAAAGGCTGATACAGGGAGAAAACCCTAGATTTATTCTGTGAGTAAAATGAAAGATGACCACTGCTGGTTCTGCAAAGAAAATGGGGGGCACTGGCACCACATTTGAAAGAAATGTCTCAAAACAGAAAGCATTTGGAGTATTGTGACTGAAGTGAGCAATGAATCTTTTCAGCTTCAAGTAACAATGAACTCATTAACATACTTACTTATGTGAGGTATATCAAATCAAATATACCGTATTTTTCGCTCTATAAGACGCACCAGACCATAAGACGCACCTAGTTTTTGGAGGAGGAAAACAAGAAAAAAAATATTCTGAAGCGAAAGCAGCGATCCCTCTTGCTGTTCTGGCTTCTGGGATAGCTGCACAGCCTGCATTCGCTCCATAAGACGCACACACATTTCCCCTTACTTTTTAGGAGGGAAAAAGTGAGTCTTATAGAGCAAAAAATACAGTAGATAACGTATATATCTCAGGATTTTCTCTTAAACATGTTATGCTATGAAACAGTCTAGGAATTGGTTAATAAATAAAGAAATAAAGATACCATGGATACTATATGCTAAACACCAGGAAAACAACAGAGTTGATTAGGAAAATATGGAGCCGGTTAGGAGATAGTAAAACTGACAAATGAAATTGCAGGAAGAATATAAGGATTATTTCAGGTGGGAGCAACTGTTAACTTGGGGCCAATTTACCTGCAAGATCATGCCCATTTGACCACTTCCATCTGTGGAACTAGCACTGTTACAGCTGCCGCATAATACTCATACCATATCAGTAGGAAATTGATCTTTTAGTGTAGCTTTGGAACTTTGGAACTCTCTGCCTAATGACATCAGGCAGCCACCTTTGCTGCATACATCTCGGCACCTGCTTAAAACCTTTTAAAACCTTGGGCAAGCTTATCCAGACATGTAAAGATACTGACATGTTTCAATCTTTTTAACTGTTAATTTTAATTATCTTTAAACGTTTTTTAATTGTTTGCAACTGTTTTTATTGATCATGTTAGGGTTCCAAGGGCAAATGCCTCCCTGCTCGGCTGTGAAGCCTTGCTTTTGATGCCAAAATAAACTTTATCTGTCCAGAGCGCCACTCTCCCGTGGCTGGCTCATTCACTGGCAGAATCTGTGAGTGGACGGTCCTTAAACCTTCCCCAGCAGAGTAGCTTCTTGATGCCCAGTCTGCGCCTCCCCTCTCGGCGCAAAAGCTTACTGCGCAAGGAGGGCGTGGGTAACGGAGGACCTCTCTCCTCCCCGCTTTGCCCAGGCAAGGTGTCCTGGCACCGCCTCGCCTCCTCCGAGCCCTGGAGCTCCTCTCCACTGGAGGCGTGGTTACACTCCTCCGCTGAGGAGGTGCTGCTTCCCACGATCTTTGGGGGCTCTCTGTAATCCATCCGGCTTTTCCCCTCTCCCCCCTGAGCCGATGGCAGTTCCCTGCCAGATCATTTTAATATTTCTTGTAAAACGCCAAGAGGATCAAGCCATATATAAATTTTGTTAAATAAAATAAATTTCCAGATCCCTCAAAGAAACAACAAGGCATCTCACAAAGAGGAGAAAAGAATGGCTCACACAAAATGGAAAGCTATCCTCCTTTTGGCCATTCTCTTCAACATCCTTGGTGAGGCAGAGAAGCTGGTCCCCAATAGTTTAAGCAGCTGTCTCAAGCCATACAATTGAGGAAGGTTCAATTTCCATGTCAGAATTCTACGTTGTGCAGGATTTGGCAGTTATTTTAGGCCTCTTGTCTCAGTTACTCATAACAAAGCGACTCCACTGAGGTTCAAGTTGTATTATGAAGGGAGGTTGGTATACCAAAAGAAAGAGAGACTAAGGAAGCAGCTTTTGGAATTAGTCAAGCAAACAGCAAATGGAAAGTTGCAGGGGCCGACCTCCAATTGTAATCCGGTTATTCAGGCTTGCTTGTAACTAGAAACCTTGAATATGGTTCATTTTTGCAAGATTACAGCTTGTCGAACAACCAAGAGATTGAGGATCTGTGTCCAAGGCAAAGTCCACGCTGGTCATGACTCAAGCACTCCAATACACTAATATCAAAGCACCCACTGAGGGTTTGTACCATAGCTGTAATTCATCATTTAAGAAGTGGGGCCTGCATGAAAATATCAGTGTGTTCCCCATTCAGATGGGATGGCCTTCCCTCACCAGTGTTTCCTCCTGAATACTTTTTGAAGATTTTCTATTACAGGCATCCCCAACCTGTGGCCCTCCAGATGTTTCGGCCTACAACTCCCATGATCCCTAGCTAACAGGACCAGTGGTCAGGGATGATGGGAATTGTAGTCCAAAACATCTGGAGGGCCGAAGGTTGGGGGTGCCTATTCTATTACTTGAGGTTTCTCCCAAACCAGATGATATTTCCTGCTCTTGTGCGTAGTTTTTGGCTATATGAGGCCCTAGAGGGTGATCTTAGCATCTTAATTTTATTTGTGATTAGTAAACAAAGCAAAAAAAAGTCCATCATGCTAATGCCCCCCGCCCAGCACACCATTAGTATTTGACCTGAAATATTTGAGGAGAAAAAATTAAGAACATTTAGTGTGGTTTAAATGTTATATTATGTAGAATTTTGTATTGGAATACAGGTAAAAATTTGAAGAGGAGAGTATGTGCTTTCCTTACATTATTAAAATAAATTTGGCATCTAATTGTTTGTACTTATGGAACAGAACATTTTCTACAGGTAACAAAGCTCTGCCTCACATCACAGCCTCCCAATGCCACAATTTCTTTCTTAAAAAAAATCAGGTTTTGATTCTTTCTAATTTGATCCTCATTCAGGGTTGGGCATTTGACCTTTCAAAAAAGGGCTGGTCAACTAACTGATCAAACATAGTCAAATATTAGTCAAGTGTTTTAAAGCATTTTGGAACCAAAGACATATACTTTTATTCAACGCTACACGAGAGTAATTTTAATTGATTTTATCCACTATGATTTTTATCATGATTATGTAATATATATGATGTGATATAAAAGGTCTACTGCATAATGCCAACTAGATAAAGTAATTGGTTGCCTGTAACCATGAAATAATGAAAGTGGCTCACAACTGTAACAAATTATAAAATCAATGTTAAGCAAAGTTCCTCTTTTTACCTGGAGAAACCTGATGATCTATGATTCTCCTCATATCAATGGCCTTCTGGAGGAGAGGTTCCTTAGAGATTCTGACCAGGGGTCTGTTTAAAGACCAAAATATACACACCTTTCCAATGGACCTCAAACGTACTATAGCACCTCACACTAATGGCCAATTAGTAGCAACACCTCTAATAATTATAATTTTATTATTTATACCCCGCCCATCTGGCTGGGTTTCCCCAGCCACTCTGGGTGGCTCACAGCACATATAAAAACATAGCAAAACGTCAAACATGAAAAACTTCCCGAAACAGGGCTGCCTTCAGATATCTTCTAAAAGTTGGGTGGTTCTTTATCTCCTTGACATGTGATGGGAGGGCATTCCACGGGGGGGGGGGGGGGAACGCTAGTGAAAGCAATTCTGCTTAAGGAAATACAACAGCACCATGTGTGACAACTCAGTCACGCATGCGGATCTTTGCTGGATGCTGCAAGCCTTGAGCAAGGAAAGACTGCACCTGAACCAGTTTACTCTGGCACGAATGTTCACAGGCAGCCTGCCACTTCAGAAGGATACAGGCTGAACAAAAGGCATCTAACAAGGCAAACTTTTCTTTAAAAAAAGCAAACCCGCATGTTGTAGCACAGTTAGCATCAGATATTAATTACATAACTATGTCTTGCAGAGTGAATACACACACCTCTCAGCAGCGACAGGATGTTCCCCCAGAGTCCTCCATTGCCATCTATTATGCACCTTGTTCCAAAGTCCAGCCATTTATTTGTTCATTAACAGACCTCAATGGTGCTTTTAGTGATTCTGCAATGTGTACCGTTTCAAAGGAGAACCCCCCCACTTCCTGGAACTCTCTCACCGCCAAAGTAAGTTCACAATCAAGAAGAAAACCTCAAGCGATTTGAGCACAGCCAAGGCCAGGTAATGCTAATCAGCAACTTTTCATTCCAGACAACAAATGTCCTGGAAAATTAAGTCGTACGAGGGTGTAAGCTCTCAGAAACCTTAGCTATACAGACTGCACAGACAGAACCGTTTCCTCTTCTATAATATCTCCTCTATCTTGGGTGCCCTCGTTCTGTCCCCACCGAGGTATTGTTTGCAGTGCTGGAGGGCAAGAGCTAGTGGGCTTCGGTAGGAGACTGGCGCCCAGGCGCCCAGAACTTCTGGCTCTCAGAACTGCGCTCTGCATTAAGGGGCGGGCTGGGGGGAAACCTGCCAACTGTCTAAGATCTCTTCGTTAGTCAGAAAAGAAAAGCCAGATGACGGGCAGCAACTTAAAAAGGAATGCCTTGCTTACAGGCAAGATGCTTATCAGCTGTCCTACTTTTTCAAAAGAAACCAGAAGTGTGCCTCTGGATGCTTATGGGTTAACACCTGAGAGGGAGGCCAAGGCACACAGACGCAGTTTGAAGACAGACTTGGCTCTGCTGCTGACACATAGACCTTCTCTCTTGCAGAGAACAGCTGGCTTTCAGAAAATGGGGGTTAGGGAAATTTAGAGGAAACATCATGGGACGCGGGTGGCGCTGTGGGTTAAACCACAGAGCCTAGGACTTGCCGATCAGAAGGTCGGCGGTTTGAATCCCCACGACGCGGTGAGTTCCCGTTGCTCGGTCCCTGCTCCTGCCAACCTAGCAGTTCGAAAGCATGTCAAAGTGCAAGTAGATAAATAGGTACCACTGCGGCGGGAAGGTGCACATGACCTGGAAGCTGTACGCCAGCTCCCTCGGCCAATAAAGCAAGATGAGCGCCGCAACCCCAGAGTCGGCCACGACTGGACCTAATGGTCAGGGGTCCTTTTTATCACACTGCAAACCTGCAATGCTTAAAGTTTCAGCCAAAAGGTCTAAAGATCACTTCTACTTTCAAAGAGGTGGCTGCTTGTGCCAAACTCTCATACCTTAACTAGAGGTGCGGTGCCAAGGCCTTTGCTAAATCCTCAGAGTGGTTAAGATTCCAGCCTGCAGCTAGAATGTCACATGAGTTAAAACCTCAGGAGGATTAACACTTAACTCTTCACTGTTCTTGTTCAGCCTCGTTTCCTCTCACACAAGGCAGATTTGTGCATCTATTCCACTGCACAGACCATTGCTTATACTGACCTCTCACTGATCGGCCACATTGATTACCAGGCAGCTGGCAAGAATGCCACTTGGAGGAGATCGGATGGACAGAACTAAGAAAGTGGTGGGGGTGGATGCGAGAGAAACAAGATGCAGAGTATGGTCTAAGGACACATGAGACAGCCACATTGCAGAACAGGTCAGAGTCCGCTCAGTACCTGGATGGCTGAATCCCATGATCAAAGGAAGATGGGATATAAATATACGAAACACACAAACCAAAATGTCAGGTAACTGAAATTGGTCCAAATTTGCACTGATCCATAGTAACAACTCCATTACTTAATTCCTTAATGTCTGACTATCGTTCAAAAGCATGCACATCTCTTAGGCTTGGAGCAGCAATTAACTGTTGACCTAATTTGATTGCAAATACTCCATGAAATCATTATGGTAATGATGCCTGAAGAATTAGGCTGATGCCTACCTTAGCACACTTGCATTTAAAAATGTGGCTTATTTTTGAACAACTGCTGTTACTTCACTTTATTCCTGTTTTAGTTTCATTTTTTAAGAAACTGTAGACCAACCTTAGTGTTCCAGAAACATAAGCCAAGGAGAACGAAATTGTTCACATTAATAGAAACTTGTCTAACATCATTAATGCTGCAATATTTCATTACCATCTTTAAAATGCTAACCATTGCAAAGCAACGACATTAATCAGTTTTTGTAATTAACATAAATATGAAGTAAAGAGCAAAAATGCTTGACCATTACTTATTAGTACTTGCCCAATTAACCAAATCTGTTTTGGTTAGAACAGCTCTTCAGCTGTGCTATGGCAGAACAATGCAAAAGGAACCAAGTTTAAAACAAAAATAACCATAGCCACAGCGGACTGTATTTGAATTGCTGGTATCACAGAATTTCTGGAAATTTAGAGGATGTTAAGTGTGTGACGTACCAGATTTGAGGCTTCAGTAGTTTTCAACCTACAACGGCTGTTGACCCATCTGAGTGCAATTCAGAGTCCTGGTTCTTTGACTATACCCTCAATACATCAAGGCCCATCTTCTCCAACACAAGCCTGCCTACAGACTGAGACAGTTGATAGCCATTCTCTGGATGGCCCAACCTCTGATATTAGCTGGATGGCACAGGGGAGGACCTTTCTCAGGTGGGGTGCCCCCATCTTTGAAAAGCTCTCCCCGGGTAGTCTTTTCAGTGCTAGGCAAATAACCTTACATTTTTAAAAGTCTGAGAATGTAATCTGATTTTATTTTATTTTATTCTACCATTGTGATGCTCTTGTTTTATGGCCTCTGCTGTTTGAATATGTTTGATCCATTATTTTGATATGCCATATTGCTGCTTCATTTGTTCTAAGAGTTATTCATAAAGATAATGCTACTGAAGGGAAGGATATAACTTTTTAAAAGCTTTTTTTTTATAGCTAGCTAACCATACTTTCCCTTCTGCACATAATACTGTAAATCTAATAGTACTCTTATTTTTCTTTCCTATAAATGGTCTTGCAGTTGACTTTGATTGGGATTAAAATTTAACCTTTAAATCATGATACACATTGTCACTGGCTCATACCAGATTAAAAGCAGAGTTCACAGCTCTATTTCTAGCATGAACCAAGACTTCAGCAAAACTGCAACCTTTGCCCTACGTCTCTAACACTAAATTCAGACAGAGCGGCGAGTGACTCCAACAATGCTGAGTGGGGTATTTTTCCCCCCAGCCAAAATATCCGATGCCACAGTGAAACTCAGAAATCCTACAAACCTGACTACTGTAGAAACCTGTTAACTGCAAAGGCAGCCTTATGTCTACACTATTAACACACCTCATGTATTTTCCTAGAGGTATACAAAAGGTAAAATGAGATGGATTAAGAGATACTCAATAAAGGCACTCCGTACAAAGCTAAACAAGCTTTTAGCCTTTGATAAATTGAGTTAAATTGGTATTGATTGATTTGATTTCAATTTCAATGCATCTACTCTGAGCATAACAACATAGCTGGATACCACTAATCAATTTTTCTTGATTTCCTAATGTACTTTCAAATATGCATCAGTGAAGACAGCCATATCGCATACAGGCAATAACTCAAAGGTAAACTTCCAGAGCCCAATAAATGCATTGTGTCTTAGATTTTAGGTCACATTCCCTCTTCACCACGGCTAGGCGTACTACAGGATCTGCTCTTATGATGGATGGGTTTGTACTTCTGCTATAGCAGCTGAATATTAAGCAGTATTTAAAGAAGGAATCAATGGTAGTAATTCTGAGCACCCCAGGGCAGAGCTTAGCTGTGTAGATCACCCTTCCTCAAGCTGGTATGTTCCAGATGTTTTGGCCTACAATTCCCATCAGTCCCAGCCAGTTCCATACTAGGTTACGGAAGGATATGTATGGAATCCTTATTGAATAAAGCTCTATGTTTCTTACCCTTATCCCACACTCAAAAGGAGTACAAGATAGCCATTTGGAGCTATCTTTGGAGAAAGAAGTGAGTGCATGTGGAATAATTGCAAGAAAGGCTTAACATGGAAGCAAAGTTATTATACAGAAATCAGATCAGATTCGAGGACCCCAGGAAAAAATTATTAGGCATGAGCACTCTTTGGCTTTCATAGAAATGGCTCTTTATGACAGCATTGAAGGAAGCCACTTGCCCACTGACAAGAGTAAGGCATTGTGTATCGTGCAAAGCAACTATGATACCCACACCAACCACATAAAGCTGTCCTGTGCTTCAAAAGGTAGACACAAGCAGGTAAATTGGTAGAAACATTTGCAAATCCCAATGCCAACCTAAAAACCTGCAATTCTTCAAATGGTAAACCCAAATAGCACTTTGATCCTAATGCACATGTGAAGTTGCTTATTTGTGGTGGATTGCGCTGTTTGGGCCAGATCAACCCATTTCCCGATTCCATCACCTTTAATGGTACCCAAAGATTTGTTGCCCGAGGTGACTGCCTCATTTTTCTACTTCTAGTACGTGAATCATTATGGTGTCCTTATCACACACAAGGTGCTGATGTGCTTTAAACTACTCTGCTGTTAATTTTGATTATCTGTTACAGTTGTTTTCAAACTGCTTTTATTTTTATATTTGCTGTAAACTGCTTAGAGGTTTTACTACAATCAAGTAAAAATTTTGTTAAACAGACTAAATAAAGAAATCAGAAATTCCACTTTTTATCCAAGTAAAAATGAGAAGGAACTCTTGGGGTAGAAATGCTCCATTCTACAGATAGTGGTGACACTTGCTCATTTATAACATACCGTATTTTTTGCTCTATAAGACTCACGTTTTCCCTCCTAAAAAGTAAGGGGAAATGTATGTGCGTCTTATGGAGCGAATGCAGGCTGTGCAGCTATCCCAAAAGCCAGAACAGCAAGAGGGATTGCTGTTTTCACTGCGCAGCGATCCCTCTTGCTGTTCTGCCTTCTGAGATTCAGAATATTTTTTTTCTTGTTTTCCTCCTCCAAAAACTAGGTGTGTCTTGTGGTCTGGTGCGTCTTATAGAGCGAAAAATACGGTAGTTCGGGCTGTTAGACCCTGTCAAGAACAAGAGCACACCTCGGAACTGGCAGAACTCTAGACCAAAGACAAACCCGTCCAGCATGGTATGGCTCCAATCAAGACAGTTCTGCTGGTACAGAGAGCTGAACAGCAGTTAACTCACCATCCAGTCTGGCATATGGAATGCTGAGGCACCTGCGTGGTTGTCCCACTTCTCCATCACAGACACTTTGTGAGGCTTGGATTTGCGGCTGCCACAGGAAGGGGACTTTGGTTTGGTTCTACGAGGCTCCCGTTTGTGCGAAGGGTTATGCAATAATCTGCAGGTGCTGCAACTCCTTCCCAAGACAGTGCTGTCTCTTCCCAAGCAGTCAACAGAACATCTGGTTCCTCAAGAAATTGTATTTTGCCGCAAGTCCTGGTCAGGCAAAGACTCTAAATCCTGTCTCTCATGTTTAGGCTTTCCAGCAGACGCTTCCAAGACGCCACTCTCAGCGCTGACTCTTAGGTCAGGCTGTGTGACAGGCAGCCTCAGTGTTGTGTGAATGCGACCATCTACCACCTGCCTATGTATATCCAACAGATGACGTCACCCAGACAGCCGATAGCGGGGATCAATAAAGCTCAAGGTCAAGGAGGCACTCTTTTACACGCACTGCAAAATAAACGTCTTCTCACATGTAGCTTTGGTACTTGATAGCATTAAAAGTTCATGGAACTGAAGCAAAAGGGCCCAGTAGGATTTCCAGCTGCCAAGCAAGTGCACCTGGCAAAAGACCAGCGAGGCAGCATTTAAAATTAACTTCTGAAAGCTTTGACTTTTGGGAGAACTGCAAGGCTATTGTTCTCAGCAATTATTTGCACAGCCATCCGCTTGCCTGCAACTCCCTCTGTTGGACAGTGGCAGGGCATGCAAAATCATGCACGCGCACACACACTTATCCAAAGAGGTCACAAAGTGAGTGTGCCCAGGAAAAGACTGTGGGATCTGCATCTGTTAGCCTTCTGCCGTTCCCCAAGAATCGCAAACACCTCAGAACACCTCTCTCCAGTCTTCGCAAGTCAACACTGTGTAAGATTAACAGCACAAGTCTTAGTCCCAGTCATGTAAGTGCTCCTCACCAAAAGAGAAGTCGTTCTGTAAGGCTTTCAGAGCACCCAAAAGCAGAGTGCAATGAAATGTACACATTGTCAGTATTAAGTGGACAGGAATAAATGTCCTTAAGTGGTACTTGCTCTTAAACTTGAGTTTGCAACAAGCAGCTTTAACTCACATATTATTTCAGTTGCAGATTAATTTCCATTTCAGTTCTGACAGGCTTATTACTTTTATTAGCAACCATTTCCAAACCTAATGGCGCAAGTTTCACTTTTAAAAATCTAAGTACTCCGCTCTCAAGGCCATGCATTACACTTGTCTCCAGCACTTAAAAAATGGAAGATTTGATTACAGAGGAAGGGTGTATGCATGATCCTGACATCACACAGACTGTGGAGGGGTGCTTTGGAGCTGTAGTGTTAAGCCCCCAGGACACACACACCCAATAGCAGTTTAGACAAACCAATATTTTTATAATTGCTTGTCAAAATTGTAGTCAAAGATTAGGTCCCACACCATTTAAAAACCACTTTGAGCTCTGGTGAAGGAAAGAAAAGACAAAAATGCTTCACATACATAAAGCAGCAAATTTGCTTCCTCAACTCATTTTATTCTCATCTGCATGATAGCAAGTCCTGTCTAAAACGTACTATCTTATTTGTCAACTAAAACAAGTGACGAAGGCCAGAAATATTATCTGTGCTCAATTCGGGTAGGAAAATGTCACCATTAATTCTGCCTGTCTGACACGAGCCACATGACCCTTAGATGAAAATAGCTATCCAGCCACCACTTCTTTAAAGCTATCAGAATATTCTCTGCTTCCTATGGCCCATATTTTAAGACTCCTGAAAAAGTAGATCCTGAAAGTCATTGGGTGGCAATGTTTCGCCATAAAACAAAACATTCACTGAAGAACCTTAAAAACACAGCAGGCTTGCAAAGGTCTCGGCGATCCAGAAAAAGGTCACCTGGTAAGAAACAGGAGGATCAGGCCCTGTCTTAAGCTGGGCGGGTGTTAAGACAGAAGTTGTAGGAAGGAGGGGCAGATTTTCTTTAAGAAATGGAAAATGGATAAAAAAATATCGTGACAACTGCAGCCAATGCCCTCTGGTGTGGGCTGGCAGGGGAATCAGAGCAGCTCCAAGAGTCTGTATCACATGCTGAAGGTCAAAGTTCATTTGAGTGTAATCTTGATGTAAGCCCTTGATGACTACAGTCCCACTTCAACAGATGCACAGTGAGATTCTCAGCTGTCAGGTGTACAGGGATGCCTTTCTGGGGCAGAGTGAGGTCAGAGTGGGAAAGAAGTGCAAAGAACGACTGACAGTGATAATTATGTAATGCAGACACTGCTAATTAGGTTTCAAATAGCCCATACTGGTCAAGAGGGGAGTTACAAAACAGGATTTGATTTATTGGGTCTTTAGGCACTGTAATGCTCAGCGTTGACACTAGAGGGAGATGTGAATCCAAAAACCACCTTGAAGGCTCAAATCCAGATGACTGTGAAAAAAATTAAGAATGGAAGTAGAAGAGGGCAAAGCGATGGAACATAAATCAACACGTCTTGGTGAGAACTTAGAACAGCCAGCAATTGCTGAGATGGATCGCTACAAGCTTTATTAGTTTTAGTGTGCTTAATCAGTCTGAGTCAAGGCTTTTATAAGCATAGCTGTGGTCAGGAAGAGATTTATCGCAAGCAGGTATGCCTTAATGAGAGCGGAGAACAAATATTAAGAGAAGTTCAAAGCATGGGAGGCACATGGCAGGTGAGGCCAGTGCTGTCCAAGATTCAGAATACACCAGTTAAAAATCTCACAGGTGTCACTGGCCTCTCGTGCAAGTTTCTGCACGTTTTTAATCTTTCTCACGAGTGAACTGAAATTATTCCCACAAAGGAGCACAAATTGAGGTGGCAAGGCTGGAATAGGAAGTATCAGTAATTGGGATGCCACATTCCTGCAGGCTCCTGTTTAAAGTAGACCTATCTTACAAAACAACAACAACACCCACATGAATTCTCACTTCCATTTTCTCTCTGTGTGTTTTGCTACTCAGGTATGAAGAACTTCCCATCCAACCCTCAGAGGTTCAGTTCCCATCTATAAAAAGTGATCACAGATGCAGGTGGCGCTGCGGTCTAAACCACTGAGCCTCTTGGGCTTGCTTTTCGGAAGGTTGGTGGTTCGAATCCCCGCGACGGGGTGAGCTCCCGTTGCTCTGTCCCAGCTCCTGCCAAGCTAGCAATTCAAAAGCATGCCAGTGCAAGTAGATAAATAGGTACCACTGCGGTGGGAAGGTACAAGAGTTTCTGTGAGCTCTGGCAATTGTCACGGTCCTCCGTGCGCCAGTAGCGGTTTAGTCCTGCTGGCCACATGACCCGGAAAACTGCCTGTGGACAAACGCTGGCTCCCTCGGCCTGAAAGCGAGATGAGGGCCGCAACCCCATAGTCGCCTTTGACTGGACTTAACCGTCCAGGGGTCCTTTACCTTTTTTAATAATAAAAAGTGACCCATTTCAAAACACTGTTAGGACAAGTGAGACAGTGGAACAGGGGAGGGTGGAAAACCCTCTTCATCCAACATCCAAGGACTGCCTTCACCTCCGGGGCCAAAGGCAAAAGTGAGCAGTGCAACAAGTGCGAGTTTTACCTTTCTACGGTGTGCTAATTTCTACCTACACTCACGCCCCCCCTCTCTATCCTTCAACCAGGTAAGCAAGAAACATTATTGCACAAGAGCGTTCCTTCAGCAGGGAAGCAGCAGGGAATATCAAACAATACTCTTGGAATTGTCACGCCAGATTGAAAGATGATCAGGAGGGGCAGTCAAGTACTTAGAGCGTGTAACTGGCATACACGAAGCCTTCTTCAGGCGTGACTCATTAAGGCTCTTACTCATGCCTTTTTCTCATATAAAAGCCCAAGCCACCCCCGTGCCATATGTTTGATCAAACTGACAACCTTTTGCCATTTCTACTCCGTTTTTCCCCCCGACGGCTAGGAGTTCAGCAATCAAGAGGGACTTCAGCATCCTGCACAGCTCATTGTGCCTCTCTCCACTGCATGACTAGCAATTTAGCTAAGCAAATGAAGGAAGCCGGCTATTTGAATGAAGGATGATGGTGAGCAGCAGTCTGGCGCCTTGCACACCAGATGGGATCCAAAACGGCAAACTTACCATGTAGAAAATCCTACGCTTGCAAGGAGGATTCTTGCAGATAAGTGTCGCTCCCGAACACGTGACGCCGCTTTTCAGCGAGGGGACTATTTCTGCATAACTAAACCGGGGATGTTCCACGCATCCCTAAAGGGAAAGCGTTTGCCTAGATTATGCTGAAAGGAAAAGCAGCTTGCAGGATTAGGGCTGTCTGTAACCACATCTTGTTCCGAAAGACCTTGCCAGTGAGAAACTGGAGAAGGCCAGGTCAACGCGCTGGAGTTGCCCCACATTACAAAACTGGGCAGCTTAAGAGGGCAAAGTTCATCAGGACACTCTTCCAACCTACCTTTGATAATGAGTTTCTAATTTTATGAGGCAAGTGGTCAAGTTTGAAAAACTAGCCAAGTGTGGCAGGAATGGAGTACATTCAGAGCAACCAGCCCACTATCTCCACTCCCCCCACCAAAGGGGGGGGGGAATCAAATGCAAAGAAACAGTAGAGGAAAGCCATAATTGGCAACGACCTTCCTACCATCCTAGACAGCATCTTGAAAAGCAGAGACATCACCTTGCCAACAAAGGTCTGTATAGTTCAAGCTATGGTTTTCCCAGTAGTGATGTATGGAAGTGAGAGCTGGACCATAAAGAAGGCTGATCGCCGAAGAATGGATGCTTTTGAATTCTGGTGCTGGAGGAGACTCTGGAGAGTCCCATGGACTGCAAAAAGATCAAACGCATCCATTCTTAAGGAAATCAGCCCTGAGTGGTCACTGGAAGGACAGATCCTGAAGCTGAGGCTCCAAGACTTTGGCCACCTCATGAGAAGAGAAGACTCCCTGGAAAAGACCCTGATGTTGGGAAAGATGGAGGGCACAAGGAGAAGGGGACGGCAGAGGACGAGATGGTTGGATAGTGTCTTCGAAGCTACAAACATGAGTCTGACCAAACTGCGGGAAGCAGTGGAAGACAGAAGTGCCTGGCGTGCTCTGGTCCAGGGGGTCACGAAGAGCCAGACATGACTAAACGACTAAACAACAACAACAACAATTCCTACCATCAGTAAAGTATTATCTTATCTTTAGTACTATGTGATGGTTTTGTGCTTGTTTTTCACTGGACAGCTGACAGGGACACATTACTTCTGGTTTCATTCCAATTAGCGCCCCCTTCCCTTCTGGGTTGAGGATCATCAGAAATATCAGCATTATTCAAATTATGGCAGTTTAGGAATATAGGAAGCTACCTTATACAGAACCAGTCCATTAGTCTACTGAGTTCAGTATTGTCTACACTGACAGGAAGATCTCCAGAGATCTCTTTCGCACCAGAGTCTCTCCCAGCCCTACCTGGAGATGACATCAGAGACTGGACCTGAGACCAGAGACCTGAGAAGCAGGTGTTCTATCCACAGAGATCCCTTCCCCAACATCCCCAATATCTGAAGGCAGCCCTGTTCAGGGAAGCTTTTAATGTTTGATGTATTAGAGTATTTTAATATTTTTTTTGGAAGCCGCCCAGAGTGGCTGGGGAAGCCCAGCCAGATGGGCGGGGTACAAATAATAAATTATTATTATTATTATTATTATTATTATTATTGCTTAAAACAGCCTTTATTTTAGAATACAGAAAGGGAACCTTAAGGGACATCTGCAAAGCAACTTTTAAAGGGAATCACATGATAGTGACATATTGGGGGGGATTTTGCATCTGGTCTTTCCACACGATCCAGACTGAAGATAGATGGCATGGCTTGCATGGGTGTTCTATTTGAGTAAAAGGTGTTCTAGAATTAAAGAGGAACGTTCTGCACACTTCTAATTTATTGCCAACAGACTGAACTGGGAAAGCAGATAACCCGGGGGAAGTACCCTTACAGCTTCTTATGAACATGCTACATTAGACAATTGGTCCCTACCCAGCCTAGTTTAGTCTCCTCTTATTGTGATCTCAATTCCATCCCAGCCCTGCTGCTATGAGCCTTTGAGTTTGGAAGCCTGTGTCCCTCCAGATTGCTGTTCAATTCCAACTCCCGTTAGCACCAGCCAACATGGCCAATTTGTCTGGGATGGTGGGAATTATGAAACCAACACCATTTGAAGGATCACAAGCTCGCCATGCCTTCTGTCAGTAAAAATGCCAGGGCTTGAATGTGAGAACTTGTACATGCAAAGCACATGCTCTAACATTGTGCGTGCAAACCTTCCAGCAGCAACGTTTTAAACACTGTATTCTATATAAAGGAAATATATACAGTGGTACCTCAGGTTACATACGCTTCAGGTTACATACGCTTCAGGTTACAGACTCCGCTAACCCAGAAATATTGCTTCAGGTTAAGAACTTTGCTTCAGGATGAGAATAGAAATTGTGCTCCGGCGGCGCGGCAGCAGCAGGAGGCCCCATTAGCTAAAGTGGTGCTTCAGGTTAAGAACAGTTTCAGGTTAAGAACGGACCTCCAGAACTAATTAAGTACTTAACCCAAGGTACCACTGTATATTGAATCTATTCATCAGCACCAGGCCTCTGCATTGAGACTTGTGTTGCTGGTGAGTGATTTACTTTATTTTTCCGTCTATAAGAAACCCCCATGTATAAGACGCCCCCTATTTGGGGGGACCAAGATTTAAGAAAATGGGAGAGATGTATCCGTGCATAAGACACCCCCTAATTTTTGACATTATTTTTTAGAAAAAAACCTGGTCTTATACACGGAAAAATACGGTATTTATGTATAAGAATATCTAAGCCAACCTTCATTGAAAAGATTCCAGGACAGTTTAAGAGAGATGTTGAGAGTGGAGGGACTCTGTGGGTCCATGTGGGTCCTCTCTGATTAAGTACCCAACGCTATTTTTCTAGAGTCATTAAACAGCCCTGAACAAACCACATATCCTTCCCCACTGTATCAACTGTACCCTTTAGAAATGGCCCATCTAAAGAACGCTCTAGCCTTGTGCATGCAAAGTGCTCAGAGTTCATGGTAAACAAAATCTCTGAAAATATTACAAGGTGATGTCGAGAGGCCATAATCAAAATTGTCAGTCTTGACAAGGAGGAGGGAGGCTGAGGGTGGGGGGATAAATAAAGAGTGAGCAGGCAGGAGGAAGGAAGCAAAAATACAACAGTTGTAACATGTCACAAAGCTCTTTTTGGTACAAGAATACCAAGCTCAGACATGCAAAAACAGCTCCGCAAGCAAAATTTGTTGAAGTCTGACTCACAGAGGGGCAGGGGTGGAGGGGGGGTCATTCAAGAACACACTGGGTAATAACCTCAAGGAGATGAATATAGCAGTGGGGATTTGCATGAGGTACTGAGCAGGCACTGAGGGAATGTAAATGGAGGGAATGTAAACTGGTATGATTGCTCACACGTTGCTTTCATGCAAATAGTCAGATTAGCACCAATAAAGGAGCGTTTATCACCATGCTTATGTGTTAAGATGAGAAGAGGGCCCTCTTGGCTGTGCAATTGGGGTCTTTTTACTATTCTTAGCACTGTGAGCTTAACCGGGTTTATTTCGAGTAAGCTGTCTCTTCTGTGATAAATAGAGCTGCCAACAGTGGTCAGAAAGTCCAGATTACAAGATGCACATATTAGCCTAATGGGAAATGCCCCAAAGTCAAGAGCAACCACTGTCCTCATGTGGGAATGGAACAGGGATACGAGAGCAGGATCTGCTGGGGCTGGTATGCCTGAAGGGAAGAATTTACACCAAAATGGTACACTGAAGTTAGTGAAAGCTTGATTTCTCATTATTCCACCCCAAGAACACCCACTGACATCTGCCCAGGCTGCTGCTGCTGCTTCCAGGGGTCAGAGCTTGTGGAGATCCTAGTTTTCCCAGAGGGGCCATATCCTGCTTTAGATCTGAAGAGGCTGAATCCCTTTTCTCCTCAGAAGAGTTCCCTATCATGCGAAGGAGCTTTACTGCATTCAAGGTCAAAAAGCCAATAAGGTTCATTATCAGAAATATGAATGCAACTAGCTCACCTGAATGCAGCCTACCTGATGTTTTCCAGAATAAAATGGTAGCTCCTAACTGCAGTTCTCAGTCCTGTAAGTCAAAAGCTTCTTCTTCAAAAGACTCGGAGCATTAACATACCATACTGGGGGAGGGATTCATAGCAAGCTTATTTGATGATTATCCTCTTTTAATGTATATTTGATCAAAGGGAGTTTACAATTTAAATGCAAAAAAAAGCCACAATAAGCAATATCACCATTAAACAGTGTTTCCCAACTGGTGCTCCATGGACCTCATGGGGTCCACATAACCCACCCAGCTGCCTGGTACATCCTGTTCTTGGGGGCCGTGCTCTCATGCAAGATCGCAGCACCCTAAAACATGTGAGATTGCTTCCTGACATAACAATATTGCTTCTGGAACTTGCCTGGATTTGAAATTTGGTGAAGTGACTTAAAAATGGGGGGCTGAGTGAGGAAAACCATTTCAGATTTCCTTTCCTGCCCCTCACTCCAAACATCTCTCTCTACTCAGTGAGTTACATTAGGCAAGGAGAGAAAGGAAATTACCAAAGGCCAACCAACAAGATTCATTGATCAGTGAGGCTCTGAAACTCAGCTAGCTGTCCTGATTGCAGAACTCAGTAATGCAGGCATCAGGAACACTTCTCATTCAGAACTATTGCATGGCTTCTTTTCATCGAAAGCATTGCTTCCAAGTCGGAGATCCTACTGGCTGAGCAGGCAGGCAAAGCAAGCCAACCAGCCCTGAAAGCCACAGAACTTTATGGGTTGTCTTCGATACTAATCATATTCAGAGCAGACTCACATAAATTAATGGATGCGCCTAACCTGTTGTTTCCCCCCCCCTTAAAAACATACAAATAAATCAAAAAAACCTAGCCCACTGGGCAGGTATCAGAAAATCAAACAAGCCAGGATTTAATGAAACATAGTTTAATAAATCAAGAGTCAGTGTTATGTGCAAACCAGGTCAGTAAGTGAATGCACTGGCAAGATTTGAGTGGTATGTACCTATTAATATCATTGAAAGAACTGTCCTGGCTTCCATTTTGGTATTAACCTTTTCAAATGGGCCCCGGTTCAAAAATAGGCTCCATCTGCAGGTGCCAAAAGTAGGGGAAGCATCTTGACAATTCTTCCAGGGGTGTGAAATTAGCGGGAGGCTACAAAACATACATCTGATAGCCATGGTAGGATGTTCATGGTGGCGGTTGCAATTTTTATTTCCCCCATCCAACTGATGTTTTGTTATAATGAAGCACTCGCTGCTCAGGAAGGATTCTGAGAAATAGAAAAATAACTGTCTCTGGGTGGGAAGAGTGCAGCAGCAAAACACATGGTGGGAAGAGGGCAAAAGTGAGCCATTTCTGCCCAAGTTTTCATTAGAGAAAATCTTGTGTCTCAGCACTATTTTTTGAAGCTGTAAATAGCTTGGTGCCCAAGAATGTAAAATACTGCCTTTTTCCATATATAGCTGCCCATCAAGATCTTCTGGTCCTTCTCTGGGTGCTTTTAGGCAGCCGATGGGCACAGAAGTGGCCTTTTTTGTCATAGCACCCTACATTATATAACTCTCCCATAGAAAAGTCTAACATTATTTTTTAGGCATATTTCCCCGGATTTTCAATTAACATCTTCAGCACTCCAATAGTTTTAGCTGCTGGCTGTTTTTTATAATGGTTCAGTGTTTTAATACTTTATTTTTATTGCACGTTTAACACACTGGCTGGGTTGGGTTACAATGCTGGTCATAAACTATGATTAAGCAAACCAGTTTGCATGCTAGTCTACCATTCACTTCTCCCTATATGGAGAGGGAAACAAACTATAGAGTTGCATCTAAAGCAACCATAATCACTGGTTTAGATGCAACACAAAGTCATCTGCCTCGTGGCTTGTTCCACCAAGAACAGCAGAATGGATTGGGAGGGCTCACGGTTTGTGCATCCTATGATTCAAGGCCAGGATTACATCCAAACTCAGCCACTGTTATACAGACTGAATAAACTGTTTGATTTTGTAGTGAAGTGCCTTGCAATCTTTATGAAATGAAAGACGAAATATAAATCCCAAAAACAGATGAAGAGCTTTATTCTGAAACACCTGGGTTCAGGTAGCATGAGCTCACTAGATTACCTTCAGGCAAGCAATTCTATCAGTTAACACCCACCTGTAAAATGGGAACAGTAAACTTGTTCACTGGCTTATTTTGAAAAGAAATGAGTGACAGGATTAAAGTCCTTCAATATTAAAAGAGGAAAAACAAGGATATTTTAAAGGAATCACGCCACACCCTAGCCTGAGGGCTACAGGTGGATAATAGCATCCACACAATGATAGGGTTTCCCTGGCCCAAAGGTACACCACCTGAATTAAACACAGCTCCACCTACACCCTTGGCTCGACCGCAAGGGCGTACTTTATAATACAACCACCACAGTTAATGCCTCCCTCCAACCAGCTTAAACACATTTCCAATCTCTTTCAAATTTCCACCTTCTACCAGCACCCTCCCTTCTCATTTACTCATTCCCTCTCTAACCTCAAACTCACTACACAGTTATTTCTATCCCCAGCTCCTATTGCCAGCACCTACACCAGCCTTCCCCAACCTGATATCCTCCAGATGTTTTGGACTACAATTCCCATCATCCCTGACCATTAGCCATACTGGCTGGGGCTGATGGGAGTTGCAGTACATATTTGTCTGGGACACATCAATTTGGGAGCAGCTGTCCTTTAAGCCGCCTGTTTCCCAGGAGATGACCTAGGGGCAGCCTTCAAGCTGCCTTCTTCCACCACATTTACTCTTGCATCTGCATTATATTGCACTTGTCTGCCTCAAGCGTTACCCACCTAAGCAATTACCTATGAATACCAAGGATTAAGCCTCACAAGAGATGAGCTCAAGGCAATCCAACACATTTTTTGGCAGCAGATCAGAGTTTTCCATTAAAAATTCCCTCAGCAGGAAGCTGGCACCAATCGTGGTTCTGAGAAGGGTGTCTACGTGATGGATATGCATTTCCAAAACATGCCTGCTTCAAAGAATCACAGAGCCGGAAGGTACCCTAAGGGTCATCAAGTCCAACCCAGGAATCAATGCTTCACACACTGCTTTTCTAGGTGCATGCTTTAAAAACCACTGAGGGGGTACACTGTTACTGCCACTGGCAGTCTAGGTAAAAATAAAAAAGTGTTCACATCCCAACAAGAATTGCCTTGCCAATATCCCAAGTTCAGACCTCTCTAAAGGGAGATACAAGTTGCTAGATGCAAGTTCCTTCGTGCTCACAAAAGCCAGCCTTCCCTCCCCAACCGTTCCCATATGCATCATCAGCCTGTCACAAACTGTTGCTTCTCTCAGCAAACCACGCAGAACATGCACACACACATCTTGCTTCCCGCAGAGAATTTGTTCCAATGAACCACATAAGCAACGCTGGCAAGGGATCACATGTAATTGGATGACATCACTAGGCAGAGCGTGCCATTTGCGAGAAGCTCCAGCACTCTGGGGCCTAACCCTGGGCAGGTTGAAAGTGGCGCGAAACACTCAGCCAGAAATTAGTGCTGCTCTCCTTCCCATCGCGATAAATGACAGCGCTGTCAATGGGCTATGGAAAATGAAGTTAATGAGCACGGCATTAATCAAGAGACCTTGTTCCAGTCACAGAAACAGCTCTCTAAAGAGCGGAATCACGCCCATCCCATTTTTCTCATGGGAACTTAGCTGAGATTAAGTCAGCATTTCAAATTCCACGTTAAGTCTCTTAATGGCGGAAAAAGACGGGGTCTTGTGGCACTACGAACACTAAGCGGCACTGTGCCATATGCTTTCATGAAAATATTTGACAACAAATAATACAATATAGAAGGCTTGTACTGTTTGAGTTCTGGACATATATTTATAGGAAAATGTATATCTTGTCTTACAAATTTTGTAGCTGGCGTCATCAAAAAATGTCCAGGGGTCTCTGTGCATAGCTGGTGGTTTTAGCTACCTAGGTTGTTGGTTGAAATAAGCAATAAAGCAGTTTCCTGTTTTAACACATTTGACTGCTATGCAACTGGCTCGTGCTACTCTCGTCTTATACCCAGATACCCGTTCTAGACACAAAACAGAGTATGGCTTCTGCGGCAACAGAAGCTGCTTGCATATTACATTAGAGGTAGCGGTCCAGTGCTTCTCACCAGCGTACCCTTCCATCTCATCCATCAAAGCTAGCAGGTAAACAGGAGAATAGGGTGTCCATGTGATATGCTCAAGACCACAATACCACAAGGACCGCCCCTTCCCATATGAACTGTCCTGGACCCTGCACTCATCAGCTGAGGCCCTTCGTCATGTGCTTCCTCCAAGTGAGGCCCAGAAGGTGGTAACATGAGAACGGGCCATCTCTGTAGTGGTTCCCTGTTTGTGGAAATTAAACAACCTATGGCCTTTTAAACTGTGGGAGCAGGTATTGTTTTGCTTCTTACTATGTGTTTTTGTGTTTTTACATTGTTATTCCACATTTCCTCCCTACAATGGACAAGATACAAACAGAAACCTGGCAGTGTAATCTCCTGGGCCCTAGGCAAGGTGGAGTTGATCATGGGTACAAAACGGGGGTCAGGTCTAAGAACAAGGTTTGAGGGACAGTAATCCGGCCCTCTACTTTAAAATGTTGCTGACCCCTGATTTTGCCTGTGGCTGGCTACCCCTTCTAGCTAAATACCTGATGAAGGGGACAGTAAAGAGAAAGAAAGCTCTACACTGAGGAAGGGGAAAAGAAACCTTAGCAAAGCTTACCTAGGGGTCTGTGGCGATGTATTCAGTTTTGGCCCTCACTTCCAGAAAGGACGTTATCCATTTCCTGTGTGTTGCATTTCTGTGCTGACCAAGAAACTGATGACCAAGTAAGTTTGTCCAAATAATTTTTATTGGTGTTCATGTAAATACAAGAACATATAACTACAGTAACTTGTCTAAAGCATTTTGTGAAATGGCAAGAGAGATGTGTGGTTCAAGAAATTCTTTAGATCCCTGCCAAAAAAATCTGCAAATTTTGCTCACTGGTACCTCCAGACACATTCAACACCAAAGCAGGGACAGGAAACAAAGAAAATGTGTGTTTTCTAAACAATCTTGTTTCTTTTTCTCTTCTGCAACATGGGAACATTAAGCTAAGTTAGTGGCAGTCAAGATAAGATGTACATTGAGATAATTCACAATGGTTGTTTTTATTACTATGAGTGTTTATATATATATATATATATATATATATATATATATATATAAACTGTTATAAATGTTTGGAATGTGTGTAATCTTTGGGAACACTTGATTTAAACATTTGTCAACATTTTCTATTTTGTTACTACCATTTTTTGGGTTAGATGCAGATTTGTTCTGACAGCTCCATTAGCTTCACTTGAGGTTAAGGGGCTTACATAAAAACATTTGCCAAGGCTCCATAAATATTCTCACGGCAGTTTCACACCGGCAGGAAAAGAAAGTATAACTTCTAGATTACGTGAGTGAAGATAAGAGAAATGTGAAATATTGACAAATCATGCATTACAAGTATTAGTAAAAACTAAGTCCATCAAGTACTTGACATTTTATAGGATTGAGAACACTGATTCAATGTGTGCACTTGAAAATAAAATGAAATGGAAAGTTACTTAACATTTCCATTCTCAGCAAAGGAGAACATTCTGACAGCTGAAGAGGCAACTGTTTTATTATGCCACTTGCACGATTGGTGAATATTTACTCCCACACTTGGGAAAGGAAACGGGGTGATTGGCATTCTGCACATGAAGCACATGCACAGGATACTGTGAGCTGCCTGGAATGGGAGTCCACAGCAGAGAAAAACTACTTCACAGAGATTCAGAAGGAAAGAACAAGAATGCTCACACTAGGAGTCAGCAAACTTTTTCAGCAGGGGGCCTGTCCACTGTCCCTCAGACCTTGTGGGGAGGCCGGACTATATTTTGAAAAAAAGAAGAAGAACGAATTCCTATGCCCCACAAATAACCCAGAGATGCATTTTGAATAAGAGCACACATTCTACTCATGTAAAAACACCAGGCAGGCCCCACAAATAACTCAGAGATGCATTTGAAATAAAAGGACACATGCTACTCATGTAAAAACACACTGATTCCCGGAGCGTCCACAGGCTGGATCCAGCCCCCGGTGCTTAGTTTGCCTACCCATGGCTTATACAGTGGTACCTTGGTTCTCAAACTTAACCCGTTCCGGGAGTCAATTCGACTCCCGAAACCGTTCAAAAACCAAGACGTGGCTTCCATATGGCTGCAGGAGCTTCCTGCACTCAAGCAGAAGCCGCATCAGACGTTTGGCTTCCGAAAAACGTTCGCAAACCGGAACACTTACTTCCGGGTTTGCGGCGTTCGGGAGCCGATTGGTTTGGGAGCCAAGCCGCTCGAGTACCAAGGTACCACTGGATCAGACTTTCAGCTAGTCAGCCACACATGGTAAGTGAACTTGCTAGGCTCGTAGCTCACTCCAATATGCTGAAGAGGTATTTTTAAATCCAAGCTTATTACATGATTATCATCACATACCGTGGAGCAAAAACGTGATGCTGCTTGGGAAGCTCTGAAGACCAACATTACAGCGCACAAACTTGATTCAAAATCAAGAACAGCATGCCCCCCCCCCATCAGCCCTCCACTGAATTGCCATCACACGCTCGCACATGCACATGTATGCACACACACAATTATTACTATGATTATGGAGGATCTAGGAGTCTTGGTTGACCACAAACTTGACATGAGCCAACAGTGTGACGCGGCAGCTAAAAAAGCCAATGCAATTCTGGGCTGCATCAATAGGAGTATAGCATCTAGATCAAGGGAAGTAATAGTGCCACTGTATTCTGCTCTGGTCAGACCTCACCTGGAGTACTGTGTCCAGTTCTGGGCACCACAGTTCAAGAAGGACACTGACAAACTGGAACGTGTCCAGAGGAGGGCAACCAAAATGGTCAAAGGCCTGGAAACGATGCCTTATGAGGAACAGCCAAGGGAGCTGGGCATGTTTAGCCTGGCGAAGAGGAGGTTAAGGGGTGATATGATAGCCATGTTCAAATATATAAAAGGATGTCATATAGAGGAGGGAGAAAGGTTGTTTTCTGCTGCTCCAGAGAAGCGGACACGGAGCAATGGATCCAAACTACAAGAAAGAAGATTCCACCTAAACATTAGGAAGAACTTCCTGACAGTAAGAGCTGTTCGACAGTGGAATTTGCTGCCAAGGAGTGTGGTGGAGTCTCCTTCTTTGGCGGTCTTTAAGCAGAGGCTTGACAACCATATGTCAGGAGTGCTCTGATGGTGTTTCCTGCTTGGCAGGGGGTTGGACTCAATGGCCCTTGTGGTCTATTCCAACTCTATGATTCTATGATTCTATGTGGGTTCTCATCATCATAATGGTTGGTATTAGCTAGCCTCCTCACACAAGGAAGGGAGAACTGCTAGGCTGTCTGAATGAAGCAGATCATAAGTAAAGGAACTATGTAATTCTACTGATGCACAGTTTATTAGGGAAAATGTCCTTGGCAACTACTTTCACATAATGACAGCAGTTGACGGCAACTGGTTTCAAACGCACAAATGCTCAATTGAACTAAAAGTGAAAAGTTTTGGGAAATTGAAACAACGAAATCTTATAGCCCCAGATTGATATGGGTTAAAAATTCAAGAGTTTTCATCACTGTGTAGTTTATGTGAACACAATCTAAAGAGGCAATTGCATTAGTAATGCTGCTTCTTTGCATTATTACTAATACTGTAGTATACAAATTAGTAACAGCTATTGCTGAGGGTTACATACTGTTAATTCCAGTTTGACTGCAGGATCTCTCAAAATCCCAGAAGTCTATTTTTGGCCATCTGTAGACATGTTAACAAAAAGTACAAGAAAACTATGATAGCAAAATGGAAAACATCCTACAGAACTCTGGAACTTCAGGTGGCTAATTCAATATAGAACATGTTCCTAGATATTACTATCCTGTACATAATTCTGGAGCAGAAAAAGCTACTAAATCTTCATAATACTGACACTCTCTTGAAGTTATGATGGGAACAGAGTACTTCCAGCTAACAATTTGTTTACTGCATAAATATTATCTGGTAGAACAGGCAAGCATCCATATCAGAGAATGTCCAGATTTATTCACCTCAACATTCTAGCTCAGTTCTACATGAAGAACTTTCAAAGTTCTAAGATCCTGGTGTAAACTAAGTTCCCAGGATTGCAGCCAGACTTCAATTTCCTGAAAATCTGCTCCAGAAAGTTGGTGTGGAGGGAGCAGTGATGGGAGCTGAAGGAGGAAAAGGTAACTGGTTAAAACCACCTCTCTTCATGTACTCGCACCTCCATCCCTCTTAATAGCAAACAATAACAATAATAATAATAATAATAATAATAATAATAATTTATCTATATGCCACCTATCTGACTGGGTTGCCCCAATCACTCTGGGTGGCTTCCAACAAATTAAACACATTAAGCACAGTAAAACATTAAACATTAAAGTTAGACTTAACCACTGGGTTAGAGTCCATTCTGCAGACAAGTGCCCTGCTGTTCATGGCTAGATCCATTCTCAACACAGGCAGTGAGCTTCACATTTCTATTTGCAATGAAGGAGTTGTCCAATCCATCACAGACAGAAATGCCTTTAATGCCTATGTTCTGGTTATTCTGGGCTAGTTGTTTTGGGAAGCCCTCTACTAACAGTAAAAAGCTAAATGCTGGAGGTTCTACCAGGTATGCAGAAGAGTGCGCTCAAGATTCACACTTTCAAGCACAGGGCAGAAGGCGGCACTAAACTCTGGCCAGCATTACACAACCATCAGGGATTTAGAGCCGCTTATGAGAGTCTCACACAGCTTGTGGGTTACTTCCTTACTGCAGCTTTCCATGAACTGGCAACTGCTATTTTAATGTGCAAAAAAATGCCAATTTTACATGATGTGTTAATGCACTAAGAGCATTAAATCCTAGGTTAGTATCTTGGTATTCTAGGCATAAAAAATAAATCTTACATTTCTAAATAGTCTGCTGCCAAGGAGACCAGGTCATTTACCTTGCCTTCAATGTATATAATACAGGTGTCTTGAAATGCGGCAAGCAAATCCCACAAGGAATACAGAAGATAAACTGTACATGTATCACCTAAGGCCCATGAGGTTGTTAAGTGGCAAACCTTAAGCATTCTCTAAGGCTAGCAGCATTGCATTGCTCAGAGTAAAGCAAGACCACTAATTGGCTTAAGGGAGATTGATAAATTACATTGATAAACCACTTAACCTTTACTTTCTCAGATAGCAACTGATCCTTTCTGGTGACCACTACCTTAAGGACAACCTGTGGAACTGTGTTACACAATTGGAGCACTGTGATTTTGAACTGGTGTAGCAGTACACGGAGGAGATATTCCCGTTTTGAATAGATTGCTCAGAAATTTATCACACACCCTTTAAAAAAAGAATTTTCCTTCAGGACAAGGTGGACCCTATTTTTAAAGTGTGAATGAAAAACAGTACAGTGGTACCTCAGGTTAAGTACTTAATTCATTCCGGAGGTCTGTACTTAACCTGAAACTGTTCTTAACCTGAAGCACCACTTTAGCTAATGGGGCCTCCTGCTGCCGCCGCGCCGCTGGAGCACGATTTCTGTTCTCATCCTGAAGCAAAGTTCTTAACCCGAGGTATTATTTCTGGGTTAGCGGAGTCTGTAACCTGAAGCGTATGTAACCTGAAGCATATGTAACCCGAGGTACCACTGTACAGTGGATGGGAACTTGTTGACATGTTTCTCTCTTGTGAAGCACTGGAATGTGCAGTCCATTCCCATATAGATGCACAACCATGTTACTAAACCCCCAAACATCGCTAGCCCACAATAAATGAATAAATAAAATGATACGTCTGCTCTTTTACTCATAAGAGCACACAAGGGGGCAGGGCTCAGCAGCAATAAAAGTTAAAAGCTTGCTGGAAAAGAAAAGGTTTCACACAACAACAAAACACAAATAGGGGAAGAAAACCACTCATGGCCGGGAGTTCTACATACTAGACGCCACTATGGGAAAGGATGTCTTGCACACCACCAGGCACACACCTCAGAAGGCGCAGGCAAAAAGGCCTCAAAAGATGATCTCAAGAGCTGGCATATTCATATGGCATGACTTTGACCCAATACAAGTTCTGAAACCCCAACATTACCCATAAAAGCAATTTGTGACACACCACAACATGTTCTCAAGTACTAAATATATATGTATTTAGCAGCAGCGTAATTGCTGGGCATGCCGATTATATTGCTATGTTTGGGCAATGGGAACACAAGCACTAGCTGCTCTAAAAGGCTGTGCATCCAGAAATGCTAGACCAAGGATCTGGTTGCTAGGCAACATGATGCTACACTTAACTTCCCACACATATTTCTGGATGCACATGGAGTCACCAGCATGCTGCAGCCGGGGAGAAGCAACCTCAACAGCTAAGACTTCTGCAGGTGATTACATTTCAGACAGAAAGCATGCCTGCCTGCCTCTGAATGCCCCTATATTTATTTTATATGCCTAGAATACCAGGATACTAAGGTAAAGGTAAAGGGACCCCTGACCATTAGGTCCAGTCGTGGCCGACTCTGGGGTTGCGGCGCTCATCTCGCTTTATTGGCCGAGGGAGCCGGCGTACAGCTTCCGGATCATGTGGCCAGCAGGACTAAGCCGCTTCTGGCGAACCAGAGCAGCGCACGGAAACACCGTTTACCTTCCCGCCGGAGCGGTACCTATTTATCTACTTGCACTTTGATGTGGTTTCGAATTGCTAGGTTGGCAGGAGCAGGGACCGAGCAATGGGAGCTCACCCTGTTGCGGGGATTCGAACCGCCGACCTTCTGATCGGCAAGTCCTAGGCTCTGTGGTTTTACCCACAGCGCCACCTGCGTCCCACCAGGATACTAGGCCAGGATTTAATGCTCTTAGTGCATTAACACATCATATAAAATTGGAATTTTTTTGCACATTAAAATAGCAGCGGCCAGAATGCTGCAGTCAGGAAGTAACCCACAAACTGCAACTGTGTGAGACTCTCATAAGCGGACTCTAAATCCCTGAAGGTTGTGTAATGCTGGCCAGAGTTTAGTGCTGCCTTCTGCCCTGTGCTTGAAAGTGTGAATCTTGAGCGCACTCTTCTGCGTATCTGGTAGAACCTCCAGCAGCTGGTTTTCAGTGGTGACTGCTTTTAGTTCGCTTTTGCGGATTTCAATTGTATTATAAGTTTTTTCTCCCGCGTGATTCCCTTTGAGACTTTTAGTAGTAATAATAAAAAAAACCAGTAAGTGAAATAGATAATAAAATACCACCCTTCATTTGAGGCTCACAGGGCAATTTACAATATGAAAACACAAAAATATATGCCATAGTACATTTTATTAGCTATTTCACTTATGGGTTGCTTTTTCACTAAAATCTCAAAGGTACCCACGTGGGAGAAAATTTTATACTTCAATTCAAGTAAACAGAACATTGAAATCAGTCAGAGCAATCATCGCTAATATGTAACAAAATATCTCCCCCTGCCCAAGCCACAATATTATTGTGGTTTTGAATAATTGTCTTCTGGAAGGAACTAACTGTCTTCATTTTCCAGTCCAACTTCCTTTTTACAAGTACCCTCCTCTTTTTTGTGTTATTTTTAGATGTTTCCCCTTTGGAGTAAATTGTGACTGTGTTCAACTTCCTTGGTAATTTCCCACTTACATATAAATCACTGTAAATTTGACTGAATGATTGTACTGTTTCCAATTTGTTCAAACAACAGTCGTGCCTGAAACCAGGCTCTGGATGCCATTTAGGATGAAGCGTGACATCGCCTCCTTCTGGTCCCCATCTTGGCTCAGAGACTTCTAGAATTAATCATGAAACCTAGACATGGTGTTCCTCTCTGGCATGTGCAATTTGCCCTATGGCGCTTTGGCTTCTTTAACTATTGCATCCTACTGAGTGCACATTGCTTAGTTCTACCCTGTTCCCATTGGAAGATCCAACATATTTCTACCTCATACCCCAGAAATGACAAACCAGATGCTCTGTAGCTTCTGTCAGCTTTTCCGCAGAGAGCGGTTCTGCCACTTTTTTGATATTAAGTACTAGCAACCTTGGGACGCGGGTGGCGCTGTGGGTTAAACCACAGAGCCTAGGACTTGCTGATCAGAAGGTCGGCGGTTCGAATCCCCGCGACGGGGTGAGCTCCCATTGCTCGGTCCCTGCTCCTGCCAACCTAGCACTTCGAAAGCACGTCAAAGTGGAAGTAGATAAATAGGTACCACTCCAGCGGGAAGGTAAACAGTGTTTCTGTGAGCTGCTCTGGTTCACCAGAAGCGGCTTAGTCCTGCTGGCCACATGACCCGGAAGCTGTATGCCGGCTCCCTCGGCCAATAAAGCAAGATGAGCGCCACAACCCCAGAGTCGGTCACGACTGGACCTAATGGTGAGGGGTCCCTTTACTTTTATCTTTACTAGCAACCTAGTACTTTCAGTTCAAGCTACTTGCTGTATGAGTTGACTTGTACCAAATCTTGTACCAAAATCTTCCCTGCTCAACTCTCCTGTCTAACAGGCCCTGCATGCAAACAGGTGGCATTTCTGAAAAGCCTGCCCTGAAGGTCCTGAACTTCAGCTTCCTATCCAGCAAACCTAGGTTTTGTTTCCAGGAATACACCATTATAGTTTTGTTTGCTGGTGAGCACTTTGACCGCCTACTCCTCCCCAGCACTTCCTACCAGCCAATCCAGACGAAGCATGACAGCTGCAGCCTCAGTGCCAGACAGATCGTGGTGTGGCCTACATGCTCACAACTAAATGCAAAAGGAATGTATTTAGTCATTAAACACAACAGAGAAAAGTCTGCCAGCAGGGAGCTTGACTTCTTGAAAGGAGGCAAGGGAGAAAAAGTGGCGACAGGATGCTCACAAGCCATAAAAATCCCACATGTGGCTTTTTATTTGGATATTTTAAACACAATAGATTGAATACAGCAGAATATAAAAGCGCACAAATATCTGCAAAAAGGCCAATTTTAAGGTGGTCCAAGCAGCACGTGCAGGAGAAAAGTGTGTGAGAAACCACTTCTGTCTTTAAGATCTCCTAGTTTAGAGACAATGTTTATACACCAAGGTCTGAACTTGTGAAGAGCTCTTTATTACCCTGGAAATGCTGACAAATGCAATCAAAGATGCAGACACTATTAAGTCCCATCATAATGCCTCTGAAATGCACGCTGGAGAGGCCACACCTGCAGCAATCAATTGTTTTAATTCCCATCTAATCTCCAATTTGTGCTGTCACAAAAAAACCGTCTATGCCACTAGCACTTTTTAATATAGCTAGAGGCAGAATGGACTGATAAGAGTTGTCTCCCCTTTGCCCAAGCACAGCAATTGTATACAAAAGGGAAGAGTGCCCAGCGGGAAGAGACTTCAAGGGCTATAAACCTAAAATATTTTTCCAAACACAAGGCATCAATTTATCTAGACTCATTTCGGCCTGGCTTCAGGCCTGAATATATGGGGGGGGGGAGCCTTGGTCACCATGGTTGATGACTTTTATCAGGACAGAAAAGACACGCCTGTTAAATTCTTCCCAACCTCTCAGCAGCTTTTGATACCATTGACAATGTTACCCTCCTAAAGTGACTTTGAGGGTTGGGTCCCGACCAGAAAATAAAATTGGCAGAACGTTGCTTTACCCCAGGTCCTGCAGGATTACATCCTCTCTGTTTAAAATCTTTATGGAAAGTATCATCTTGAGTTTTGAGGGGTGCCATCTATATGCTGATGACACCCTGAGCTCTCAAAACCATCTGGATGAGGAGGTCCAGGGCCAATGTCTGGAGGCAGAGATAGGCTGGAATCCTGACAAAACATAGATTCTGTGGGTCCCAGATCAATGAATGGGGTTGAAGGGAGACAGCTTGCTTTGGGATTGGATAGCACACCACATAAAAGGTGCACGTAGTTTGGACATGCGAAATCTTTGGCCCTAGAGTAATACCCTGCCCATCTGAGTTGCCCCGGCCACTCTGGTTCCAAGAAGGAGTGGTCCCAAGTGTTATGGTGCTATAAATGTACGCTGCTCTTGAGTTAACTGACTGTGATGCAATTTTAAGACACGTTTTCATTGTATTGTTTTATGTAATTTTGTATATAAAGCCACCTCAGGCTCCTGTTCAGAGAAAGGGTGGGGTATAAAAACAATAGAAACTTGCACAATTCTCAAAAGCTATGTGGTGCAAATTCGGGGGGGGAAACTACGGTAATCTTACTAACTTGTGGTGGAATAAAAACAGTGTTGCACCTTAAAAGCTGAAGCTTTTGTAGCCAAGTCCCTTTTTCAGAAGCATGAAATGGCCAATTACTTCTTTATTAGGGTATTTACATAGCACTTGCCAATCAAATTCAGACCTGTTTTAAGTGGCAAGTATAATATGGGACGCGGGAGGCGCTGTGGGTAAAAGCCTCAGAGCCTAGGACTTGCCGACGGCGGTTCGAATCCCCGCAGCAGGGTGCGCTCCCGTCGCTCGGTCCCAACGCCTGCCAACCTAGCAGTTCGAAAGCACCCCCGGGTGCAAGTAGATAAATAGGGACCGCTTACTAGCGGGAAGGTAAACGGCGTTCCGTGTGCTGCGCTGGCTCGCCAGATGCAGCTTGTCACGCTGGCCACGTGACCCGGAAGAGTCTGCGGACAGCGCTGGCTCCCGGCCTCTAGAGTGAGATGAGCGCACAACCCTAGAGTCTGTCAAGACTGGCCCGTACGGGCAGGGGTACCTTTACCTTTATAAGATAAAAATAATAAAATTGATATACTAAAAAGGCAAAGGGACCCCTAACCACTGGCAAACTAGGCCCAGTCGTGACCGACTCTGGGGTTGCGGCGCTCATCTCGCTTTCCTGGCTGAGGGAGCCAGCGTACAGCTTCCGGGTCATGTGGCCAGCAAGACTAAGCCGCTTCTGGCAAACCAGAGCAGCGCACGGAAACGCCGTTTACCTTCCCGCCGGAGCAGTACCTATTTATCTACTTGCACTCTGACGTGCTTTCGAAGTGCTAGGTTGGCAGGAGCAGGGACCGAGCAACGGGAGCTCACTCTGTCGTGGGGATTCGAACCGCTGACCTTCTGATCAGCAAGTCCTAGGCTCTGTGGTTTAACCCACAGCGCCACCCGCATCCCATTGATATACTAAAAGGCAGCAAACCAAGCATCATAATATTATAAACAAATTACAACACCTAAGCCTATCCTAAAAATCTGAAGAACAATCAGTCTTTGCCCGCCACCAAAAATACACCTGCCTGAGGAAGTGCCAAGCAGATTGGGGGGGGGGTCCCCATAGTAGGGGCGCCACACTGTCTCTGGTAACATCCTGCCTCATTTCAATTGGGAGGGACATCTGGTGAAGGTCCTCTGCTGGCAAGATATGAGTAGGCATGTGCTGAGACAGGTTGTTCATGAAGCCTGGTCCCAAGCCATGAAGGGTTTTAAAGGTCAGAACCATGTGACTCATATCTCATAGTCACTGTCAGTATTCTGGCAGAGACACTCTGCACTAACTGGAGCTTCTGAACCATCTTTAAGGGCAACACCACTTACAGGGGCAATCTAATCAGGAGGTTATCAGGTTGTGGTGTCCTCTTCCATTCTGCAGATCTGCTGCAAGCCTGGGTCACTGAGACAAGGCCAACTAACTCCAGATAAGGGCATGGTTGGCTTGTAGTGTGTGAACACTCAGAGGACAACCCCCAAACCATCCCAAATATCTTTGCAGAAGCTTTTGAAAAGCTTGGCCTATCATTCAATATCCAAAAAACCAAAGTGCTGCACCATCAAGCACAAAACAACCCCTATGCAGCCCCAGAAATCCAACTCAATGGTGTAACATTGGAAAGTGTCGATCACTTCTCCTACCTGAAATAGTAGTTTCAGAAATGCACATCATTCTAGAAGTGTCTTCTGTTGGTAGCTTCAGAACATGAGTTGAATTTCATCACAAGGTTAGCAGAACCATCTTAAACCAGATGACCAAAATGGATTCAAAAAAATAAACTGAAGGGAGATGAGACATACTATGTGAGGCTTATCAGGCTAGGCCACAGAAACAGAAGAGAAGAGCAGCTAAGTCAAGACCCTTCCAGTGTCCTGTTTCACCGGATAAATTATTCCTTTTGCTCATTCTAGTTTAATAAAAATTTCATGGCCCTGACAGTAATTATGGCTGCACACACAGATCAGTGTTGAGCGCAACTTAACACCCAGGCTTTCTGTCTAGCAGTTGTGTGTGCAGCAATGAAACTATCAAAGAAGACAATTAAGATCTGGCAGCCACAAAAACGATGCCTAAGGGAACATAAAACACTATTGTCCGAAGAGATTGTTACTAGCTTGGAATTCCAACTCCCGGTTTGGATTTTGATAGGCAAACAAACTGGTTGAACAAGTTTCAAGAGAGTGGCCCAAGTGCTCCAGATTCGTTAAACCTGAAAGGTTTGTTGAACATTTTTATATGGTCATTTGCTGTTGGGAGGAGAACTGAAGTTCTTAAGTTACAGGTCTTTTTCTCAAACGTATGAAAAATACAAAAACATAAGGGCTTGGGAGATGTTCTGTGTAACACAGACGTCTACTAACAAAGGTTGACAATGAAAATATTCATGGGTCTCAACCTTATTGACCTAGTGGTTTTTGCAGAAGTATGCCAGGGACCCTACTGTGAAAAGGAATCCTGTTACTTAGGACATTAGCCCAGATACCATGTGCAAACAAAATGTTCTAAATAGTCTATAGCAATGTGGAACAAGACATTTCCCCCCTTAAAGCAATGACCACCAGAGTCTGATGTGGCATATTATACTATTATAAATCTTTCTGCACCACATGAATACTGGTAGCACAGGTTGCTGGAGGTTCTAATTGAAGACCTTACATTTCCTTTTTGTTTGTATTTAATATCATTTTTGTTAATCTTCAGGAACAAGATCAATCCCAAGCTTTAACCATTGAAGAAATATAAAGCTAAATATCATAAATTAGCACCACAGGGGGTTGGACTAGATGACCCTTAGGGTCTCTTCCAACTCTGCAATTCTATGATATATATACTGATGTCATCCTATCCCAAATCTCAAGATTATCTCTTTCAGAAGCTTAAAAATGCTACTGATTGCTGGCAATAGATGTGGACTCCTGTGAAATTCCACCTATCGGCTCAAAAGGCTCAGAGCAACATTTCCAAACACCATCCTCAAAGTCTGCTCATTTGGAATCAAGACAGAAAAGAGAGGGGGAAAGGGAAAGTCCAATGTTATTTTATTTTTTTTAAGCAAAGACTTGTGTTTGAGGCAAGAAAAATTATGGACAAGTGTTTGTTACAATACAGTATCAACATTAAAACTTATTGCAAGTCACTTTTGTGAATAAAGCTACTAAATAATGATAATAAAAACAGTAATAGTCATCAAGAAATTTAGCAAGGGAGAATCCCAGTACCAACTTACAGAGAATATCTTCTGCACCTTTTCAAAGGTAACCCAAGAACTAACTGCCTCACAAGGAGCCAGGGTGTCAACTTGTTAACATGCAACATTTGATGAGACATCCATCTCTAAACATGTAGCAGTGGCTTCCTAATGAATGTGTTTGGAAATTGTCAATTTCTTCCAATAGCATGTCTTACTGCAAACAAAACAGCTGCACAATGTTTATTAGATGAAGGCCAGAAATGCCACTTTCCTTTCTTGTCAAGCAATGAGGTGGGAGAGGCTGCGTTTTTGGCTCAGTACTAATTATTGCCAAAACTCTATTTGTGAGGAGGAGTTGCAAATCAAGGAATCTGCATTTGGCATTATCAAATGGCTGCTTTCTTAACCTGAGACTACTGGACGATAGAAGCTGCCTTGATAACGTAGCTGACATTGATCAATAATTCACAACAGGTCTATTATTATGGGGGAAATAGGCAGAGAAAGGGGCATGAAGACCTTTGAGGAAGTCAACATTGACAAGACAAATAAAACACAGACACACACAAAGGACCATCAGTCCTCTTCTGTATGACTCATCAGCACTGTGCTCTGACTGCACTGAGAGAACAAAAAGCCATTAGGCCTAGACTAGAGTAAGACAATAGTATAGTCCGGTGTATAAGTTTGGGGGGTGTTCAGCAATTAGGATGCTCTAGTTTGTTACATCCATATCCCACCTTCCTTCCCGGAAGAAACTTAAAAGCAGCATTTCAGCAGTACAACCATCCTGAAAGATGGTGAGCTTCATGCTAAGTGAGGATTTGAGCATGAGTTTCCAAAGTCAGGCTTTTGTTGAATGTACACAATTGTTCTAGAAGCATAGTGAGCTGCCTTATACCACGTCAAGCCACTGGTCTCTCATGCTCAGTACTGTCTACCCTCATTGGCAGCTAGGGTTTCGAGGGACACGTGTGGCACTGGGTTAAACCACAGAGCCTAGGACTTGCCGATCAGAAGGTTGGCGGTTCGAATCCCCGCGACAGGGTGCACTCCCGTTGCTCGGTCCCTGCTCCTGCCAACCTAGCAGTTCGAAAGCACGTCAAAGTGCAAGTAGATAAGTAGGTACCGCTCTGGCGGGAAGGTAAACGGCGTTTCCGTGCGCTGTTCTGGTTCGCCAGAAGCGGCTTAGTCCTGCTGGCCACATGACCCGGAAGCGGTACGCCGGCTCCCTTGGCCAATAAAGCAGGATGAGCGCCACAACCCCAGAGTCGGCCACGACTGGACCTAATGGTCAGGGGTCCCTTTACCTTTATCTAGGGTTTCAGGCAGGAGCCTCTACCAGCCCTACCCGGCGATGTCGAGGATTGAACTTGGCAGCTCATGCATGCAAGGCAAATGCTCTACCCCAGAGCTATGATCTTCCCCCAGCATGCTTTCAGAAGCTGTGGAACACTTCACCAGTAGAAATACTAACCACCAGTTAGAGCACACAGACACACACACCCCACCACTGCTGGGAAAAAGGGAATGATTTAAGACAAGTTCATTTGCACAACAGTTATTCACATTTGTATTTTTTCTTGGTGGTTTAAATAACTGATTGAACCAGGAGTCCCATGCACACTATCGCAAATGAGACATATTGGCTTACAACTAAACAGAGGGTTTATGCAACCTAGCAGCATAATCCAAAGCCTGTGGGTCATGCAGCCCACACACCATTTGCACTGCAAAAGCGTAGCTGCTTAGAGACAAAAGGAACATTTCTGCACGGTTGTTAAGCAAAATCACTTATCTGGAGGTTAAGCCACAATCCTGCACACACTCGATTTGGAATTAAACCCCACTGAACATCTGAGTGAAGCTGCAGGTGACTGAACTGGACATGCCCAGAACTTTCCAGAAGCAAAAGCTGGTGATTACTGGACAAAATAGTTTGGGCTATACCAATTGACTGGCAGAATGAATATCTGATCGGCAAATATTCATAATTAGGTAGCCAAACACACTGCAAATGTCAGGCAATTGGACAGCATAAAACAAGAATACAAGATGAACCATCAATGCACAATATACTATGGAGTTTTCTTCATCCCCTGATTGCTACTAGTTCAACCCATTTATCATTAGCCAGAGTCACCAACTATCAAGGCACATTACTCTTTGGTGTGGTGTTGTTTTTTTAAAAAGCACTTGGAGACCTAAAAAAAGTTCTCATGAGTTTGAAGTTTTAATAATCTACAGTATTTGCCAAATACAGCTATAAGAACTCAGCAGAAGAAAAGCAAAGGTCCTACACCTTCCAGAAAAACACACTGCTTATAATATACAGTATTAGAACCTCATTCCCCATTCCCTCAAGATTCCCTCAACCCTCTTCAGGATTCATCTCAAAGTTATCCATTTATTTCTCAGTCTTCAGTTCTTCTTCATACCAAAATCTGTACTCTAGTATCCCACAATGGCCTTCCTGAGCTCAATCAGCTACCATAGATACCCAAGTCTTACAATGTGACCCATTTGTCCAAATCAGCAGCTTATGCAAGTTATTCATTCCTCTCACCTTCCTAGTCCAGTTCTTGAAGGACTCCTATGGCTTAGAGTACAGACTGAATTTCCTGTAGCTTCCAAGTACCAAAGCTAAAACCTACATCCTTCTCTTGAACACAGTTATCTTAAGGCAAACAAAGGGACGTGTGAAGCTCAACAGTGGATCCAGCATCATGCAGAATTGCAGCTCATTCACTGCAATACAATAGGACCACAACTTGCGCTGATTTGCTTACACATAGCTTTGCATGGCTTGCCAAAAAAATCCCCAAATAAATAGAAACACCCTTGCTTACCAGTCTCTGGAAGCTCTCACGAGATCTTGCAGGGCCATTTGAGATCTCACAGGAGCCTCGTATGACAGCTATGAGCTGCTCTTGTAGAACATGGCTAAAATAAAAATGGGTGGCAGAGTCCTCTAAGAACAGGTGAAGTGGGTAATACACTGTTCATATCACAATCAATTTGCACAAAAGTGAAAAGCTGCTTCTGATTTCCTGAGCATGGTTTACGTTTTTAAAAAAAACTGTTCAGAGCCACAGAAACGATAATTTGTTTATGGGGGGGGGGGCAGGACTTGCCAGTGTAAGTCCTGGCAAGGTAAGCAAACACTTTCAAGTTATGGAGTGAATGGCATAGAGACCTAATTTATACTGCAGTCAGCAGAGATTAGCACCTGCTAGGGAAAGACCTCACAGTGCAGTTCCCAAGATATCTGCATACCACATGGATTACCCACCAGCATCATTTCTGATCCGCCGCATGATGAGCTATGTGCATCTGCATACTTAACATCCCAGGAAATAAGCGTTTTCTGCAGCGTAGAAATTGTCCCTTTCAAATGGCATATTAAATCTTCATCGAACCTGCTTTGGTCAGTCCTACATTTCTTATTTCCTCAAGGATGTTCCCACACTATCTGTTCCAACCAGATCACACTATCTGTTACAAGGAGATCAAGTAATAGCTTATCTAACTAAGCTGTGACTAGTCAGTTATCTTGCTGGAAGAAGGTGCTCTCCAAAGGGGTAGAAACTTGTTTACATGACACAAATGTTACTATATAAGCTCCTGGACATCGTTTAAACTTATTTTAATTGTGCCTCGTGGCAATTCTTGGGGCAATCGTAATCATGTGAGGGTTTTTTGGTCCGACCCTAATATAGGCACATTTAAGACTGCCATATGAAATCTCATGCTATGCATACGCGACCCTGGCTGCTTAGGACAGAATTGCTAAACATTTGCCAAAGGTGGATTTGCAAGACCCTTGGATCATCTATTCACATGGCCAAGGAATCAGAACAGGCAGACATTAAAAAAGAGTCAATCACGGAAATAGCCAACATGGGGAGATTTCTACAACAGTTAGCAGATTGCTATCACATCAGGAAAAGCTGTGGGTGTATAACCTACTTGAAAGGTTCCCCCCCCCCTTTTTTTAATGCCCCAGCAATCTACCTTCGAGCTATATTAGGCACAATAGGTTTGCACAGCAGCCAACCAGCTGCTGTAGCACAGCAGCTAAGTGCATGTCCCCAGCTCAAATCTCAGTTCAGCCATGCGTTGACTCTACAACCACAACCCAACCACTATCCCTTCTCTTGCGGGGGCCCAATTAGTGCCACTGCCTTCTGTTAAGAGTTTGGGTGTAATCCTTGACGCCTCCCTTTCCATGGAGGCGCAAGTTACAGCAACAGCCAAGGCGACATTTTTCCACCTTCGCCGCATCAAGCAGTTGGTCCCTTACCTTTCCCACCCCGACCTGGCCACAGTGATCCATGCGACGGTCATCTCCAGGCTTGACTACTGTAATTCGCTCTACATGGGGCTGCCCTTGAAGCTGTCCCAGAAACTCCAGCGGGTGCAGAATGCTGCAGCGAGGCTCCTCACGGGGTCTCTGCCATGGGAGCATATTCACCCAGTGCTTTTCAAGCTACACTGGCTCCCGGTGGAGTACAGGGTCAGATTTAAGGTGCTGCTTTGACCTTTAAAGCCCTTCACGGCCTAGGACCCTCGTACCTACGGGACCGCCTCTCCTGGTATGCCCCACAGAGAGCCTCAAGGTCCATAAATAACAACACCCTAGTGGTCCCAGGCCCTAAGGAAGTTAGATTGGCTTCAACCAGAGCCAGAGCCTTTTCAACTCTGGCTCCGGCCTGGTGGAACGCTCTGCCTCATGAGACCAGGGCCCTGCAGGATCTGATTTCTTTCCGCAGGGCCTGTAAGACAGAGTTGTTCCGCCTGGCCTTTGGCTTGGAGCCAATTTGATTCCCTCCCTCCCTCTCTCTTTCTTTTTCTTTTCCTTCTCCTCCTGCGATGAGGCTACATTTTAATATTTTAATGTTCCATTATTTTAATGTTGTATTTTATTTTTGTTTTTAAGTTGTAATCATTCATCTTGTTTTTATTATTGCTTGTAAGCCGCTCTGAGCCCGGCCTTGGCTGGGGAGGGCGGGGTATAAATAAAAAATTATTATTATTATTATTATTATTATCTTTTAGCCTCAGCTTTCACCTGCAATATGAGGGAAAATGTAAGGTTTAGGAGCCAGAATGGCTAATCGTTTTTGGCTCATGGTTTGAATTCACTTTTAAGAAACCCATCAGGAACTGTATGTCAACAGTTGTTGTCAACACCTGTCATGCTTGCGCACACACACAAAGGACAGCCACACAGGCACATAGACTCACTGCAGCACTGCAGAGAAGTTTAAACTACTCTGCCCAGTCCAATGCAACATCTCCTTTTTTTATTCAAAAAAATGTGCTACCTGTAGGGTGTTAGGTACCAAAATTAACTGCTGGGGGGATGCATTGCAGATCAGACCAGGGATTCACCACCTCTGGTTTACAGGGTACAATGGTACCTTGGTTTAAGAACAGCTTAGTTTATGACTTGGATTAAGAACGATGCAAACCCAGGTGTTTTGGTTTGTGAACTTTGCCTTGGAATAAGAACATGTTTCGCTTCCTGTTGAGTGTGTTCCATTTGTAAACTGAGTCCCCCGCTGCTATGGGAAAGCACACCTTGGTTTAAGAATGCTTTGGTTTAAGAACAGACTTCCGGAACGGATTAAGTTCGTAAACCAAGGTACCACTGTACTTGCTATAAGTATGTTCATCATTCCCTCCAAGGCAACACAAACAAACAGTTCTATTATTTTGGTTCAACTTTCTACTGGAAGGCCAAGAGCACAATTTCAACCCTATTAAATAAAAAACTCCTGTGTTGCTGAGGTAAGTGAACAACTGAGTAAACCACTGCTTCTCCATCCTGGCAGCAGGTTTCTACCTCTACTAGTCTGGGCTAGAGAACAGACTATCACAATTCCATAGAGGGAAGCGTTTTACTGTGAGTGTGCATGAAAATGGAAGCAGCAGCACTGTCTGCTCAATCTCTGGCATTCAAGCATTAAGTATCCCTGTGCTTCCCCAACTGAAAGAGACTCATAATCTCAGTGTCATGGGTTCAAGACCCGTGTTGGACAAAACGATTCCTGCATTGCAGGGGGTTGGGCTAGATAACCCTCATGTTCCCTTCCAATGCTACAATTTTGTGATTCTAAGTCAAACTATGGAAGTCCCACAGGTGGCAGTGACAGCCACCAACTTGGATAGCTTTAAAAGTGGATTAGACCAGGGGTCGGCAACCTAAGGCCCATGGGCCACAAGCGGCCCAAGGGGGTCGTTTAACCGGCCCCCGAGCAGCCCCCGAACTGAGTCACCCACTCGGCAAGTCCCTGCACGCTGCTGTAAACTGGCGCAGCGTGGTGCAGGGACTCGCTTCCGAGGCGCCGAAAATTGCATCTATGAAGACACTGGAAATCGCGTCTGCGCAGACACAGACTGCGGAAATCATGGGAGCACGTGGTCATTCATGGAGGGATCTCCACTGGAGTGAACCGACCCATGTGAGGTAAACCATGCCAACCCCTGGATTAGATAAATTCATGAAGGAGAAGGCTGTACTTTGCCTCCACAGGTGAAAACAGCAATGTGTCACAATACCAGTTTCTGGAAACCACCACAGGAAGGGCAACTGCTCTTGTGCTCCAATCCTGGTTGCTGGCATGTGGTTGGCCACTGTGAGAGCAAGATGCTGGCCACTGGCCTGATCCAGCAAGCTCTTCTTATAAGCTCCCGGTATAATCTTAATGGAAAGAGGCAGAAGGTGGTTCCTAAACTTAGGAACAAAGCTATTAATAATAGATTCACAACCTTTATCTCAAAAGGACAGTAAAATGAAATGCAGAACAGGAACTGGCAGCACGACTTTGCCAAAAGAAGAGTCATCCATCATTTGACTACACAGTATTTTGGGGCGGATTAATATCTAATGACTCCCCCATCTCTCTTAACTATCCATTTTACACATGGAATGCCCAAGCTTGCTTGGAACCAAAGCTATATAATGACATTATCTTCCCCATTATCTTTCAAAATACAGTGGTACCTCTGGTTACGAACTTAATTCATTCCAGAGGTCCGTTCTTAACCTGAGGTACCACTTTAGCTAATGGGGCCTCCCGCTGCTGCCAGCGCACAATTTCTGTTCTCATCCTGAGGTAAAGTTCTTAAACCGAGGTACTACTTCTGGGTTAGCAGAGTCTGTAACCCAAAGTGTTTGTAACCTGAGGTGTTTGTAACCCGAGGTTCCACTGTAAGTTGTCTTCCTGGCCACTTGGTATACAAGATTGGCATGGCTACTGTACAGGCTTGTGAAGAGGCAACTGCTCTGCCACCTGTGGCAAGTAAAAGTTGTCTCTTGGCTACCAGGCAGGAAGACGTTACAAAATGAAACCAATGAGAGCCGAAAAGAACATACATATGGGCAACTATGAGGACATTTTTAAGCTTGCTTTAGTACTGGGAAGTCCCACTCAATCCAGGAATGTCTCATCTGAACAGTGGGGGGAAGGCAACGCTCATTTCAGGTTTCATTGCACGTATGGAGAAGTGAAGACATCACAAACAGTTCTGTCTTCTAAATGTTCAAGCATCAGTTGTTCCACTAAGCACTTTCAGATCCAATTCATCAAGGACTATCTAGCTAGGACAGTCCACTGCCACCCTCTGTTGCCAGCATGCCCGCCTGCCTCTTTACCTCTCCCCAAATTCATACCTCTCTCTCTACCACTTATAGAAGGGATGGCTAACATGTGGTCCCCCAGATGTTGACAGACTATAGTTCTCATAATGAAGGTATTTTGTTTCGTGGGACCCACCATTTCATTGAACACATCTCTTCCATTGAATTTATACTGTTCTGCTCCATTTGGAATGGCTTTATTTTTCAATGGTTTCATCTCTTTTATAATTGTTTATTATATTGACGCAACCCACCCTGGGACATTATAGGGAAGGGTAGGTACAAAATCTTATAAATAAACGAATCACTGGCCTTGCTGGTTGGGGCTGATGGGAGTTGGAGCCCCACAACATCTGTGAGCCACCAGTTAGTCACCCATGACTTATAGCAACTCCGTGCAGCATCAGCAATGATTCATTCTTCCTCATATCTTTTGGCACAACTAATGACACCCTTTCATTTCATTGGGTGTCTTCAGGACAAAAGGAAGCCTCCAGGCTTATGATCTTCCCTCTGTTACCTTTTCACATCAAATGGACCTTTTATCCTTCCTGCTATATGATCATTCCATCTCTGTCCACAATAAACTTTGTTCCACTTCCTACATTGCAACCAATACATCACAAAATTTCACCACTTTTACTGTTCCCCTGCTAATGTCATTTTGCGAAAGCAAGGCCTCCAGCTTGCTTTGCCTGCTTGCAACTTCCGTCACTCATCAAATTTTCGATACAGGGTGAAAGCCACATGTGTTAGTTCATTACCCTCATTATTTTTCTCCTGCTAGTCTATTACTTTATGACGGTGAAGGCATAGGGAACACAGCCTGGGAAGGAAGGAGGCAAGTGGTAATGGAAGCAGCAGGCTAGATTGGGGTAGTTAGTGGCAAGTGAGCAACATCTAATCCAAAGCTTTTCAAACTGTGTGTCATGACACGTTAATGTGTCAGCTGCAGTGTGTAGGTGTGTCGCATGTATGCTCCCCACACTTCTCCTGGGGCTGGAAAGGGTTCGTTTAACCTCCAGTTTGCTAGTAAAACTGAACTACTGCGTCATGAAATGATCGAAAATTGAATTACCATGTCGCGAAATGATGCATGTCCAAAAAGTGTCTCACCAACTTGAAAAGTTTGGAAAGCTCTGATCTAATCTGTAGGTACCTGGGCTACCAGAATTTGCTCATTTGCAGACACGTCATCACTGGGAGGTGCATCAACAGGTTAACTGTAGCTGACTATCCACATCTTAGGCAGGCGATGAGATACAAAGGTACTTTCGCCACTGAACAGCTTGACTCAAAACCAATACTAACCCAGATATCAGATTTGCTTGTTATATATGCAAGAAATATATTTTATTCATCTATATTTAGACTATATTTAGATTAGGTATGTCTAGATTGCTAATAAGTGAGATATACAACAAAATGTTGCACTGTGGACTGCTCCTGCTCAGAGTTCCAGCCAGGCATGTCTTCCACTAGATAACTCCATTCCTTTTTTTTTTTAAATGATATTTATTAAAGTTTCAGATAAAAAGAGACACATCAATAAAAAAGAATTTAAAAGTAAAAAGAAAAATACACAATACAAAATACAAAAATAAAAAAAGAAAAAACAGTTAAAAACAAATCCATCTTTTCATCACTACTTTTGAATTTACTTATTTTCTGGACCTCCTCATACCTCCCTCTTTTGTATTCCAATTCAGTTTGTTTGTCCAGCAATTCCTTTCCCTCTTTTTTAATCCCAATCCTTAATCTTAATATAATATAACATTAAGTTCTTATCTATTAATAGCCAATTTTCCATTCTTTTAACCTTTTTATTCCTAATCCTTAATCTTAATCTGTATATAACTTTAAAGCCTGTGCAGCTAGAAACCACTTAATTTCAATCCATCATCACTCTAACATTCTTTAATTTTGCAATGTTTCTGTAGGTAATCTTTAAATTTCTTCCAATCTTCTTCCACCGACTCTTCTCCCTGGTCACGGATTCTACCAGTCATTTCCGCCAGTTCCATATAGTCCATCAGTTTCATCTGCCATTCCTCCAGTGTGGGTAGCTCTTGTGTCTTCCAATACTTTGCGATGAGTATTCTTGCTGCTGTTGTTGCGTACATAAAGAAAGTTCTATCCTTTTTTAACACCGATTGGCCGACTATGCCCAGGAGAAAGGCCTCTGGTTTCTTCAAGAAGGTATATTTAAATACCTTTTTTAATTCATTATATATCATTTCCCAGAAAGCCTTAACCTTTCACCAAAGGTGAAAAAATGTACCTTCAGTTTCTTTACATTTCCAACATTTATTATCTACTAGATAACTCCATTCCATTCTTCCACACACATTGTCACTATTCTGTGGAAATATTTAATCCTCCCTGTGCTCCCAGATATAGATATAGGTGATATAGATATAGATATGCGAACCTAGCTTCTGCCAACTTAGGAGTTTGAAAGCACACCAGTGCAAGGAGATAAATAGGTACCGCTGCAGCGGGAAGGTAAACACAGTTTCTGTGCGCCAGAAGCCATTTAGTCATGCTGGCCGCATGACCCAGAAAACTGTCTATGGGCAAATGCTGGCTCTCTCGGCCTGAAGCGAGATGAGTATCACACCCCATAGTCGCCTTTGACTGGACTTAACCATCTAGGGGACGTTTACCTTTTACCTTACGTATATGCGTATGTGTGTACACACACACAAACCACTTAGGGTTTCTTCTCAAAATTGTATGTACTTCTGCAAAGCATGGAGTTCCCAAAGGTTGCCAACACCTCCAGCTTGTGGGTGGGTGGTGTCGTTTTGGCTGCAGAAGGATCATCACTTACCTCAGAACATTGCAATTAAAGGGAGCAACATTTCAAGCAAGAAGAAATGTTATCCAACACTGTTTGAATGGAATTACCAGATTTTTAACAGAATGATTTTCATTTAGCTAATCAAAATATATCTCCGGTGCTTTAAGCTTTAGGAAAAAAATACTTCTTTTACCGTTTTATATACTGTGTCATTAGCATTCCTTTAAAATAGATATCAAAACACATTTGCCAACAAACAGCAGAAAGTATGAGTTACCAAACCTGAAGCAGGAACATGGATTTCATATGCTAAGATCCATATGCCCATCTATAGCCCAGCATTCTCTCTCACATACAGTGGCCAGACCGATCCCCCTAGAAATCTCAGCAAAGCAGTTCTTCATGTTCACATTACCTTCTGTAGAAACAGCGTGTCTCAATTTTTCCTTCCAAAGGCCAGCTGGATTCTTCCTATCTTTAGGAAGGGGCCCGAAAAACTGGCTTAGATCTTAACAGACTTGCTTTCTAATAAACAGCATTTTGGTGCTTAAGATAGCTTTACCTGCAAATGATGTGTTAGACTGGCAGTTACACAAGCCCTTTGATTGTTCAAGATGAAGCTGGTAAAAGTGCTACTGTCACCTTCATAGTGCCTTGGAGAGTAGGGCCTGGATTTGAGAACTGTGCACCCACTTCCAATCACTAGAACAAGCCCCACAATGAAACTGTGGATAAGAAAGAATGTACTGCATTCACTCCTGGTTCAGTGCATCGCACCTCCTACTACAAAGGCACAAATCTCTACCTGCACACTGATCACTAAATTAACAGAATCTGTTATGTCTCGTTGCAGGAAGTTCAGGATGAAAGGGCACAGTTTCACCACATTAAAGAACTAGGAACTGGAGAGAAGTACAGGTACAATATCCTCCTTGGATATTCACTTCGCTGCTACGGTAATGGCAAGGATTCAATTCATTTTTCCCCATCTCAAGGATCTGTACTTCTTGCACCTTTTGACCTGAAGCATGCATAATTGAAATCCCAACAGCAGCAGTTGCATAATACCTTTTATTTGGACTAAAAGTCAGTAAATGATGAACTGGAAGAATTCTGTGAAACTCAAAAGCTAGCTAGCTTTGTTGTTTTTTTACATTACTTTCTGTTGGTTCGAATAAAGGTATTATATTGCTGCTGCTGCTGGGAATTTTCTCTGATGAACTCATACCGCTTCCTATATTATTATTATTATTGTCTGCTGTAGAGAGTAACTGAAATTGTAGACTAAAACACATCTAAGGAAATGTAAGGAGAGAAAAATTGTTAATGATCCCAGCAAATAGAGATCTAACACCACCTGCCTTGGAATCTCCCACTAGGAAAAAAAGAGGCAGGAGGAGAGAGGCTGTGCGACCATACTCAAATAAAGTCTGTTACTCCCTATCAGCAAATAGACAAGGAAACCATCTCTGTACAAGAACCACCAGATATTTCAGAAACAGGCAGGTCCTGAAAAAGGAGGGTAAATAAAGTAGCCCTCAAATGCTCTGAGAGTATCTGGCAAGGAGGTTCCTGTTGAGAGAAGCAAGATTGGATCAAAAAATCCAAAGAATGTAAATGGGAAGGGAGGAGAAATAACCCTTTCTAATGGACTTTTGAGGACAGCAACAGTCTTACTCCTCCTAGAGAAGCGGGACCTTAGCTGGTACCTAAGGAAAAGGTACCAACATACATGTGTGTGTTTGTATAAATACACACACACAGAGAGAGAGAGAGAGAGAGAGAGAGAGAGAGAGAGAGTCTCTTTCTAACAGCACTCAGTTCCCAAGAAAAGGGAATGGTGATTATATTCGCTAGAACCATTCTGTCAATTGTGGCTAAGAGCTTCATGAGTTGGGAGGGCAAGAAGGTGGATCAGGGGGCCCCATTCTTTACATTGCTCCAATTATTAAAGGGAGGAATGGGGACTCTTCACAGAACGCCTTTCTCCTGCACTTAGGCTAATTCCTCAGGAATTTCTGGGTTAGGAGGCCAGGGGGTGAAGAAACTACAAAGAATGTATTTAATTTAAAGGAACTATGAGTGGAAAAACTAGTGCAGCCTTTCCTGACCTGGTGCCCTCCATTCAGGACTCTCTGTTTAGGGAAATTTTTAATGTTTGATGTATTTATTGTGTTTTTAATATTCTTCTGGGAGTGCCCAGAGTGGCTGGGGAAACCTAGCCAGATGGGCGGGGTATAAATATTTATTTATTAACACACCCCAGCCAACATGGAGTCCAGCAGTCACAGGCTATCGTATATCAAGCCCACCAACTCTGTATTGTTGACACTGACATTCAAAGCTGAACCTGGGAACCATAATAATAATAATAATAATAATAATAATAATAAATTTTTTTTTTTGTTTATACCCTGCCCATCTAGCTGGGTTTGCCCAGCCTGTCTAGGTGGCTTCCAGCAAAATATAAAAAATGATAAAATGTCCCCTGAACAGGGCTGCCTTCAGATGTTTTTTAAAACTTGTGTGATTCTTTATCTCCCTGACATCTGATGGGAGGGTATTCCACAGGGAGGGCGCCAACGCCAGGAAGGTCCTCTGCCTAGACTTTCTGGATGCAAAGCAGGAGCTCTGCCATCTAGCTACAAACCTTCGCAAACAGGAACATGGGAAGTTTCAAGACATTGATCCATCCAGCTTAGTATTGTCCCCCGAGGTTTCCTTCCCAGCGTGAGCTGGAGATGCCATGGGGGGATAGAACCAAGGCCCTTCTGGATGCAAAGAAGATGCTCTGCCAGTGAGCCATAGCCCTTCCAAAGCAGAAACACAGGAAGGTGCCTTACACTGAGGCAGACACATTGCTCTGTCTACCTCAGTACTGCCTACACTGACCGGCAGTAGCTCTGGAAGGTTTCAGGACAGAACAGTATTTCCTTGCCCTACCTGGAGATGCCACTGGGGACTGAGCCTGGGGCTTCTGCCGGTGCTTTGCCACTGATGGGGAGAGGGCTGGTTGGCAGAGCAGCCTGCACTTCATTTGCTGCAAGCCACCCAGAGCAGCTGGGGAAACAGAGTCAGATGGGTGGCACATAAATAATAATAATAATTTAAAATTATTATTATTATTATTATTATTATTATTATTGCGCTTGCAGGGACCCAGGGGGCTGGCCTTCCCTCCTACACCTCTCAACCCAGAACAAAAGCCCTGCTGAAGGAAGGGTGAAGAAGAGGAAGAATTGGCACTTTTGAGCACCTGAGCCTAACAGGACGGGGCTGTGCTCACCCACACGCAAAAGCGGGATTTTCGTCATAGAATCAACTGCAGGGTGGGTAGGGGATCCCAAAGGGCCATCTAGTCTAGCCCACCCCTTGTAATGCAGGAAATCTGTCTTGCCACGGTGAGGAGAGTGTGCTGGACTTAAGATGAGGCCCACTGGGACTTGATCCCGCAGCCAGGCTCTTAGAATCATAGAATAATAATATTAATAATAAATTTTATTTATACCCTGCCTTCCCCGGCCAGAGCCGGGCTCAGGGCAGCTAACACCAACAAAATCACACTAAAAACATAATAGGGGGAAAAGAGGGGGGGAACCAATTTGAAATACAGGTTAAAATGCAGCCTCATTTTAAAGTACCTAAAGGGGAGGGAAACATAAGGGTCAGACCGAGTTGAAAGCAAAGGCCAGGCGGAACAGCTCTGTCTTGCAGGCCCTGCGGAAAGGTGTCAAGTCCCGCAGGACCCTAGTCTCTTGTGAAAGAGCGTTCCACCACGTCGGGGCCAGTGCTGAAAAGGCACTGAACTGTAGAGTCGGAAGGAACCGAAAGGATCATCCAGCCGAACCCCCTACAATGCTGGAATATATATATATATATATATGTGTGTGTGTGTGTGTGTGTCTGTGTGTGTGTGTGTGTATATATATATATATATAAAACGCTGGATGATCCTTTCGGTCCCTTCCAACACTACAGTTCAGTGCCTTTTCAGCACTGGCCCCGACGTGGCGGAACGCTCTGTCCCCAGAGATATATATAAAGAGGACACATTTGCCAACTTCTACTTTTAACGACGGGTCTCTATGGCGACTCTACCCATTAAAAAGAGGGCGTGCCCTGGGGAAAAAGAGGACATATGACAACCCCACCTGCGGGGACCGAACCTGTAACCTCGGCGTTATCAGCACCACGCTCTATCCAGTTCTCTGCCTCCGGATTGCATTCACACACGCGCACCCAAACACGGGGCTGCAGCGGGTAGGAGAGGGCGGGGCGCCGCCTCTCCCTGGAAAGGGCCCCCCAGGGGTCATCTAGCCCAACCCGCTGCAAGGGGCGGGATGGAAGGCGGGTTCAGAGCGAGGTACCTTCTTGACGGTGCGAGGCGCCTCCGTGACGGTCCCGTCGGGGCTGACCAGGGCCTCGCCCAGCTGCCCGCCCGCGCCCCCGCAGCCGCCGCCGCTGCTGTCGCCCCCGTCGCCGGCCAGCCGAGGCTGCTGCTGGGCCCGAGAGGAAGCCGGCGCGGGCTCGCTGCGCTTCATGGCCGAAGCCTGAGGCGCCTTGGCGGGGGCCGGCGCGCCTCCGGAGCCTGGCGGGCCGGACTCGGCGGGCGGCTGAGGCGCCGGGTTGGGCGGCGCGGAGGCGGCCTGAGCGCAGGCCCCGGACCCCCCTCCGCCTCCTCCGGCCTTGTCCAGCGGCCCGCCGCCCAGCTCCTTCAGCTCCACGGCCGGAGGGGCCGCCACGCGAACCGACATCATCGCCGCCTCAGCGGGGCCCGAGGAGGACGACGAGGAGGAAGACGACGACGACGACGACGACGCCGGCTCTCGCCTCACACACTGGCGGCCGGGCGGACGCGCGCGCCCTCGCTCCCTCAGCCGAAGCCCCGCCCACGCTCGGACGCCTCGGCGCGCGGGGGCTCACGGGACTTGCAGTCCGCGGCCGCCGTCTGGGAGGGGGAAGGCTGCGGGGAGAAGGACTACCGCTCCCGGCAGGCGCCGCGGGCGAAACGCGGGATCCAATCGCGGGGCGGGGAAGGAGGCGCGCAGGGGACGCTGGGGGTTGGAGTTCTTAACGGCTCTTTCTCGGTCTTCCCCCCTCCCCGTCTTTTCCTTCAGTTCTCAGCCTGTGGGTCCCCAGATGTTGTTGGACTACAACTCCCATCATCCCTGAGCTCTGGCCTTGCTAGCTAGGGGAGATGGGAGTTGTAGTTCAATCTGGGGACCCACAGGCTGAGAGAGGCTGGAACTTAGACCAATTCATGAAACAAGAACTTATACATTGACCACTAATAATGGAACATGTTGTACAGGCATAGGCAAACTCGGCCCTCCAGATGTTTTGGGACTACAACTCCATTCTAAGAAGATCAAACCTCTCCATTCTAAAGGAAATCAGCCCTGAGTGCTCCCTGGAAGGACAGATCCTGAAGCTGAGGCTCCAATACTTTGGCTACTTCCATGAGAAGAGAAGACTCCCTGGAAAAGACCCTGATGCTGGGAAAGATGGAGGGCACAAGGAGAAGGGGACGACGGAGGACAAGATGGTGGGACAGTGTTCTCGAAGTTACCAGCGTGAGTTTGACCAAACTGCAGGAGGCAGTGGAAGACAGGAGGGCCTGGCGTGCTCTGGTCCAGGGGGTCATGAAGAGGCGGACACGACTAAACGACTAAACAACAACAACAAAGTGGTCCCGGGCCCTAAGGAAGTTATATTAGCTTCAACCAGAGCCAGGGCCTTTTCAACAGTGGCTCCAGCTTAGTGGAACGCT